AAGTACCTTACACAGAAAACCATAATACATCATTTGGGGAAAGTTTATGTAACATTGTAGAAAAATGGATTTTTAAAAACGTTAGTCTTTGTTCAAACTGTGGTGTGTGTATGTGTGTGTGTGTGTCTGTGTGTGTCAGTGTGTCTGTGTGTGCCAGAACTCAGGACCTGGGTGCTCACCCTGTGTTTTGTTTTGTTTTGTTTTATTGCCAGCCCTGGGGCTAGAACTCAAAGAAGCTAAGCACATTGCAGAAGAGGCAGATAGGAAGTATGAAGAGGTGGGTCATAAACTGGTGATTATTGAAGGAGATCTGGAATGCACAGAGGAAGGAGCTGAGCTGGCTGAGTTCCATTGCCGAGAGATGAATGAGCAGATCAGACCGATGGACCAGAACCTGAAGTGTCTGAGTGCTGCTGAAGAAAAGTACTCTCAAAAGGAAGACAAACACAAGGAAGAGATAAAGATTCTTACTGATCAATTCAAGGAGGCAGAGACCCGTGCTGAGTTTGCTGAGAGATCAGCAACCAAACTGGAAAAGACAATTGATGATTTGGAAGATAAACTGAAATGCACCGGAGAGGAGCACTTCTGTACACAAAGGATGCTGGACCAGCAGCTGCTTGACCTGAATGAGATAGAGCTCCCCAGTCCCACCTGCCGCTGCTCCCCCCTCTAACCCCGACCTTGAGACTGAGGGCTGATCTTTAACTGAAAAAGGCTGCTTTCTCCTTTTGCAACCCTTTCTACCCTTTCTCCTTCATGTCTTTTTTCGCCTAACTGTCTCAGCCTCTTCCCAGAGATTCTAGCTGGGCTAGAGGCTGTGCACTTTGGGGAACAACATTTAAGGGACTGTGAGCACAATGCGAAATGTCTTTAAAAGCATGCTGTGATGTACATGTTGTAATTAATTTTTTGTGTCGTCCTAGCAGCCATTTGTAAAACATCCCAAATATTTCCACAGCTTTCGGAAGCAGCAGTCGAATTCCTTTCTCCCTTTGGAAGGTTAACTTCTCAGCCTAATGCTTACTGCCCCCCAGAGGAGGCTAAAAGGTATGGGCCTGCCTTGTTGAGAGCCAAATAGAGCCCAGGGAAAGAAAGACTCCACCATGGAAAACTTCATTGCTCTGTACAAAGTACCAGCCAAACCAGATAGGTGATTCTAGGAGTTAGCCACAAAATGAAAACAAGTATCATATCATGCTGTTCCGGTTTTCAGCTTTAAGGTATCTTTGGACAAGCTTATTTTTATTTACTTTCTTTTCATCAGAAGGGACCAAATAAGGATGCTGAGATGTCTGAGAACCTCCGTCACCTCCATTTTTCCCTTACTGCAAAGCTGGGGATCAGTGTAGGCAAGTGCTCTGCCTTGGAGCCACATCTCCAGCCCTGCGACCAAATTTTTGTCTCATCTGTGTCTCCTTCCTACGTCTTCACAGAATGGATTATGTGTCCCTCAAGTGTTGAGATGACCACGTAACTCCTTCAACTAAATTAAGAAAATTATGTTTTTGCCACTGATTTAGCCATATAAACGCATCACCCTGTTCTGGGTCTGAAGCCGCTCTTTAAAGTGCCATCTCATTGTACTTTGCATCCATGCTGGACAAATCTGGAATCGCTTATGTATAAACTTTGTATATCATTTTGAAACGCTGCTTTAGGGTTGGGGAGCCCTGACCACTCTGTCTGGCTGTGAGAGTGTTCTACAGTCTGAGGACTGGCAGCATGCTGATCTTTTGGAGTGTCTTTTCCCATCCAGTTCTCACTTTTAGATGAGGTCTCTGTGAGGTCTGTTTGGTGTACATCCTGCAGCTTTGGCTTATAATGTACTCTCCTTTCTTTGTGGTCTCTTTGGGGCCAGTTAGGAGAAAGAGAAAACAATAATGCAGCACTTTTGAGACTGAATATTGACAAGTGTCTTCTTGAAATAAAGTACCAGTCCTTCCAAAAAAAAGAGTCTCATAGATATTTCTCAGGCTGGCTTCAGACCTTGATCTTCGTATCTCAGCCTTCTGAGTAGCTAGGATTGCTGGCCAGTGGTTGGCCACACTGAAACTGAATTCTTTATCACTGGGCTCCTTTAAAATTTGTCATCTAGGAGATACCAGATTACAAAAAAAAAAAGAAAAACAGAAATGAAAGAAAAGATATTACATTCAGAAAGAGAAAACCCTGAAAAATATTCAGATATTTAAATGAAACATAAAAAACATTTATTCCAAAGCCATACTTGAAATGTACAATGAAATCTCATCCCTTTTAAGACTCAATAAAAACAGCAGTATTTACATTTTAAATTTTATAACACTCTGAGGACATTCTGTTGCTCCCAGAAAAAGGAAATCTGATAAAAGTTAATTCCATAATTAAAGTGTCAAAGTACATTACTGCTTATATAAAATGCATTCTCTTCAAATGCAAAATAGTCAAATACAGTGAAATCATTTTCAACGTCTGGAATTCTCATTAGTCTATGGAATCACATGTCTACGTACTTCTTAAAATGAAGTAAAAAAGTAAATATTGAGGGTTTTTTCCCCAAATAATTTCCCAAACAATTATATCTCACTGACTTGTAACATCATCTTTTATGGTTGGTGTGTGTGTGTGTGTGTGTGTGTGTGTGCGTGTGTACCTGCACACACACAACAGTATGACATTTGAATTGAGGGCCTTACACTCTCCCTTAACTTTTTTGTCAAGATTGGTACTCTACTACTCTAGCCACAGCTCCACTTCTGGCTTTTTGGTGATTAACGGGAGATAAGAGTCTCATGGAATTTCCTGACCAGGCTGGCTTTGCACCACAATCCTCAGCCACAAGACTCCTGAGCAGCTGGTGTAAACCACCAGCACTCAGTATAACATCTTTACAATTCCTTTCCTCCAGAAACTTTTCTTCATATTTCCTTAATATTATGGACCAAAAAGCATCAAAATACCTGTCATTTAAAGTTTATAGTTATAATCGTTTTATACAGTCTCATGATCCAAGTCAAAAGTATTACTAGGCCAATACAAATTTTCATTATAGATCTTTTCATAAATATTGCTAAACTCTATAGAGTTCTCTGCATAATCCTTTGAAGCAAAACAAGGGTCAGCAGCCTTTGACAAGGTGCAGGTATAAATACTCTCTTTTGTGGGTCACTTCTCTGTTGCATTTTTATTTAAAAACTAATTTTTTTTAAAAAATTCTTAAGTTTTGCTGTTAATGTCTAACCTCTAATTGAAAAAAACACAGAACTAGTCTCTACTTTAGACAACTCAAATGTTAAAGTTCACACTGGGCAGTGAAATGAATACATGATTGGTAACATCAAAACTGAAAGTTGTTACACATAGATTACAGCCAACAGAAGTATTTGTTTCAGGTTTCTTTTTAGTCAGTGGAAATTCTTACAGCTTTTTTTTTTGGTCAGTCGTGGGGCCTGAACTCTGGGCCTGGGCGCTGCCTCTCAGCTCTTCAGCTCAAGGCTAGCACTCTACCACTTGAGCCACAGCGCCACTTATGGCTTTTTCTACTTATGTGGTACTGAGGGATCGAACCCAGGATCTCATGCATGCAAGGCAAGCACTCTACCACTGAGCCACCTTCCCAGCCCCTCTTACAGCTTTTTATTTTGGCTGGATAATACACACACCTACTTTTTTTGTTGTTTTTTTAATGATCTTCCTTTTCTATAAGGAAAAAAGTCTCTTTATGAAGCTACTTCAGTTTGTAAAATCAAAGACCATAATGTTTTGCTAACAGAGGTAGATTTGTACACACACACACATACACTGTGCACTTGCAGATACGTGCGTAAGAATAACCACTGGTTCCACTGGATGCTTAGGAAGCATCAGCAGAGACCAGCAATAAGGTGTGTGGGGCAGCACGCCAGGAGGTTTGGATGGGCCTTTATCACATGATTTGAATACAAAATGAATCCAGCGGCATGACTCAGATTTTTTTTTCTTTTTGTGGCAGTACTGAGGTTTAAACACAAAACCTCACACTCCAAGACTAGAGCTCCACCACCTGAGCCACATTTCTAGCCCCAATTTACTCAGGTTCTTTTGTTGTGGTTGTTGGTCATGGGGCTTGAACCAAGGGCCTGGGTGCTGTCTTTGAGCTCCTTTTGCTCAAGGCTAGCGCTCTACCACTTTGAGCCACAGCTCCACTTTCTGGTTTTCTGATGGTTAATTGGAGATAAAAATCTCATAGACTTTCCTGCCTGGGCTCGCTTTGAATAAGGATCCTCAGATCTCAGCCTCCTGAGTATCTAGGATTACAGGCGTGAGTCACCAGTGCCCAGGTGCACTCGGCTTCTTAATAAATACAATGTAGAGCAGACTTAACACTGATCTATAACACTGTCTAATGGCTTGGAATTGAGTATTACAACTCAGTGTGTTCTGTCCTTTTTCCTTTCCTACAACAATCAGTATTACAAACAGATTATGGCAAAAAATAAAAATAAAAAAAATAAACAAAAACGCAAACCTGAATGTGCCCCTGTATGTCAAAAACAAGTTGGAACACTCTGGAATTACAATCATATAATATTTTATATTAAAAATTACAAAAAATTCTAAAGCTGAGAAAAAGTTGAAAACTTTGGTGGCCCTAACAAGAAGGCTCAATTATGTGAGCCTCTGCTCCTAAAAGTAAGAATTCTCAGTGCAAAAATATTACTGCTCTTGATAAATAACAATGACTTGATAATCACACGAAACACTTAAAGACAATGAAAGACAAAATATCCTGAAGATCTGCTTTGGCAGAGATCAAGTCATTTTGGGACCAGACCTGGTAGCATATAGCTGTAATCCCAGCACTATGGAGCCTGAGGCAGGGAAATTGTGAGTTCCAGGTCAGCCTTGGCTACATAGAGTCCATATCCAAAAGAAAGAGAAAGAGCGAGTTAGAGAGAGAGGAAGGAAGGAGGGAGGGAGGGGGGAGAGGAGAAGGGTAGAGAAAGGGAGAGGAGAAAGGAGGGGATGGGAGGGGGAAGAGGGAAGGAAGAAAAACAAGAAAAGACAGAATAAAGGAAAGAAGAAAAAGAGAAAGGTCATTTTTCACTTTGGACTAGCAAATACCACACAGTCGCCTCTGAGCTGCGAGGATGGGTATTTAGATGGTCCTCCCTCCCTGTAGACAGACTGCCCACATCACAGCTCATCCCGGGTCTTTTTAAATGGCCATTTTGGGTGTTGTCGCACATGATCTGCAGCCTGAAGGACCAGGAACATGAATTCCTCTACATCGAAGGAGTAGTTGGTGAATTTCGGGTGCTCCCCAAGGGTTGGATGGTGACCCTATAACAGCAAACCAGATACAAGGCCCTCATCAGGCAGGCACAAGCCGCTTCTCTACAGAAAGGAAGTTCTTTTACTCTGGCTCAGCAACGATTTAAACTTCAATGTATAACAGAGGTCAGCAAACTGTTTCTAGAGAGAACCTACTAGGGCCAGGAGCCTAGCTACTCAGGAGGCTGAGATCTGAGAAGTTAGGCTCAAGGCCAGCCCGAGTAGAAAAATCCTTAGACTCATCTCCAAGTAATCATTCAAAAGCCAGCACTGGAGCTGTAGCTCCAGTGGTAAAGCACCAGCCTTGAGTGAAGAAGATAAGGAATAGCATCTAGACCCTGATTCAAGGCCCTAAACTGGAGAGGGAAGATGGGAAGGGAGAGAACAGGGGGAAGAGACAGAGGGGAGGGAGGGGGGGAGAAAAGGAGGGAGAGAGAAGGAGGAAAGAGAGGGAAAAGAAGGGAAAAAGAGGAGAAAAAGGGGAGAGAGGAGAAAGAGGAAGGGAGAGAGGGAAAGGGGGAGAGGGAGATAGAGCAGAGAGAATGTAAATATCTTCAAGCAAGTAATAAACACCTTCAGCTCTGCCCCAACTATAAGTACTCAGTCAATTACTGAGTTTGGCCACAGACAAGCCATAAATAGGTGAACCTGATCCCAATAAAACTTTATTTACAAAAACAGCAGGCGGGCCAGCTTTGCTCCCACAGAGTTGCAGTTCACTGACCCCTGCGATAAACACAGTCTATTAGATCTCCGTACGCCCCACACTGCCTTCCCAACATGACAACTGTCTCCCATCGGCAAAGATAAAAATCCAACTCTTATTTTAGAAAATAGTTCATCTTTCAAGTCCAATGATTGCCTCCCCCCACAGACCCTATTTTAATAACTGGACAGTGGAAGCCACATAAAAACTGCAGACAAGGTGAGTTGCAGCTGAACTTTACCTTATCCTGAGGAAATACTTTGTTCTGCCTTCGCCATGTGATGTAGTGGACGCCTCGCAGCCTGGCCAGGTCTAAGTAGCAGCGATCATCTTCACAGTTGTATCTAAGCACACAAGGGTGATCAACCTGTCACCTGATCAACTTGTCTCCTGATCAGCCATTCTTGGGGAGGGGGGGTGCATACATATATATGTATGCATATACATATATATTAACATGATCAGAACCTTACCTTAACTTTTCAAACACAGAGAGATGAGGAATAGCTTTACTCAACAGGTCCTTCTGCCCATGAACCTGATACTACTTTGTAAGATGTCTTTCTCCTTGGGGAAGTAGACTGGGGAGCGAACACATCCAAGGTTGCACAGCTAGTTCACACGTGAGGCAAGCATCCCAGGTCTACTGAGCTCCACTGTCCCTGGTACATTTCCCCACTAGCCTCCTTCCATCCATCACTTCATCCTCTAGGAGGATGAATCCACAATTATCTGCCTACCACATTAATAGTTATTTTTACATGTTTTGTAAAGCAGAACATGGGAGCTAGAGATATGGCTCAAGGAGTCAAGCACCTGCCTAGCAAGTTCATGGCCTTGAGTTCAAACCCCAGTACAACAACAAAAGGCCAGTTGTGTAAGCACTCTCCTATAACCCCAACTATTTGGGAGGTGGCAGGAGGCAGATCACAGTCTGAGGCCGACGTGGCAAAAGCACAAGGCCTTACCTGAATAATAGCTAAGAAAGAGCCGGGGCATGGTTCAAGTGGTAGAGCACTTGCCTAGAGCGCCTGAGTTCCCGAGTTCAAATCCCAGTATAAGGAAAGGACAGGGAAAGGAGAACCATCAAGGTATTCAGACACAATGGGGAAAAGGAAATAAGGCGAATTGCTACCAGTAGCTCAGAAGCCCAAGGTAGGCCTGGTATCAAAAGTCGAGTTATTAACCCTGTTCCATAACTTATCACTGAGTCAGAGGGATGCGGTGGCTAAATCATTTTCACTCCTGAGGGCCCATTTCCCTGATTAGTGACTACTAAACAACTATTAGTCTCTCCTCCCTCTCTCTCTCCTTTACCCTGCCTCTCTCCCCCTTTCTCTTCCTCTTTCCCCTCCCTCTCTCCTCTCTCTCTCCTCTCCCCTTCCCCCTTCTCCTTCTCCCCCTTCTCCTTCTCTTTCCCCTCCCCTCCTTTCCCTGTCTCTGTCTCTTTTTCTCTCCTCTCTCTTTCTCCCCCTTTCTCCTCCTTTCGCACCCTCCTTCTTTCCCTCTCCCCCTCTTCTTTCCCCTCGCCTCCTTTCTCTGTCTCTTTCTGTGTCTCTTTCTCTCTCCTCTCTCACTCCTCTCTTTCTCCCTCTCCCCCCCACTTTCTCCCTCTCCTCCCTTCTCTTTCCCCTCTTCTTTCCCCTCCCCTCCTTTCTCAGTCTCTGTTTCTCTCTATTTCTCTCCTCACCTCTGTCTCTGTCTCTGTCTCTCTTTTTCTCGGGTTGTACATCACACCCAGGACCAGTGCATGCTGGGTAAGCATGACAACACAGTAACACTAAACACTGATTGTAGGGAGGAGCTCACAGTTAGGAGAGGCAAATAAGAATGAAGTCAGTCAGGAAATCATACACCCACATCTAAAGCACGTCTAAGGCTTAGCCTTACTATTTGTCTCGGTAGAAAGCTGCCGTCAAACACTTACAGTTCAAACACAGCGGCCCAGTCTGGAAGGAAGAGTAAATGGGTGAGACCAGCTCCGTGCATTCCGATAAATATGTCCGTGTTGTGTGTGATCCTCAGCTGATCCAAAAACCCGAGCTCTCTGTAACAGAGAACAGCCCAGGAGAGATGAAGAAGGAAAGACCATGCATGATCATGAACAATATTGACACACACAGATAGGCTGGTTCCAATCACACGCCGCATCTACCTTCTTGCCAATTTCAAGCACACTCTAGTAATGAATAACTTCATTCCTTACTAATTTGACCTTTTTTTTCAAAGTGAGCTCACCTGTCTTTCTGTTCTTTGTTTTAAACTCAGGTCTCCTCACTAAGCAGATGCTCTACCCCTGAGCCATGTCTCCAGCCTTTTTTTGCACTAGTTATGTGAGATAAATAAAAATCATGGTTTTTCTGTCTAGGCCTGTGCTTGGAATTTCATTTAAACTAAAAAGTTTCCATAAGGTAATAAAAGGATCTTTATTAAACAAAAATAAGTTTCTTTTCTCAAGATGTGAGTTACTAGTGCCAACTAAGTAGATTTAAAATAATCTCAGCAGGCTGGGGACATGGCTCAAGGAGTAGAGTGAGTTCAATTCTAATATCACCAAAGACTCACATAAAATATAAAAATAATCTCTGAGACTATCAAAGCATCCTTCTACCTTTGCAGTTCCATTCTTGGCTTTTTAATGGTTAATTGGAGATAAGAGTTTCATGGCCTATTCTGCCTGGGTGGTCTTTAAACTGAGCCCCTCAGATCTCAGCCTCCTGAGTCCTTAAGATATACATGTGTGAGCCACCAGCTTCCAGGAAACATATTTTTTATTTTTTTCTGATCCTGAGCCTTGAACTTGAGCCTCTACCACTTGAGCCACAGCATCACTTTTAGCTTTTTCTGAGTGGTTTTCTGGTGGTTTATTGGAGATAAGAGTCTTATAGACTTTCCTGCCCAGGCTGGCTTCAAACCATGATTCTTAAACTTCAGCCTCATAAATAGGATTACAGGTGTGAGCCACTGGTGCGGGACCCAGTTAACAGTTTTAACATGACACAAACTATTCATTATCACACATCTGGGAAACAGGTTGGTAATTGTGGCTGAGCGAGGAGTAGAGACAAGAACTTTTCCTTTTCCCTTTTATCTTTCCCCTTCATATCTTGCATAACACCAGACTACAACCAGGATCTGTGCTCCTACAAAAGCAACTGGGAGAGGGGTCTGGGAAGTTGGCTCAGTGGTAGAGTGCTTGCCTCGAATACATGAGGCCCTGGGTTCGATTCCTCATTACCACAGAAAAAAGCCAGAAGTGGTGCTGTGGCTCAAGTGGTAAGGCACTAGCCTTGAGCTGAAGAGCTGAGGGACAGCGCCCAGGCCCAGAGTTTAGCCCTCAAAACTGACAAAAAACAAAAACAAAAAACTTTAAAATAAATGAAAATAATTTTTTTAATTCTCATGCTATTCTATGACCCTGAAATTATTCTCTTAGAAATAATTTTAGGGGAACAGTTGAAACTTTGTAGCTAGCAAAGTCAATAAAGCCTACAATGTATTTTTTTAATTCAGAACTACCTGCCAAATTTTAAGTCTTTAGAAATTTCAAATGCAAACCTGGACTCACCACTTCTTTTGAGTAAGAAAGACAATGTCACAATATCAGACCCTACAACTCCAGGCCACCATGTATACTGGAGGGTTTTGTCCACTTTGTTCACCAACTGGTGTGTGACTGTCCTTTCTCTACACCTGCCAACAGCCCCCACTTGTGACCCACCATGAATTCATTGAAGCAAAAGTGTACAGCACCTGCCCAGGGGTGACTGTAACTCACCTGTACTTGTAATCGACAATCTGGACTTCGAACGTCGATACTGTCTTCAGCGCATTCACAAGCTGGACAAACAAAGACACAAAGTAGAACCACTTTCCCTCCTTTTCTGTTGTACCTTCCTTCCAGAAGCCTAATATTTCTGACATTTTTGCATATATTTTTCAGACATTGATCATCTTTTAGGTCCGTGGTTCTGGGTGTTAGTTGAGGTCAAATCCTGGCTCTTGAGCACATGACCCGACTAACCTTGCAAAACACTGGGTGTGAGGAGGCTGAGGAGCCACAGCCCAGAGGCACAGCACTCGATACCCAGCACTGGAGGCTGCCATCACCATCATTTGCTAGTTATTCCTGCAGCTTTCAATCTGTGTGGATTGTTCCTGCCATGTTCCAGATGCTACAGTAAAATTTCTTCCCTTCCACATCCTGCTTCAGACAATTGTTTGAAGCACTTTGCTGAAATCTTGACAGAAAAACATTTCAGCCTGATGCCAGCTGTTATCCTGTTATGTCTGTTATCCTAGCTACCCAAGGAGGATGAGATCTGAGGACTGAGAATCAAAATTAGCCCAGGCAGGAAAGTCTCTGAGACTCTGATCTCCAGTTAAGCATCAAAAAGCCAGAAACAGAGCTGTGATTCAAATGGTAGAGTGCCAGCCTTGAGCATAGAAGCTAAAGAACAGCGTGTAGGCATTGACTTCAAGCTCAAGTATACATACACATGCATGCACACATGCACATGCACACACACACACACACACACACACACACACACACACACACACACACACACACCCCACTTCAATAATTCTACCTAGAAAAATGATTAGTCGGGACTGGGAGTGTGACTTAATGGTAGAGTGCTTGCCTAGCATGCATGAAGCCCTGGGTTTTGAAACCACATACACACACAAAGCCAGCACCACATACACAGAAAAAGCCGCAAGTGGCTCTGTGGCTCAAGTGATAGAGTCCTAGCCTTGAACAAAAGAAGCTCAGAGACCATGCCCAGTTCAAGTTCAAGCCCCAGGACTGGCCCCCAGGACTGGCCAAAAAGAAAAAAGAAAAAAAAGAAAGAAAGAAAAATGATTAGTCTTCTAGCAAACGGAAGGTAACAAAACATAATTAATGTATTACCAAAATCATAGCCACAGTTCTCCACACCCCTTGCAAGCAGGCTAGTGCAACTCAACACTGCAGATCACCACCATTCAGCAAGTTCTGAACTTGCGTACAAACAAGAGGCCTGCAGCACACACCATATACGATACTGCGACAGCCCCAGCACTGGGGCAGTGGTGAAGCTCAATGGTGGAGTGCTTGCCTAGTGTGCATATCTGGGTTCCTTCGCCAGCACCACACACACACACACACACACTTCCATAAACACACACACACACACACACACACACACACACACACACACACACACTTCCATAAAGCAGGCATTTTCAAGGTACCTTAAGCCTACTAAGTATTCATGTAACAATCATACCATGTCAGTAATGTGACTGCTATGCTGGTCATTTTGTAAACGAGACAGGGAAGGCTTAGAGGAGTTAAAAACTTCCAGCGTAGGGGCTGGGAAGGTGGCTCAGTGGTAGAGCGCTCGCCTTGCATGCATGAGGCCCTGGGTTCGATTCCTCAGCACCACATAAGCAAAAAAGAAAAAAAGCCAGAAGTGGTGCTGTGGCTCAAGTGGTAGAACAGTAGCCTTGAGCTGAAGAGCTGAGGGACAGTGCCCAGGCTGAGTTCAGGCCCCACGACTGGACCACCCCCCCCAAAAAAAAACAACCTTCCAGCATACAATGCAGAGCCCAAATTAAATCTAGGTCCTCTGACTCCAGAATCTGTCATCTTTGTGTGTGTGTGTGTGTGTGTGTGTGTGTGTGTGTGAAAGAGAGAGAGAGAGAGAGAGTGCATATGCATATATGCACCAGTACTAAGGCTTGAACTCAAGGTCCTACTCCTTTGTTTGGGTTTTAATTGTTCAAAGCTAGCACTCTACTGCTTCAACCACACCTCCACTTCTGACTTTTTGCTGGATAATTGGCGAGAAGAATCTCCCAGACTTTTCTGCCCCATTTGGCTTTGAACCTCGATCTTCAGATCTCAGCCTCTGAGTTGATAGGATCACAGGGGTGCACCACCGGTGCCCAATCTATGATCTTAACCAGGGTACTCTGCTCTTGTGTGATGGAGAGCAACAGACAGTGAATACCATCTAATTCCTGCTACACACACACAGAGCTACATAAACAAAATTTCTCCAGTCCCTGGACTTCCTTGACTATATTGCTCACATTCAACAGCTGCAGACTGATAGGGGATGTTGGACAGCACATAGCCACCTCTCTGGTGTGGCTAGAAATTGTGACACAGGGATCCCAGTGCTGTGGGATTGTCTCTTTTTATAAGGAACCTCTCCTCATTAAAAGACCAAGGTTCATGTAAATTCTGGCTATAAAGAATCCTAATCATGATTAGAATTCCTCAACTGTTGGATGTGAGGACAAATATTTCATGATCTGCTACATTCAGGGCAGGGTTCTGTTTCTGTCACTTTCCACTCTGAGTTGGTTATAGGGGAACAAAGCAAAGTTGATTTGAGCATCAACGGTTGGTGACCTCCATTAGGTACTTATATCCAATGGCCATGCTAGACCATTTACCAGACCCACCTCTCCTAAAAACTAGTAGTTTCATATCAAAACTTTGAATGGGATGTGAAAAGCCAGGCTCACGAGTCATAGGAAGACAAGGGTACTGTGATAGGAAAAGTGCACACCCAAAAACTCACCTCATTTTGATTTAGTATTTTCCTGTATTCTGTGCTCCGAGCAAGAATGGTGACTCGAATTTTTCCATCCTGTAATAAAATGGAAAGACAAAATGACACTGCAACCTGTGCCAACACTGAAGTGTGAACAAATGAACCTAAAGTGGGATTTTCATGAAGAAATGCAGCCCAGTAAAAACACACTTAGGCAGTGATGAGGTTTTCAGCCCGATTCTTAAGTCATTCTTCCAGAGAATAAAAAAAGTTTCCGCTTTCAAAGGAAATGTGATCTGCATGCATGATGGAGTATTACTCAGTCATTAAAAAAATTAAACACTGTCATTTGTAGCCACATGAATAGACGTAGAAGACATCATGTTAAGTAAAATAAGTCAGCATAGACAGACATTACTGCAGTCCTCTGTGGAGGCTAAAAAAGTTGATCTCATGGAAGTAGAAAAATAGAAAAGTGGATGCCAGAGGCTGAAAATGGTGTGAGGGGAGACTAGAAAAGGGCTGGCTAATGGTCACAAAAAATAATGAAAGAGGAGGATTAAGCTTCACTACTTTAATAAAAATTGATTATATATTTTCAAACAGCTAGATTTTTCATTGTGCTTGAACAGAAAGATGTGATAAATGTCAGAAGCAACTCATGTGCTAAGTACCTTGTTTTTTAACTTTAAATTTTGTTCATAATCTTTAGTTATACAAAGGGGTTTCTACTCAACACGTCAGTTTATGTCAACAAAGCATCTTGACCAACGTCACCCCTGCCATCATTCACCTCCCCATCTATCCCAACCCCACCCCTCCCCTCAAGTTTCTTGGCCCCATTTTCATGTCTGAAGTACCCTGCTTTGATCATTACACATTCTATTATGAAATATGTACCATTATTAAGTGATGGTAAAATATATAAACAGATTGACTTTAGTCATAAAAGACAAAAGCTATTCATTACACTGTTTGGATGTTGGTTGGTAGATTTGTGTGTGTGTGTGTGTGTGTGTGTGTGTGTGTGTGCACAATACTAGGACTTGAACTCAGGGCCTGGCACTCTCACTCAACTTTTTTTTTTTTTGGGGGGGGGGGGGTCTGGTCATAGTCCTGAACTCTGGGCCTGGGCTCTGTCCCTCAGCTCTTCAGCTCAAGGCTAGCGCTCTACCACTTGAACCACAGTGCCACTTCCGGCTTTTCTTCTTTTTGCTTATGTGGTGCTGCGGAACTGAACCCAGGGCCTCATGCATGCAAGGCAAGCACTGTACCACTGAACCACCTTCCCAGCCCCTCACTCACTCAACCTTTTTAGCTCATGACTGACACTCAGTAACTTAAATCATACCTCTGCTTCTTTTTGATGGTTTAATTGAAGGTAAGAGGTTTACTTGCCTAGAGTGGGTCTGAACCTCAGTCCCCAGATCTCAGATCTCCTGAGTAGCTATAATTACAGGTGTGAGCCACCATCACCTAGCTGAGATGGTTTTGAGGGTTTTTTTCCTTAGCAGAGGTGTGTGTTGTGTGTGTGTGTGTGTGTGTGTGTGTTAGATAGGAGCTTAGCAGAAGGTAGAGAAATAGGACCAAAACAAAGGAGGAAAAAAGCTCAGTCTTGCAATAGCCTGGGGCTTGAACTCAGAGTCTGGGCATTGTCTCTGAGCTTTTGTGCTCAAGGTTATTGCTCTACCACTGGAGCCATAGCTCCATGTCCAACTCATTGGGGATAAGAGATAAGAGTCTCACAGACTTTCCTGCCAAGGCTGACTTTGAACCACAATCCTCAGATCTCAGCCTCCTGAGTGGCGTGAGCCACCAGCACCCAGCCCCTTAACGGTTTTTGATACCTGAATTCCAATGACTCTGGATTGAAAATATTAACACAGAAAACAACTGCCTCCTTCCCCGCCCCCTCAGGAATGGTAGCACTGATTTTTGTTGGGGATGTAAACAAGGCCACCTTAGAGCCCATCCTGTGTCCTTTACCTGAGGTCCCTCTTGGATGATGCCCAGTCTATACAGCACGTGCTGGGAGAAGGCCCTGAATAAGCCAGTGTGTTGACAGCCAGATATCTAAAACATAAGCAGCAGTATTACAACATGCACCACTGCATTCCAATTTCCGATGTTTTGAATAACACGAGTATTATCTGCAAGTGCTTACCAGAGGGGTGTTGTAGAAGAGCCCGTACCTCATGCGGGGCAGTAAGGAAAAAACAGCTTCTTTGAAACACACCTAGGAATAAAGAGATTTTAAAACATAAGAGAAGATCATTTACACCTTGACACCAAAATCACTCGCCTAATTTTTTCAAACTACATTTTAATCAGTCTCTGGTTTGCATCAGAATTGTCTGCATAGCATCCTATTTCAAAGAGAGTGAGATTCACATTTGTGGAAGCCTGACAGAAAGGTAAGAAAGCTACATGGTTAAAAACAACAAGAGTCAGAAATCAGAAATGAGTGGTAATAGCTAACTGTTATTCAAATTTAATAAGTATCACAAGAGTAAGACATGGGTATACCACAGTTGCTTACTACGAAGACTTCAGTAAAGTTTCCAGTACCCTTTTGCTATCGTAGGTTTTCAGATGTATGACATCATAATCCGTAAATGCTTTCCAGGTGTCAGAGAAGAGGTCACCGTATCCATAAGAACTCTGCAGGTGGAAACAAGCTAAGTTAGGGCAATGAAAGGGCCTGACGCGGCTGCTCAGAGATGTGAGGAAACACCCGGATAAGGCTGCTGGTGTCAGCTTCCACTGTGGGCCACAAACAGCTCCCAAGAACAAATGGATCTTCACCTTGGGCCTAAGCAAATGCCTAATGGGTGAAACAGCATCAGAAAAAACCACTACGGCTCTACTGTTAGTGTCAGTAGTGTTTGGTTTTCTGCTCTAACTCCTTAGAGTCTCACTTTTTGTTTCTTCGATCCTGGAGCTTGAACTCTGGGCCTAGGCACTGGCCCTGAATTCTTTTTTCTCAAAGCTAGCACTCTACCACTTGGAGCCACAGCTCCACTTCTGGCTTTTTCTGTGATTAACTGGAGATAAGAGTCTCATTGATTTTCCTGCCTGGGTTAGCTTTGAACTTCAATCCTCAGGTTGAGGCCTTCTAAGAAGCTAGGATTTCAGGAGTGCCACTGGTGCCTGGCTTAGGTTTCTCGTCTCTTAAATTATAATTGTGAGTTTTTTTTGTTAACTTTCTACCCATATCCATATCACAGGTAAATACAACACACACACGTACACACACACAGACTGACATGCTCAATAGCAAAAACTGGCAGAGTAAACAAATCAAGTTTGGAAAGAAATTTCAAAGCATGAAAATGGATTAAAAGCTTTAACATTAAAGATGTAATATACGTAGCCATAAGAGATTCTCTCCATTAATTAATGAAAAACACATGATAATTCCCCATTAACATTGATGAAGCTAATCATAATAACATTATATAACTACTAACTGGGCACAGTTCTTATGTACCAAGCACTTTAGGAAGCCATTAATATTAACTCTGTAAACAGACCCACAAGCCTAATGAGCTAGCTAATATTTTTATCCCTCTTGTAGATGAGGAAACTGGGACACAAATTTAAGTAATTTGTTTAAATTGCATTGCAGCTGGGCTATGGAGTTGGGATTAAACTCAGTTCGTGATTGCAGCCTTGACTCTCATGAGCACCATAAGAGATGTCTCTCAGATATTTCAAAACACATTCTGTTTGGAAAATGTAAGTTAATTATGAACTCCTACATCCAAAAGAAGGAAATCAATTAATTTCAAAATGGTGTAACTTAGATTGAAATATTCAGCTAAGAAAAATCAGAAATACATGTTCTGAGGTTCTATTCAAAGTTTACACTTATTACACTCATTATATAGAACCTTTTATCTTTGTAGCCTTACTTTGTGAATTTTGAAACTTTTATTTTGCACATAGTATCATTACTTTAAAGTTATTTAGAGCAGTTATAGTGATTTAAGACAAAATTCCTTCCTTAGGTATTTCTCGAATGCTGTTCAAATAACGGCCCTTCTCACAGAAAATAAAACACATTTAAGTAAATTTTTCTAAATTGCATAGCTGCTGAGTTACAGAGCTGGGATTATTACAGTTCTGGCTCAGTAACAAATAAAGGGCAATTGAAAGAAGTAAATTCTAGACAATTTCTTGAGATAAAACACGTCAAATCAAATAAGATGCCTTTTAAAAGAGTCTTTACAGTAAATAACCTTTACTGTTCCCCTATCTAGAAACCACACCATACTCCTTGGATGATACAATAATACAGCCACTTGCATATCCTTCACAATGCAGTGATTATATAGCACAGGATGGTTTACAGTATGCATCAGAGCCAGGCACTGGTGGCTCATGCCTGTAATCCTAGCTACTTAGGAGACTGAGATTTGAGGATCCAAAGTTCAAAGCCAGCCTGGGCAGGAAAGTCCAGGAGACTCATCTCCAATTTACCACCAAAAAAGCCAGAAGATCTGTGGCTCAAGTAGTAGAAAGTTAGCTTTGAGGGGAAAAAAAAGGTAAGGGTAAGGGATAGAGCCCAGGCCCTGAGTTCTAGCCCCAGTACTGGCACACAAAAAAAGGAAGAAAGGAAGAAAGAAAAGAGAAAAGAAAAGAAGAAACAAGCCAGGCATGAAAGTCATCATTCCAGCTTTTCCAAAGGCAGAAGTAGGAGGATCTCAATCCAAGTCCAGACAAAAGTTCAAGGCACTATGTAAAAAAATAGCTAGGACATGGCTCAAGTAGTAGAACATTTGCCTAGCAAGTGTAAAGTCATGAGTGCAAAACCCCAGTGCTACTAAGAAAAAAGAGACAGGAAGAAGGAAAAACATACCATACTGAAAACTGATAGCAGGTATATATGCATGCATGCTTATATACATGTCTAAGACTTGTCCTGAACAGCAAGCTGAAATATACAGCACAATGTGGCATGTGGCGCATGCCACTATTAGCAAAGACAGAGATAATGAGTGTAGCTTGGTGGTGGAGCCTTGCTTACAATGTGTGAGGCTCTAGGTTCAAGCTCTAGTCCTTAAGAAAAAAAAAAAAAAAAGCAAACAATAAATTCCAAAGGACAAACTCCATAGCAGCTCTCCCAATGTGCATTAGAGGTGGGGCAGATGAGCATTTTCCAGCATCTCCCTCACAGCAATTCTGAAACAACCAGGCTGAATTTTTGCTCTTGGAATCTCCACCTACTAATAAAGGGGGGAAAATTGTCCACTGCTTTGGAGAGCAAAGAAGCACACGTACATTTGTGTGTGGGGGCACTTGCCTGCATGAGTGTGAATACATGTGTATATTTAAATGTGTGTCTTAGACACGTATTTGTTTCACAAGGCCAGAGCTACAGAATGACAGAGCAAGGTGACAGGGCTGGAGCAGAAGGCACACTCACTCACCGTGTCCCACATCACCACATACACGTCTGTGCTGAAGGAGTTGTTCATGTGCTGAGTGACATAAAGATTGAGAAAATCACAGAAGTGATGATACATGTTCACACCTGGCATGGGAACAAAAGAAAGCTATGTTAATGAAACCCAAAGAACACAGGAATGAGCAGATTCTATGCTATACCCATTGCTCAGCGTTCGGTAAACTTTTAAATAATGGGAGAAAACAAGGTGGGCGGGATTTTTTTTTCCAGAATTGAAATGCTTTATACACAACTTACAAAGGTATCGGGTTCAAACACACTTTTTAGATGACTTGTTCAGAAAGTCAGAAATTCACTTTTTTATATATAATAAGTAGCAAATGATCAGTAAGGCCCTGGAGAAAGAATGTGTCAGCCTATTAAACTCGAAATGCACCTAACTCTAGTCAGTGTCCAGAAGATTAATCATTATTCTTTAGGATTGCTCTTTTTCTTAAAAATAAATCAAACAAGCCAGGTGCCAGGGACTCATGTCTGTAATCCTAGCTGGTTCAAAGCCAGCCCAGGCAAGAAAGTCTGTGAGACTCTTATCTACAATTAACCAGAAAAAAACCCAAAAGTGGAGCTTTGGCTCAAGTGGCAGAGTGCCAGTCTTGAGCAAAACAAGCTAAAGGTCAACACCCAGGCCCTGAGTTCAAGCCTCAGGACTGGCAGTAAAAAAAAGAAAAAGAAAAAGAAAATCAATCAAATAAGCCCTGGCCTTAAAAGCATAAAGAACACTGGCAACTACTAATATTTGCCAGTTTTCATTCTTGTACCATGTTTGCTCATACCATTCTCTTGAGCAAACACTAAACAACTAAAAGAAGTGAACGTCTAGTCCTCTAATTGAAGTAACTGAAGGAATATAAACACTGGAATCAGAAGAACCAGGTGAGTCCTAGCTCAGTTGCTCATAGGCAAGGTACTTAGGTATGTTTCTCAAGCCCATTTCTCCTATAGGATAGGAAACAGTATGAGTAAGTGCCAACTTGGTGAGGATGCACCTTTGAGTGCTGATCCCCGAGGTTCATGGGAAGACCTTTGTGGAGGGCCTCCCAGTTCAGACAGAGTAGAGAGGACTGAGGCTGTCACTATTCATAAGTTCACTCAAGTCACCAAAGAGAAAGAGAGCATGCACCCCTTGATTTAGGAATGCATCACCCGGAAGTCAACCTAGAAATAGAAATCCTAGATGGGAAGATGTTCAAAGAAGTGACATGCAAAACATGACTTTTCAGGCTGGTGATATGTCAAGAGTGGCAGGAGCAAAGCCCTGAGTTTAAACCCCAATATTGCCAGAACGAAAGGGAGAAAGGAGAGAAAGGAGGGAGGAAAGGAGTGAGGGAAGGAAAAAGAAAGAAGGAAAGAGAGAGGGAGGAAGGGAAGGATGGAGGAAAAAAGGAAGAAAGGAAGAAAGAGGGAAGGAAGGAAGGAAGGAAGGAAGGAAGGAAGGAAGGAAGGAAGGAAGGAAAGAAGGAAAAGAATTAAAAAACAAGCTCATGCATTTTCAAGGAAGGAAAAAGCTGAGAAAAAAAGAAAGCCAGTGAGTCTTAAACGCAGAAACTGCAAAATATTCTGACCTCATTTCCACAGAGAATAATAATATTGTGTGCCAGAAACAAAAGAGTGAAAACACCCAGTTTCTTTTTTCTTCCCAGTCCTAGGGCTTGAACTCAGCCTGGGCACTGTCCCTGAGCTTCTTTTCTCAAGGCTAGCACTCTACCACTCGAGCCACAGCACCACTTCCAGCTTTTTCTGTTTATGTGGTACTGAGGAATCGAACCCAGTGCTTCATGCACGCTAGGTAAGCATTCTACCACTAAACCACATTCCCAGCCCCAACCCCTACTTCTTTTGCAGGCTGGAATCTTACATAAATGTTTGGAAAAGTTCAAGTTTTTCCTCCAGGAAAGTCTTGGGAAGGAACATATTTTCCAATTAACAAGAAAATAAAGTTCTCATGGAACACATCCCCCTCTCCCCAGGTGAACCACAAAGCTCACATTTGCTTCCAGGTAACATTTAGTGTGTTCATTGGCTGAGAACTATAGTTGTGTACACAATAATATTTCTACCACAAAACATTCATAAATTCTCATTTATAAATGAGGTACCAAACATAGGCTTCATCCTGGAGAAATGTGCACCCTACTAAATTTTGTCCCATAGAAAGCTCATTCTCCCAAGGTAAAAGTTAAAAAAAGGAAAATTGGATGACAGTGTAAATTAGAAGGGAAAAAAAAAGTAATGATTATAGGAAAGAAATAGTGCATGTCTACCTTTGCTTCCTATTCCCACTTTACATACTTTATTGCATAAGATCTGCATAAATGTCACTGTTAACACATTATTTGCCTCTTTTGTAGGCAGATCACAGCACCTTCTTTGCCCCCTTTTAAATTTGCATATTTATAAAAATGAGTTAGAACCCTGAACATAGCATTTTCACTTGGTCTTTCAGAGACGTAAACTTGTCTGATCTCTGAATCTAACCCTTTGTAATATAAGAATTATGACTTCAGAAGACAGAGCACACTAAAACTATGATCAATAAATTATGCTAATCCTTGAATATTTATAGTAGCAGGCTTTCTATATTTCATCGTAGGCCCAGCCTCTTATGAATTTTGATATGACACTGCACAGTAATCTTTGTCACTCAGGATGAGTGACATGATACCCTACAGCGTGTCTCTTCTCGCCCAGGCAACAAGTTTACCAGACCTAGAGGCTGCCAACATAAATAGCAAAATCATTCTCATGTATTTACAAAAATAGACTGCAGTGGTAACTTCCAGGACAAAAAAAAAATTTTACTGTGAAAATACTATACAGAGGAGTTACAATTACATGAGCAAGGTAATGAGTACATTTCTTATCTAGCATTGATGCCTCCTCATTTGTTTCCCCTTCCCATCCCTTCCCATCTCCACCCCCACCTCCCTTCCCCCCCCACCACACACCAAAGTTGTAAAGTTCGTTTTTCGACTTAACAACTTATAGATCTCATTGTTGCAATGGGTCCACCTGTATCCCTATTTAAACAATTTGTTTTTTCTTTAGTCATGGAAACAGTAATACAAAGTAAGCATAAGAGGTAACCACCTTCTGATTCACAGAAGTCTGATAATTAAATTTTTTTTAAAAAAATCATATTGAAGCCAGACACTAGTGGCTCACACCTGTAATCCCAGATACTTAAGAAGCTGAGATATGAAGCTTATGGTTTGAAGCCAGCCAAGGCAAGAAACTTGGTGAGACTCCTATCGCTAATTAAGCACCAAAAAAGCCAGAAGCAGAGCTATGGCTCAAGTGGTAGAGTGCTAGACTTAGGATAGCACCCAAGCCCTGAATTCAAGGCTCAGGACCACCCCTACACACACACACACACACACACACACACACACACACACACACACACACACACACACACACACACACACACACACACACACACACACACACACACACACACACACACACACACCATAATGAGAGACTCTAAACCCATAGAAATCAGATGGAACAAATTTAGTTACAAAAAGTACACATATGTCTAGCTTCATCTTCTGATTGTGATTGAGCCACTTGCTATAAAAATGAAAGTTTCTTCTATAAAATCAATAGTAACACATAACTAGAAGTTCAAACTTGTTCTACTTCAGGGAAGAAAAAAGCCTTAAAATATTCATTGAAAAATTACATATATTCACCTATGGCTCATACCTGTAATCCTAAGGAGGCCAAGATCTGAAAATTATGATTCAAAGCCATCCTAGGCAGGAAAATCCACAAGACTCTTATCTCCAGTAAACTACTCAAAACAAAGCCAGAAGTTCAAGTGATAGAGCACTAGCCTTGAGCCAAAAAGTCAGGAACAGCCCTGAATTCAAGCCCAAGGACCAGAACGAAAAGGAAAAAAAAAAAAGACTGCTACATACAGAGAAAAAAATAGTCTCATTCGCCAATATATAAATGACAAACAGTTACATATTGATAAGTTGTAATAACAGATAATACCAATAGACTAACTGCTCACCTGCATCCAATTTCATGAAATAAGTCGGTTTTTCAATAATAACATCACATTGAGCATCTTCTATAGGTCTGAAATTGAGCTGAGTGTAGCTTTGTAGCTCAGCAAACCTGGAAAGATGGATTGTGATATAATTTCAGTGATTCCTCCAAACTCCCCAATGCAATGTTGTAAATGAGGATCTATCACTGGGCAGGCAGCTTTTATTTCTAGTATGAACAAGACATGAACTCTTCATTTATATAGCTTGATACCAGTTTTAATGTAAAGACAGGAACAAATCTATTTTAAATTTCACCCTAATGTACAAGACAGTTATAATGGAAATCTAAAACACCAAAAAAGAACTTACATATTAGACTGGTTTAATAGTCTACCAGTGAAGCAACAAGATTTGCTATATACACTGGGACAAGGTTCTGTCTATTGGGAGACTCAAAGGGCCAGAAAAGACAAGACCAGAAAGAGTCTCATGGTAGATTATTGGATTCTGAGAAAAGATTGCATCCCCTGAATATCTAGTACCTCAGAAAGACAACACAAAGATAAACTTCTTAAAAGAACAGGAAGTCTATTTCTCCAAAAGGTCTTTCGAAGCTACATGATAGAATATTCTTCCAAACAAAAGAAGATAAACACAAGCATGTGAGAAGAGCTACCTAGAATTTACATGAAGATCTTTAACTCTTCATCCTTGTGCTCACATTACATGTAAATATATTTGTATCAAACAGATCCTTTTCAAAGGCAATAACAAGCTAGTCACCAGTGGCTCACACCTGTAATCCTAGCTACTCAGGAGGCTGAGATCTGAGGATCACGGTTCAAAGCCAGCCTGAGCAGGAAAGTCCATGAGACATTTTTGGTGGGGGGGTCTGGTCGTGGGGCCTGAACTCTGGGCCTGGGCGCTGTCCCTCAGCTCTTCAGCTCAAGGCTAGCGCTCTACCACTTAAGCCACAGTGCCACTTCCGGCTTTTTTTCTGTTTGCTTATGTGGTGCTGAGGAATCGAACCCAGGGCCTCAGGCATGCAAGGCAAGCGCTCTACCACTGTGCCACCTTCCCATACCCGAGACTTTTATCTCCAATAAACCACCAGAAAACTGGAAGTGGCGCTGTAGCTCAAGTAATAGAGCACTAGCCTTGAGCTGAAGAGCTAAGGGACAGTGCTAGGCCCAGAGTTCAAGCCCCACTATCGACCACAAAAAGACAAAAAGCTCAAATGCAATATCAAAAATATCATGATAGCTTCAAAAACATGTCCACCATTAGAACAAATCATGTTAAGTGAGGTAAGCCAAGCTCAGAGAGACAAACAATGCATGTTCTCTCTGACATGCAGAAATTTGCTCTAAAATACACTGGATTATGATAAATTGCACAGGACTCTAGATACACCAATGAAAGCAAGAGAGGATACTCTTAGGCGAAAAACACAAAGGCACAATGCCTAAGTGCCTCTTCATATTTACATAAAATTATATCTATACATATATACATACACTATGGAAACAAGAGATCTCTCCTTTCTTTTTTAAAAAGTTTAAGGTTTCAGTTTTTTTATTTTCTGGTGATTCCGTCCTCTTTTTCTTATGTTTGGTGTATTCACATGTATACCTTTGCGAGGTAGAACTCAAGGAAAATAGGGTGAAAAAGTGCAGCAGTGTAACCCATTGGAAATGATGAAGTGAAGTATATAGCTCGAGAGCGGAGGTGGGAGGCAGGGGCTGGGAGAGAGCGAGGGGATAGAAGACACTGTACGAAAAGAAACGGACTCATGGGGCTGGGAGCATGGCTCAGTGGTAGAGCGCTTGCCTTGCATGCCTGAGGCCCTGGGTTCGATTCCTCAGCACCACATAAACAGAAAAGGCTGGAAGCGGCGCTATGGCTCAAGTAGAGCGCTAGCCTTGAGCTGAAGAGCTGAGGGACAGCGCCCAGGCCCAGAGTTCAGGCCCCATGACTGGCAAAAAAAAAAAGAAAAGAAAAGAAAAGTACTCGTTACTTGACTCATGTTGTTGTAAACCCTCTGTACAACACCTCTATAATAACAATAAAGTATATTAATTTAAAAAATACGTCCACAGATTCCTTCGTATTTCTTTCTCAAAGAGGTCGTTGTTCATTCCGTGCCCTTGACTTCAGGCAAAATTTAGTGGCTCATTTCTAACTGAGAACCCAGGAGAAGGGAGCATAGTTCACACCTGAGAGGACTTTATATGAACGCCGTGGCCTCTGTCTTGAGCACATGCTCTCTGACACCTCCTGCCTCAGAAGCTAGCTGTCTTGCTGTGAGCAGAACTGCTATGAGAACCATGGAGTAATAACTGCATTCACTGGCCAGTAATCAGAGAGGAAATGAGGCTTACAACACCCTGAGTGAGCTTAGAAATACATTTTCTAGGTGTAGTTGAGTCTACAGATGGCTGGCTACAGCCCTGGCCAACCATTTGACTTCAACCTCACAAGAGCCCTAGTTAAGCTGATTGCAAATCTGGACCATCAGAGGCAGGTTTTCAATTTGTGTCTGTATCAGTCAGTCATTTGTTACACAGCCATAGACAATATATACAAATGCCCCTAAAGTATAATTGGAATAATGTGCTACACAGCAAGAAATAACCGCAGAGAACTATGATATGGAGTCAGATTTCAAAATATACTAGGAATGAGCCAGGCACTAGTGGCTCACGCCTGTAATCCTAGCTAGTCAGGAGGCTGAGATCAAAGCCAGCCCAGGCAGGAAAGTCCATGGTACTTTTAGCAACAATTAACCACCAGAAAACCAGAAGTGGCACTGTGGCTCAACATGGTAGAGTGCTCACCTTGAGCTGTGTACACACACACACACACACACACACACACACACACACACACACACACACGGAATGAAAACACTCAATAGAATACAGGAAGTATCTGTTGCAAACTTCTGTTACGTTACAGGGGAAACTTCATTGCACCGAATTAAAGAAGCACAGATTATTTTTCTCAACATGGAAGCTAGGCCTGGAAAACTAACATTACATAAGAGAAGCTTGTGAGTATGTCGATGGCTCACACCTCTAATCCTAGCTGCTTAGGGTGCTGAGATCTGAGGATCATGGTTCAAAGCCAGCCTGGGCAGGAAAGTTCGTGAGATGCTTATCTCCAATTAACCACCAAAAAGCAGGAAAGTGGAGATGGCTCAAGTAGTGGAGCACCAGCCTTAAGCAAAAAAGTCCAGTGGAAGGGTAAGGCCCTGAGTTCAAACCCCACTTTTTGTATCTTTATTATATATTTCAATCCATGCACATTTTCAAAAGTTTTCCCCAAAAGGAACCCTATTGCACTGCTGGTGGGAATGTAAACTAATACAACCACTCTGGATGGTAGTTGGAAGGTTCCTCAAGAAACTAAACATAGAACTTTCCCATGACCCAGCCAGACCACTCTTGGACATCTTCCCAAAATATTACAAGTCAGAATATGATAAAGACATTTGCACATCTATGTTCATTGTTGCACTATTCACAATAGCCTAGTTACAGATATAGCCCAGATGCCCTACAAGAGTGGATAAAAAAAACTGTACCTATACACAATGGAATTTTAAACAGCCATTAGAAAGAATATTATATCATTTGCAGGGAAATGGATGGATCTAGAACAAATCATGTTAAGTGAGGTGAGCCAAGCTCGAGAGACAAATGACACATTTTCTCTCATATGCAGATAAATTATACAGCATTCCCACAGTGAGATCAAAGGAGGATACTCTTAAGAGAGAAACACAAAAGCACAGTGCCTATGTGCTTCTGATTATGTGACATTTATTGAAATGAAAACAAGAGGGCTTTTCTTGGTTGTTTTCGTTTTCTTTTCTTTTTGTCTTGTTTATTCATGTATTTGTCTTTGGAGGGGTAAGCGGGGCACAGAAATGGAGGGAAAAAGGTTGGGTAGACAAATGCAGCAGTGGTACTCACTAGACACTATGTTGAAAATTAAATGTGCAATGTATGGGTTGGGATGGGAAGGAAAAACTGAGAAAGATCAAGAGAAGGGGGGAACCACTGTCCAAAAAGAAATGTACTCAGTACCTGACTTATATAATTGTAACCCCTCTGTACATCACCTTGATAATAACAAAAAAATTAAGAGTTTTCCCTAAAATACATGTAGCAAATATGAGTTAATAAGAATTCATTTTGAATGGATTTTTCCTTTCATTTACAAATAATAAATACTATATGATACTTCCCAACATTTTATAAACATATATTCACTTCAGAGACAAATGAGGAGCTCAACTGTAACCATCACACTTTAGAAACAAAAGTGTGTACAAATTGAGGATTTCCAGTTAAGAATCCTCCCCAAAAGTTGAAGCATCAAAAGCAAAAGGAAATACTTTTAAAACATATGTTTTAAGAAAAAATAATCATGTACCAAGATTGCAGGGGACTTTTGTGCTGACCTTCAGACATCAATGCACGAACATCAAGTTTACAGCGTCCTCCAATTTCACCACTCTTGAAGAAATCTTCTTTGAATCTAGTATATAATATAAATAAAGTTGAGTTGGTTTTTTCTGGTTTTTTTCGGGGGGAGGGTGGTGCTTGATATCAGTCCTAGGGCTTGAACTCAGGACTAGGCACTCTACCTTAGCTTTTACACTCCAGGCTAGCACTCTATCTCTTGAGCCACAGCTCCACATCTGGCATTTTACTGGTTAATGGAAGATAAGAGTCTCATGGACTTTCCTACCTGGGTTGGCTTCACACTGTGATCCTCAGATCTGAACTTCCTGAGTAGCTAAGATTATAAGCATGAGCCACCAGTGCTCAGCAGAATATTGTTTTCATGACTCAAACTTCTGTGTTGTAACTAAGGGGAATTACTGGCCTCCCAAACACATCTGATCCGTGAACTGGATTCGTGATGGTGCTCCCCTAAGACCACATCTCAAGTAGCAATGTGGCTATCCTAGTTTGTGATAGTATACTCTATGATATTTACCTAGCAGTAAAGTCACCTAACAATACATTTTCTTTTCTTTTTCTTTCTTTTTTTTTTTTTTTGGTGCCAGTCCTGGAACTTGAACTCAGGGCCTGGACTCTTTATCAATGAGCTATTTTGCTCAAGACTAGCACTTTACCACTTGAGCCACAGTTCTACTTCCAGCTTTTTGGTGTATAATTAGAGATAAGAGTCTCATGGACTTTTCTGCCCAGACTAGCTTTGAATCACCATCCTCAGATCTCAGCCTCCTGAGCAGTTAGTATTATAGGTATGAGCCACCAGTGCCTGGCTTTAACAATGCATTTTCATAATGCATTGCCATCATTAAGGGAAACAAGGCTGTATTTAAAATAGAAAATGGAAAAGCAACTCAAAAGTAGGAGAATCATATAAGGGATTCGACTTGACCACAACACAATCAACTCCAAACCAATCGGAGTCCCTATTCCTTTACCCATTGCCCAACTCCTCAGCTAGTTTACTATGAAGAAGTCAATCCAGCGTGTAGCCGGGACCTAAACATACTTCAAACTTTGGCTATATTCTAGTATCATCATGTAAGTACCTGTCATGATTTCTCTTGATGCTCCTTAAGTCAAGGTAAAGGTTAGTTGCTCTGCAGTACTGAAGGTAACGGGAACATACCAGACTTGAATCGCTCTGAAATAAGGTCAGGAGAAAAAAGAAATACAAAGCAGTGAATTAACATTGCAAGGAGTAGCAGACTCTACTAGACATGTTGGCAGTGTGAACCCGCCCAAAATGATGGACAGTCACTCCACAGCCTACCTCTGTCTTGAATTGTCTCAATTTTTTTTCTTGAGACATAATTTTATTTTCTTGACACAGTCTCACTATGTAACACAGGACAGCCTTAAACCTATAATCTACCTGCTTCTACCTCCTGTGAGTTTGAATTACAGGTTTGCACTGCCTACCCAGCTTGGCTTCAAGAGTTAGAGCCAGAAGTTATATATATATGATTCAGTTCACTTTCCTTTACAAAAAAATTACCCAGAACCATTACTACCCTCAGCTATGTTGAAAAGATGTTTTTCAAAGATGAGCCAAAGAAAACAAGCAAGAATGCACAAGAAGAAGACATTTAAATGCAAGGCTACAAACAAGGACAGTTTGCCTATTTTAATAAGAGGTACTTTCTGCAAAGCTTCCCATAAGCCTGTAAGAGTCACCATCTCAACATTAACAGGAAAGTGATTCTCTCTACATAGAGAACAAAATAACTGAAGTCAACTGCAGAGCCCGTTTCAATTTCAACCAATCTAATCGGTACTCGAAGAAGGGGGTGCTTCAAAAACTTCCCTGCTCTGGATTTTATTTCGGCATTTAAATGTTCTTTGATTATTTTTCTCTCAAATATCCAGTGACAATGGAGAAGTTGCTCAGCTCCTGTGAGGACCCTGTTTTCTACTCTTGAAAATTCTATCAGAGCCTGGCACCTATGGCTTACTCATGTAATCCTAGCTATTCAGGAGGCTGAGATCTGAGGACCCTGGTTCAAAGTCAAGCAGGCAGGAAAGTTCCTAAGACTCTGACTACAACTAGCCATCAAACAAAGCCAGAAGTGGAAAAAACTAAGCAACAGCTTTTAGGCCCTGAGTTCAAGCCCCAGTAATAGCGCGCACGCACATGTACAGGCACACATGCACACATGCACACATGCACACACACACACACACACACACAAATTTGTATCAGTGTATCATTTGTATCTACTGTAAGGCTTGTGAGACTCAAACTAGACAATATACAGAAAAGCTTTCTTCAAACAATCAAGTGGTAAGCAAACATTTGATACATTGCCAGTCCCAAATGATCTGGGAAGGCATTTGTTAAGAGTCTTTCAGTCTCTCTTTTCTTCCTTTCTTTCTCTCTCTTCCTCTCCTTCCTTCCTTCCTTCCTTCTGCCAGAGAATTTAAACTCAAGGACTAACACTTAGCTTGCTTGCTCACAGCTGGCATTCTACTATTTGAGCCACCCCTCTAAGCCCAAATTTTGCTGGTTAATTGGAGACAGTCTCTCAGCGTTTTCTGCCTGAGATACTGTCAAACTGTGATCCTCCAGATCTCAGCCTCCTGAGTAGTTACAGGCATGAGCCACTGATATCCTGCTCAATTTCTCTTCGTTAGTATATATGATGGGGAAAGGAAGGATTCCATTTTTAAAAAATATATTTCAGCTGCCTCAAAATACGACTATCTGATGTATATGTGAAAATGAGAACAAGGCTTCCAAAGAAAACAAATGATTTATTTTAGGATGTTAAATAAAATTCTGAGCCCAAGATGGTGGAGTATACTGATAATCCCAGCACCAGAGAGGCCAAAAGGTTAAGGCTAGGCTCAACTACATGATAAGACTTGTCGTGTAGGGTCTTGTCAAAAAAATTCTAAGCCAATAAACGAAACTGAGAGGTTCCTTTCATTGTACCACTTATCTTGTTTTTCTATTACAGTCTATGTGATAAAGCTTCTTTGTAGCGCTAAACACACCATTTCCTGTGGCTGGCAGAGTGCATGCATTCCATCCAGTCGCTCCCTGGCGTAGCCAAAGTCAGCTTGTTTCCAGAATATGTCAGCTGCCGATTCCAGGGTGTCCGTCCTATTTTATAAAAAAAAAAAAAAAAAAAGATTCTGAGGTTTTTTTTTTTCCTTTTCCTGGAACTTAAACTTCATGTGTATGTGTGTGTATGCGTGCACCTGTATTCAGAGCCTTACACTCTCCCTTGGCTTTTTTATTCAAGGCTTGCACTCTATGCTTGAGTCACAACTCTACTCCTAGCTTTTTGCTGGTTAGTTGGAGATAAGAGTCTCATAGACATTTTTGCCCAGATGGCTTCAAACCACAATCCTCAGATCTCAGCCTCCTGAGTAGCTAGGATTATAGGAGTGAGTCACCAGGGACTGGCTTGAACTTATTTTCTACAGGTTCAATTGCTAGAAGTCTATTTTATTCTTCTTCGAATTCATTTGATCTTATTATAGTTTGCCCACAACTATCCCTCTGTACATCAAGTTACTATATAATAAGTTAATTATAGATTTGATCCCTTCTAATGAAAAGAGAAAACAGAACTTTCTGAGCTCAGGGTCATCAGGAACTCCTGGCTACTGTATTTTTCTTCACCCTTTGACTCTGCATACATTGGAAGTACTAAATATAGTTGTCACTTCCTTCCACAACCCACAGGAAAGCATCCATTTATCTTCTAAGCTTGTACAGTAGAGCAAGAGTGGGGGAGGAGTCTTTAGCCCAGTGGTTTTCTCCCCTCTGGTAGAGGAAATGACAGATTTCTACCCCAGTGTGAGGTACTCAAGTTGAATTCAAGACTGGATAAGCAAAATAATATCTAAAAAACCATGATCTAGGGGCTGGGAAGGTGGCTCAGTGGTAGAGCACTTGCCTTGCATGCTCGAGGCCCTGGGTTCGATTCCTCAGCACCACATAAGAAAAAAAGCCAGAAGTGGCGCTGTGGCTCAAGTGGTAGAGTGCTAGCCTTGAGATGAAGAGCTGAGGGACAGCACCCAGGCCCAGAGTTCAGGCCCCACGACCAGACCCAAAAAAAAAAAAACAAACCATGATCTAACCATAAAAGATTCTGGCTGAGAATGAGGACATCAATATGTAGTTCAGGAAAAGAAAGGAGTGAATCTACACAGAAACTTACCATCCCAGGTCCACGTAGCTGCAGACAGGGTAACCAAATCTGAACTCTGGTTTGCAGGATTTCTCATAACCCCAGCAGGACTTTAGATTTGTTAAGTGTTTCTAGAACATAGAGTGTAGACATTTAGATTGGTCTTCCTTCTAATGTTTAGAGAAGACTCTTGGCTTTCTTTTGTTCCACTAAGAAAGTAAACCTTCATAGACCTTTAACATTTATATTTTACAACAAAATGCATATGATAGAAGTGACCAAGGCTAGGCACTGGCGATTCACATCTAATCCTAGCTACTCAAGAGGCTGAGATCTGAAGATTGATGTTCAAAGACAGCGATGTTCAAAGACAGCTCAGGCAAAAAAAAAAAAGTCAACAAATTCTTATCTCCAATTAACCAGCAAAAAGCTCTGAGCAAAAACAAGGAGGAGGAGGAGGATGGGGAGGGAAGAGAGAGGGAAGGAGAAGGAATGGCAGAAGGAGAGGGAGGAGAGAAGCGGAAGAAGGGGAGGAGAAGAGAGGTGAAGGAAGAATAAGAAGGAGAAGGAGGAGAAGGAGAAAAAGGAGGAGGAGGAAGAGGAAGAAGAGGAGGCAGAGGAGGAGGAGGGGGGCAATGGGGAAGAAGGAAAGAGGAGGAGGGGGGGGGAAGGGGAAGGCATGATACCCATTAAACCACTCCTCCAACCTGTTTTTTACTGGTCATTTTTAGGATAGGGTCTTGCCTGGGCATATGCCTGAGCCTTAATCCACCTATTTTAAGCTTCCCAAGGTGGCTGGGATGATAGGCATGCACAACTATACCCACCTTCCCTCTATGGAGATGGAGTCTCATGGACTTTTCTCGCCAGGGCTGCCCTGGATCCTTCCAATCTCAGCCTCCTACATAACTTGAGATGACAGGTGCACAATACTGCACCCAGCTATGGGTTGAGAAAAGAGGGTGTATGAATTTCTTTTCCCAGGCTGGCTTCAAATTATGTTCCCACCATTCTCAGCCTCCCAAGTAGTTAGGATTGCAGGTGTGAGCCACTGGTGCCTGGACAGTCTCAACGTTCTTACAATGGTCATTTCTCACTGTCTCGTCAGTTCTCCCATCAAAAGCCTTATTTACCTAGACTGCCAAAGACCAGTGTGGAATTGGAACTTCTTGAAGGAGCTTTTAAAAGCTACCCTTCTCAGAGAGCAAATCATTCTAAAATCAGTCCCTAAAAAAAGGGCGGGGAGGCGGGGGGGGGGAAACCGAAGGGAATTTTCTGTTATCCAAAACAGAGTTGAACTAAATGGATCGCTCCTTTAGTCATCAATTAAGGTCAGAGACACCGGGCAAGGTCAACACACCACAGCCCTGAGGGACACAGCTGCTGCCAGCCAGTGCTCCTCCTCTGTAAGGGCCCAGGAGCAAAGCTGGCCTGCTTCCAGGATTGTTTTTCCATCTGCTTCCTGTGCCAGCACCATGGGAAAGGAAATGCCACTTCATGCCCAGCTTTGATCTCCAAGGCCGCCCAGAGCCTCATAATGTGCTCGCCTTTGAGGCCTTTCCAAGCCCACCAGCTTAATTATTTGGAGACAGAGGCTGGGGCATCATTACTGAAATTAAGTGCTAAGAGACCTCTTTAAGTGTGGTGGAAAAAAGAAGAGGTGTGAATTTTTTTTCCTTTGAACAACATGTGCTCTTTCCAAATTTGCTTCATTCAGGGAATATACAGACGATATTGGCTGCCAATTTACTCCAGGGGTGCATTTGATTTTAAGTTTCACCCTTGTGACTAGGACATTTAAGCCAATTTTGTCACTTAGCAGTATTAGATAAAGATAATGACTGGCTCATGATGACAGCAGAAGGAATTCTACCTTCCATTTCAAGTTGTAAAGCACAACCAGCAAGCCGGTCTCAATTGCACCCTTTTAAAAATGGGTAAGAGGAGAGCCCTGATGGCTCACGATAGTAATTCTAGTCACTCAAGAGACTGAGATCTGAGGATCCCAATTCGAAGACAACCCAGGCAGGAATGTCTGTGAGACCAAAAAACAAAAAAAAGTACAAAAGTGGAGATATGGCTAACCTTGAGCCAAAAAGCTCAGGGACAGTACCTAGGCCCTGAGTTCGAGCCCCTGGACTGGCAAACAAACAACAACAACAAAAAAAAAAAAAAAAAACAGAAGAAGAAAAGACATAGCAGGGTGCTAGTAGCTCATACTGTAATCTTAGCTACTCAGAAGGCTGAGATTTGAAGGTTACCATTTGAAGGCAGCCCACACAGGAAAGTCTATGAGACTCTTATCTCTAAATAACCACCAAAAATCCAGAAATGGAGCTATGGATCAAGTGAGAGAGTGCTAGGCTTGAACAAAATTGCTCAGGGAGAGCATTCAAGACCCAGGATTGGCACAGGAAAAAAAAAAAGAAGAGAAAAGATATAAAACCCACCTTATATGGACAGTGTGCGTCCTCCTTGCAGACAGTGGCAATATGCCTGTTGTTGTGCAAGAAGAAGGGAATGTGCTCCTCGGGCAGGCGGACACTGGTGTAGTCGTACAGGGGCAGGCCTGGAAGGCTGTCACTCTGCAAATGAGCCTCATCCTGGCCACTCAGTAGGACTTCATGAAGTACTCCAAAGACAAGCAGCATTAACATAGCAACCTGCAATCTAGAGATGAAAACTTCTTTGTTAAGAAATGTCCTTCGTTAGGGGCACTGGGGCTCACACCTGTAACACTAGCAACTCAGGAGGATGAGATCTAAGGATCAAGGTTCAAAAGACACCTCAGGCAGGAAAAACCAACCCATGCATGAGATACTTATCTCCCATTAGCGACCAAAAAGGCAGAAGTAGAGTTAGCCTTGAGTCAAAAACACAAGAAACAATGCCTTTGCCCTGAGTTCAAGTCCTAGTACCACCACAAAAGAAAGAAAGGAAGAAAAGCAAGAAAGAAATTCCAAGCAGGAAACATAGCTATAGTATGTTTTGCCATAGCTTTCTACTAAATGTTTTTCTTTAGTCATTGTTCATAGTACACCTGTTGTGTTCCAGGCACTGTTAGGAGATAGCTATGCCTGGTGTCTGGGAGAGTAAAATATCCTACCCTGTAAATATTCCTTTGGTATATGTTGAGTTGGTTATTCATAGAAAACATAGACCTCTGCAGACACAGGGATGGCTCAGAAACTTGCACCTCTCTCCATTAGCAAACAGTGGGGCCAGGAATGGGCTTTTAGACTGGACATTCCCCTTGATGCCTAAGAAAAGTCTTTCCACCTAAAGAAATGGAGACTCTGACACCTGACCCTTTCCAAGATCACCACAAGTGGCTATTACCTAGATTTCATCTGCATATTAAGACAAGCCTTGCTTACACAGCACGTTCCCTCTCCCCACCAACTATTCACAGCCTCCACTACCTGCTTCACTTGAAACCCAAACCCTAGATTTTTTTTGGGGGGGGGTCTGGTCGTGGGGCCTGCACTCTCGGCCTGGGCGCTGTCCCTCAGCCCTTCAGCTCAAGGCTAGCGCTCTACCACTTGAGCCACAGTGCCACTTCCAGCTTTTTTTTTTCTGCTATGTGGTGCTAGGGAATCGAACCCAGGGCCTCATGCATGTAAGGCAAGTGCTCTACCACTGAGCCACCTTCCCAGCCCAAGCCTAGATCTTTTTGTTAAACTTTCCTCACTGTCTTGTCCATGCAGGAGTCTTTGACTAATTAGATTTACATGTTGGTTTTTATTTTCCTGTTTTCTGTTTATTATCAGTTTATTTCACAGGCTGGCATTACCAAATTTAGAAGCAAAAGAGTGAATGAAAAACTTCTCTGTGCAAGGGTAAACAAAACAAGAAAGAGCTTTGCTCTCAAGGAACTTATGACCTAGTATGAAAGACATAAGCAATCTAGCAAACAACTTCACATGATGATAACTGTAAAGCAAATAGTCCAGGAGCCAGTAGATTTTTTTTTTTCTGTAAAGAATAAAGTAAATGCATTTAGCTCTGCTGACTAGTGAATCTCTGTGGCAAACCACACACCACCTTTGTGGGAAAAGCAGCCACAGTTTAATGTAAAGCAATGAATGTGACTGTGTTCTAATAAAACTTTATTTATAAAGATGGAGATAAGGACTTGATATGACCCAGTTTGTCAATGACTGAAATAAAGTCAGGTAATATGAAAGACAACATAGCTTGCCAAGTTAAGAACACAAACTTTGAAGCTCAGTCACTGGGGTGGTTTAAACTTTCTATAGGACACTTTAACTTCCTACTTGTAAAACAGAAATAACAATAAGCCTCCCTCAGGGGCTTATGAGTTAATAACAGGTAAAGTGTTTATCTAGCACACAGAAAGTGCTATGGCAGTGTTTATTAAAGAACTGTTTAATGCCATTTGGAGCTGAGGGGGGTGGATTGTTAAATATCATCTGAGCTGAGACCTTACTATGAGGAAGGAATTTACACCAGCAAGGGAGAAAAAAAGGTTCTATTACTCTGAGCAAGTGCATATCTGCTGAATAAAAAGTGATAAGAACCATGGCAGGCAAGGTGGCACATGACTGTAAGCCCAGCACTTAGAGAGGCTGAAAGAGGAGGATTGCAAATTTGAAGGGGCTAACATAGGAAGTGCCAGGCCAGCTTGATCTACACAGTAAGACCTTGTCTCTGAAAATCAAAACCATCATCATTACAAATCATAGATGATCTATGTGCTCTAATTACAAGTATAGCAATGAAGGTGTAATCATGACCTCAGCTCATTCCAGGAGATAGTTATAACCTGTGGTATTTTCTATGGTTACATACTGCATTTCTAACTCAATCAGAAAGAGTCAAATATCTTGGGACAAATTCTCCTTCATGTCTCTGACAATAATCATGTCATTCTCAGTTTCCCTTTATTGGTATCAGAGCTGTTTTGAGGTTTTTGCTTTCGGTTGCTCTTTCCACCAGATGACACACATTGGCTGTTTCCCAGTAAGATCTTTCATTTTCCTGGGATAATAAAGATCAATACAACTTTCAAAATCAGTCTTTACTGACTACAGACTTGCATAGTTGTACACACTTGTAATCCCAACCACTTAGAGAGGGAAGCAGGAAGATGGTAAACCTGAGGCCAGTCCTTGCAAAGATAATAAAAAAATAATAATAATAATGTGATAGAGCTGAGAGTTTAGTTCAAATGATAAGAGCACTTGTCCAGCATGTATAAAGCCTTGGGTTCAATCACTAGTACTGGGGAAAGAGAGACACTGCTATGTTCAACAAACCCACAGTTTCAAGGCCACGAGATCATACTGAGCAGTGGGAGCACCAAAATGAAATTCTTTCCCCCTGTAGAGCAGTACATTTAGAGATTTTTCCATTTAGGCAGTCCTGTTGTAAATCTGATCTCAACGGATCTTTTCAGTTGGAACTTTCATCACACAGCGAATTAACAGCAACTTAATAAAGTTTAAAAATACAAATAAATAGCAACAATGATTCTATTTACAGTGGAATTTTTTTACCTGTATTCCTCAGAATCACTCTGAAGCTGTTGAGGTTTCAAGTGTTTAAAACCTGTCAGAAAAGAACACACAGCATCTTTAAAAGCATGCTCAAATAGATTTCCTCAGACAGGGGGTGTTTTGATTTCAAGGAACTACTGAGAGAAAATAATTTAATGAGAAAAGCCCTAACCTTGAGACCTGGCAGCTCAGCCTGCTCTTTCTTTTCTTAAGGAAAACAAAATTACAGGCATCGTACTAAACATCTAATCCAACAGACCAGATTCTAAGGGTGGGCAGGAAAGAGGTAGTCCACTTTTACAGAGTCATTAGCAGGCTAGGCCAACAGGAAATCTGGCAGCAAAAGCATTCCTGGGAGCAAATTGTGTTCCTGGTTCTCACTGCAGTAATCCTGCAGGGAATGTCAGGGCTCCCTGCAAAAGCCAGCCCTGGGTTCACAGACAGGCCATCCTATCCGTTTGGGTCATAAAGTTATTGTTAGGGTCCAAGAACTGAACTTCAGTCACCCAAGTCCATTGTCCTTCAGAGAGCTCTGGTCATGGCTAAACTCACCCATCCACAGATGCAACAGTTCAGCATGGGGTAAATAAAATATGTGAAGAGGCAGATCAGCAAGAAACCTGGCTAGAGAGAGAAAGGCAGGTACCCACTTGCTTAAGCTGGACGGGGGTGTTGTCTGCTGGAGCATGAAAGTACAGCCTGGGGCCTGGGGTTGGGTCTGTAGCTGCTCCAGGAGATGGAAGCTTTTCCAACAGATGCTACTTTTTTCCTTCTGCACAGGTGGGCGCCCTCCACTCCAGTACCACTTGATTGGATTTCCACAGGCCTAGGATGAGGGGAGCAAAGCAAAACATAGTTTGACAGGTGAAAGCGGGGTTGACAGGACTCACGATGAGCGCTTCCGGCCAGGAGTTTTGGAAATATTGAAAGGAGGAAGTAGATCGAGGAAGACAAATGCTTGGGAAGGCGGGGCGAGGGGTAGGGGTGGGGGGAGGTCCCCAGCTGGTGGCTCATGCCTGTAATCTCAGCAAGAGGCTGAGATCTGAGGATCAAGATTGGAAGCCAATCTGGGCAGGAAAAGTCTGTGAGACTCTTACCTCCAATTAACCAGCCAAAATTAACCAAACACAAACAAAAGAGAAAAAATAATAACCAAGAACAGAAGAGGAGCTGTGGCTCAAGTACTAGAACGCCAGCCTGGAGCTGGAAAAGGCTGAGGGGCAGCATGTTGGCCCTGAGTTCAAGCGCCAGTGTAAGCATAAAAAGGAAGGGAAAGGAAAGGGAAACTAAGCAAGAGTGCAGGGTCTTGAGTTCAAACCCCGGTACTGGCATGCAGGCACACACGTGTGCGCGCACCCACACGCACACGCGCGCGCGCGCGCATCTGAAAGTCCCTGACTCCTAAATGGATACCACCAACTTGTAATCACCAAGTCCCGGTGGACACAAGGCCGGCCTCGGTGCCCCATAGCGTCCCCGGTGTGGCTAGGATGCCGCACGCGGGTCCCCCAGCCCAGCAAGGCCTCACTCAGGGCAGCCAGGAGTGGGGGACCCCCCCCCCCCGGAGGCGCGCGCACCCCGGCTCCCAGGTGCGCCCAGGAGGCCGCGGCCCGGGGCTCAGCATGCTCCCCGCGCGCGGCGGGACCCCGGGACCCGCGCCCGGCTGCAGACGCCAGGACTGGCCGGGCGCTCGCTCGCTCGCTCGGGAGAACTCTTCTCGGAAGCGGATGCGCGAGCGGAGACCCGGGGCCGAGCGGCCGCAGCGGCCGGGGTTCGGGGGAGTGAGCGAACCGGGCGCCGTGGGCGCGGGAAGGGGAGCGCGGGGCGAGGCCCACCTGGAGCCCGGCTGCCGAAGAGGACGACGAGACGGCGGCTCCCGAGCTGGAATCGTCACAACCGGCTGCTGGAGCTCACCGGAAACCTCCGGCGCCAGCCGGCCCAGGGGGCGCCAGGGAGCAGCCGAGACACCTTAGCCGCGGGCTCAGGGCCGTGCGAGGCCCGCGGGGCCGGGACTCCGGACGCGCGCCCGGCCCAGCGCCCCGAGCTCCGCGGGACCCCGCCAGCTCCCTCCCGCCCCGCCTCCGCGGACACAGCCCGGGACCCCTCGCGCGGCCGCAGCCGCAGAGCCCTCGGCAACCTCGCCGCCCCGGGATCCCTGGAGAAAGAAAGCCACGGGGCCCAAAACCTGTGTGCTCTGCCCTGCCTGGAACACCGCCAGAACCTTGTTTTCGTTTTCATTTGGGGCAGGAGTTCCAGCTCTAAGTTGCAAAAATCAAGACTGGACACAGTTTACCTATCTATCTATCTATCTATCTATCTATCTATCTATCTATCTATCTATCTATCTATCTATCTATCTATCTATCTATCCTATACATATATTATATATACATACATATGTGTCTATCCATAATACATATATTAATACAATATGTGTGTATATATGGTATTGTGTATATAATGGTATTATTAATCCATGTATTCTTTAAAAAGAAGGGCCAGTTACTGTTGCTCTATTATTATACATTGCCTATTCCATACTAATAAGGGTAGGTAATTTGTTTTGATACTGACGATTGGAACCCAGGGCCTTAAGAGCTACACCCCTAGGCCAGCAGAGCAATTTCAAAAAGTGCTTACTTGGCTTCTCTTATTTTTGTCGTGCACAGGAAATGCAGCTTTCCTGTTCATGTAAAATACTGTAATCTTTTAAAGGGAATTTTTAAGCAAGCTGGTTTTGCACTGTAAACATACAAAGGAGAAAGGTTTCTAAAAATAAATTAGCCCACTTGCAAAGACATACAAACCAATCAAATACAAACCCAGGCTGGAACTCGGCCTGGGCGCTGTTCCTGTGCTCTTCAGCTCAAGGCTAGCGCTCTACCACTTGAGCCACAGCAGTACCACTTCCGATTTTCTGGTGGGTTATTGAAGACAAGAGTCTCACGGACTTTCCTGCCTGTGCTGGCTTTGAACAAGGATCCTCAGATCTCAGCTAGGATTATAGGCGTTAGCCACCTGCACCTGCTGCAATTTTAAGTCTACATTTTGTGTGGTTATTGAGACAGGAAATAAGATAATGGGATTTTAAGAATATGGCTACATTACTACACAGACATTCTCAACCCTGAATTTCCACCAAAACATCCTTGTTGCAATTTAATTATAACTGTCTTCAAATTGACAGTAACATATACTCAATTGTCTACCATAGGACACTGATTGAATAAACTATGTTGTGTCATCAGCTGTTACTGTAACAATTACCTGAGACAATCCACTTAAAGAGAAGAAAAAGTTGAACCAGGTGCTGGTGTCTCCTAGTTATCAGAAGGCTGAGGTCTGAGGATGAAGGTTCAAAGCCAAGGTCTGGCAGGAAAATCTGTGAGAGTCTTATCTCCAAATTAACCACAAAAAAAGGCAGAAGTGGAGCTGTGGCTCAAATGTTAGAGTACTAGCCTTGAGCACAAAAGCTCAAGGGCAGCACCCAGGACCTGAGTTCAAGCCCAGGACAGGTGAGTGTGCATGTACCCACATGCATGTATATGTGCACATGTGCGCATGCACACACATACACACAGAGAGAACACACAGAGAGAGACAGAAAGAGACAGAGGAGGGGGAGACGAAGAAATAAAAAGGTATTTTGGAGATTTCTGGCTATAGCTTGTGATGAAGCAGCTCACCATGATGGGAAATTTATGGTAAAGCAAAACCACTCACCATCCCGTGGTTAAGGAGTCAACAGGGAAGGAGCTGGGGGACCACTGTCCCCTAAAAGACATACTACCAAAGAGCTGAAGACTTCTCACTAGGCCCCACCTCTTCATTTCTACCATCTTCCCATTGTACCAAAGGCTGGAGACCAAGCCTGTGATACCAGGACCTTAGGTGACCTTCCAGAACCAAACCATTGCACATAGCAATTCCACACAATGGAGAACCATGCAGGCTTTAAAAGGAATCAGGGATAACCTGCACTACATTATAACCACGTAAACAAAAAGGAGTTTCCTTCCACCTGGATTGTTGCTGTGCCAATGGTTGGTTGGTGTGTTCAATCAAGAAAGGAAACACACAAGTAAGGTACAAATAGGACATTAGCCCCAACTACTGAACCCTTGAAGATTAATATTTGTACAATCATAATACTGTTCCTTTCTTCTTGTATGTTCAAAATTTTTTATAATCAGAACTTTTTAATTCTTTATTTAAAAAGTGGCCAGGTAGGTGCCAGTGGCTCACACATATAATCAATCCTAGCTACTCGAGAGGCTGAGATCAGGAAGATCCCAGTTGAAAGAAGCCAGGGCAAAAAACTTTGCTAGATTTTTACCTCCAAAATAACAAGTAATAAAGGCAGGCTGGAGGCAAGCTAAAGTGGTAGTCCCAACTGAGCAATGAGTTCAAACCCCAGTAATCTCCCCTTCCAATAAAAAGGCAACAAAAGGATTAACTTTAAAACATTAAAGTGGAGCATACAATTCCTTTTCTACCAATTCTTGTGATTTTGCTTTGCTGGAAGCCAGGGCCATGCACTCAAGGCAAGTGCTCTACCACTGACCTACATCCCCAATCCCTGAATTCTTTTTATTAGAATAAGGACACACATCATTTGTTACCTAACATCCCTCCTGAATCCTAGGTCACAACTCCAGTGTCTCACACAGTATCTCTGCAGCAAAATGCATGGGTATGCACCCTGAGTAAAACGATAAACAGCCTCAATTCCATGCACATCAGGCACTACCATCTAAGTGGACGTGACAGCAAATAGGAAAATATATGGCTTTAAGAAGCATGGACAAAGGGATTATGATCCTGATCCTATGTAAGTGAATTCCCTACAAAGTGCCTGGGACAAGGTTGTTTGTATTATTGATGCAACCACAGACTTCTGAACATTATTTTCAAAAATCAAGATTGCAATTTTGAATAGACAATTGGCCCAACATACAAACTAAAAAGAGTAAGTCTATCTTCTGCACTGCCCATCACTACCAGGAAAAGCAAGAACCTTTGATTTTAAACAGAAAAACTTCTCATTGCCTCTGTATTATTTAAGCCTTAAATATTTCAACTTGGCATAGTTGGGAGTGGGACATTCCAGACGGTGATACAGGTAAACTTTATCACAAATGTGGACTACTGAAGCATTTCAAGTTGTTTAAAAGAAAACTGAAGTTTTTTTTTTTTTAATCCATTCTTTTTTATAAGAAGATCTTGATTTCCTAACAGGCATTCCTATGTATAAAGGCAAGAGCTTAATGTAATTTCAGGGATCAAAGTTATAGAGCTCAATACAAGCAATATGAACTGAGGATGAGAGGATAAGTTATGTTACCCTTTGAACACAGCAGGCGGGGGATCGAAGGGGAAGACACATGATCTACATGGTAATTACCAGTAAAGTAAGTAAATTCTTAGAACTAGGTTTTCCAAAAGCCTATGTTTATTAGAAAAACTAGGCCTAATTCTAACTCTTAGTAACTCAGAAAATTTTGTTTTGTCTTCATTTTCTTAAAACTATCAATTCCAAAGTTATAGAAGTTATATGACTTTCATATAACAATACTATCATGGGGGGCAGCACACACTTGGACTCTGGTACCCGGGGCTTGAACTTGGAAACTGGGTACTATCTTTAGCTTTTTTTGCTCAAAGCTGGTTTTCTGCCACCTGAGCCACAGTTTCATTTATGGCTCTTTGGTGGTTAATTGGAGATTAGAGCCTTATGTACTTTGCTGCTCAGGTTGGCTTTGAACCATAATCCTGGATCTCGGCTTCCTAAGTAGCTAGCATTATAGACATGAGCCACCAGATGCCCTGCTAACAATATTCTTCACTCACTGGTATTCACCCTCTAAAATGGTGTCAAGATGAAATACATGACTATTATTTTCTTTTTCGAGTCCGGTCGTGGGGTCTGAACTCTGGGCCTGGGCGCTGTCCCTCAGCTCTTCAGCTCAAGGCTAGCGCTCTACCACTTGAGCCACAGAGCTACTTCCGGCTTTTTTGCTTATGTGGTGCTGAGGAATCGAACCCCAGGGCCTCATGCATGCAAGGCAAGCGCTCTACCATTGAGCCACCTTCCCAGCCATGACTATTATTTTCAAACCTTTATTAAGATCAGGTTCATGCTTATTTACAAGAGCTTTCATTTAGAATTAAAATATCAATCTGTAATTTAAATCATTCTTTTAGCCCTTTACAAAATATATAAAGATTGTAGAGGTTAAAACTGACCTATAATAGGAGACATTGAATCAGCTTTTGTGAAAATGTTAACAGCAGAACATATATACAATGCCAACCAAATAGTCAAACAAGATAAAACATTTATGGTCAATTGCTTCTTTTTCTGGTGTATATATTCTGAGTACTACAAATCCTATGCTTATTAATAAGCATTCAAATAAAAATGACGAGGGCTCATGAGATAAAAGCTTTCCTGAACAATCTTTATTTACTTGTCTGCAAAACCTTGTGTTTTCCTACATTAAAAATTACCTATATTTAGAATACTTTAAATCACAATATGAATACATCTGGTACATTCTTCACACTAAACATGGTGCTAAAAATCTTGAAAAAACGGGGCAAAGAAATGGCAGTGTCAGTTTAGCTTTCCAGAAGATTGATTGAAGGGGACTCTTCAATCTGTGCTATTACTCATGCTGCTTTTACTCTTTTATAAAATAATCTAATACTGGGCATGGTAGTCCATGCCTATAGTACTTGTTTCTCAGAGTTTGAGCTTGGGAGGGTTATGGTTTTGAAGCCAGCCCAGGCAAGGAAGTTTATTAGACCCCATCTCAGCAGAAAAAAACTGAGAATGGTCGTACATGACTAGCACCCTACCTACAGTAGGAAGCATAAATAGGAGGGCTGCAGTCCAGGCCAGCCTGAGAGGGGGAGGGAGGAAGGGGTGAAACTTTATGACAAATACATCTAACAGCAAACTATTTTTAACCCATTAAAATGAGTATTACTTTACTACAATATGAATAGAGACGTTTCCATGACAAGTAGTTAAAACACAGCAATCAATATTGAATACATATTCTGCCATTTCATTGGAGTTATACAAGAAATTGACTCGTCATATCTTTTCAATTTAGAAATGTACTGACAGATCTAAGTATACAATAATCAAAATAAAATCTATGTGAACATCAGCTACAAGCTATAATTTGTATATAATGCATATTAAGTAGTAATATGCAACCAACAGGAGGCTTAAGTACCTGTTTGTCATTCCCAAATTAAATTTAAAACACTATAAATTTTAAGTGAAATAATTTCAATGATTTTAATAAGGATTAAAGAAAAATATTTAATATGATAAAACTGATATGTATAGAAAAGAATTTAGACCATCTTTTCTCTGCAACTAGTTTATTTTTAAACTAACAGATGTTTTAAAGGACTATTTTATAATTCCTAAACACCTAGTTTCAAAACTTAATCAGAATTTTGAAATTTAAGTTTCCTATATTTTATAACTCTAACATTTATTGCTATTAGTCTTAGTCTTTCCCCTGAATATTTTTTGAAAAAACTGACAAACTCATACTGCTTTCAAACCACTAAAATGTAGGAAATTAATTTTATGAATGTGACTTTTTTGATATTTCTTAGTGCTATAAATCAGAGTGCCAAGGACAGAAATTCTATCTGGAATACAAAAAGAACAAAAATAAGGGCTGCGAAGGTGGCTCAGTGATAGAGTGCTTGTCTTGCATGCATGAGCCCCTGGGTTCGATTCCTCAGCACCACGTAAGCAGGAAAAAAAAAAAAAAAGCCGGAAGTGGCACTGTGGCTCAAGTGGTAGAGTGCTAGCCTTGAGCTGAAGAGCTGAGGGACAGTGCCCAGGCGCAGAGTTCAGGCCCCATGACTGGACCCAAAAAAAACAAAAAAAAGAACAAAAACAAGATCACTTGAATTATTCTGAAAAGCTCTCCAACAAGCTTACTTGTGGCTGTATATTGGATTACAAATGTTTTAAATTGGGCTGGGAAGGTGGCTCAGTGGTAGAGTACTTGCCTTGCATGCATGAGGCCCTGGATTCAATTCCTCAGCACCACATAAGCAAAAAGAAAAAAGCCGGAAGTGGCGCTGTGGCTCAAGTGGTAGAGCGCTAGCCTTGAACTGAAGAGCTGAGGGACAGCGCCCAGGCCCAGAGTTCAGGCCCCACAACCAGACCCCCCAAAAAAAACAAAAACAAAAACAAAAAACCAACAACAACAAAAAACAAATGTTTTAAATTTAACTAAAAATTAAAGATTTTGAAAGTAGAGTAAAATCCCACCTTATCAATAGAAGGCATGTTCCCAGATACTCAGTGAAACCATACAGAGGACCATGATGCTCATGTTCCACAGAAACTTCCTCCTTTTCTCACTTAATGGAAGTGCTGCCTGCCTTCCCCTCTGCATCTCTGCTTTGGGGCCATGTAGTAAAGGGTTCCTAGATACAGTTCTGCGGTGCTGTGAGGCCACTAAGTGACTAACCCAAGGGTGTACGAATGCGTTTAAATTTAGGTTTCCCAAGTATTTTTGTATTGTAGTTCCTGTGGGTTGATACCACAGATAAGGAGGAACTACAATAAACGAGTATTAAAATATTTTGCAGGTGTAAAATTCAACCCAGGTAACTTTTGAACAAAATTGCATTTGGGAAAGGATATAACTATTTTCTAAAGCTATTTCACACTCTTTTTAAAAATATTATTAGTTTAAAGCTTCAAGAAAAAAAATGAGAAATTACACAAGCTGTAAAATCTCAGATTTAAATTAATTCCAACAAATTTTCTATTTTGTGGTATATATTCCATTGTAGAAAAACAATTCATTATTAATGTGCCAAGAATATGGCTTTATAAAATGTATAAAGTAGTTTAAAGAATTATATTAATAATTTTATTAGTTTTGGTTCATTTTATAATGAGTGAATAATGCTTTCTCAAAATTACTTAAATGTTACTGATGGCATTACAAATTATCTTAATTTTCCATTATCCAATTATGTCTAGGTAATTTTGAGCATGTGTAGCTTTCTTTGGCACCAAAAGATACCAAACTTAGTTCACATTTAATTATGGAACCTGGATGATGTAAAAATCTCAAAAAAAAATTTTTTTAACTTTTCACTCTTTAAACTTCAGATAGTATCAGTGTAACTTCAACTTTTAAAGGAAAAAAAATCTTTAAATTTAATAACCACAGGTAAAGCAACTTTACTTGATCACTTAAAAAACATTTGATATATTGAAGATTTGTGTAAAGAGTTCAAAGTTTTAATATGTTAATATTACTTTTAAACATTCTCAATATATACAATAAGCATGTATAAATTATAGATACAACTAATAATATATGTACAATTATGTATGAACACCACTCTCTTCCCCTAGACATAGTGATTAGTGGATAAAGTAACAAGTCTCTGTGCTATTCAAGGCAAAAAAAAAATTGAATGCCTTAAAAAATAAATCTTTAAAGAATAGTTTTAAAAATAATGTTCAAATATTGCACAAAATAATTTAACTGCAAATATAACTACATACTGTAAAACAGGTATAAAAAATTTGCTCTCTCCAGTAAATCCTATTTTCTAATTCTATAAAACAATTTATTGGAAGTTTGCATTTAGATATTAGATGCTAACATTCAGCTTGACAGGAATTCAATTTTCAGAAGTTAACTAAGTCTTTGTCTTAAAAGTTCATCTATTTGAGTTTTATACATATTTTTCACATCTTCAAGATCTAACCGAAGTTCTTCTGCTTCTTCTGCTTTTTCTCCATACATCTGCAGAATAGTGTTGTATCTTTGATCCAAATCCTAAAAAACATATTTGCTTATGGTTTGAAAAATATCTATACAAAACATTGTTAGTTCACAAACAAGTCAATAGGAAATACCTCATAATTTAACTGAAAGTATATGGCCATCTCTTGGTTGGAAAAAATAGCAAAAAAAGAAATATTTAAAAAGGTAGGTGGCTGTAATTCTAACCCCGTCTCTTCATGTATAATTCTCCTCATCTATGACTCAATCTCTCCTAGCCTGTTAATTTAAGCACACTTGATGAAATTTTCTTTCTAATTCGCTGGTTTAACTACTATCTGGCATTTAGCTCAAAGAATAAGTCAAAAGAACATATATATTCACATGCTGCTGAGCAATGCCTCCTAACATTCACATATGGTAACTGTGAAGAAACATTCAACATAAAACCAAAATCCTGGGGCTGGGGAAGTTGGCTCAGTGGTAGAGTGCTTGCCTCGCATGTATGAGGCCCTGGGTTTGATTCCTCAGCACCACATAAGCAGAAAAAAAGCCGGAAGTAGCACTGTGGCTCAAGTGGTAGAGTGCTAGCCTTGAGCGGAAGAGCTGAGGGACAGTACCAGCATTCAGACCCCACGACCGGACCCAAAAAAAAAAAAAATCCTATAAAAGGTATAGGAGAGTAAATGTTTACTATATACAAACCTTGGCCAAACAAAGCCTAGTTCTTTTCCTACACTGGGACCAAACAATTTTATGAAAATACTTTGAATGTATAATGACACAACCAAAAATCTTTAAAGTTCCTTATTAAATAATATTGTCTTTAATGTACAAAAAAAGTCAAACATATACATATGTATTTTATATACACAAAAAAAATCTGTGATTTACTATAACTGGGTAAAAATACATTGGACTCATACTTAAGGTAAGAATACTTACTCTTAACTGAGTACGAAGTTTGGGTATCTCCTTTACTTTCTCCTCAAGTTCATCATTTTGATTTGTTAATTTAACTAGCTCTTCAGCCATTATTGCTCGAGTTTTTTCTAGATTACCAATTTCCATCTGAAAAACAAAAAAGATAAAACGTTTCTTATTGAATAGCTAATGTAAAAATACTTACAGGTTCTGGTGGCACATGCCTGTAATCCTAGCTACTCAGGAGGCTGAGATCTGAGGATGGCAGAAAAGTCCAATTAACCACAGAAGTGGCACTGTGGCTCAAGTGATAGAGCACTTGCCTTGAGCTGAAGAGCTCAGGAACAGGGCCCAGGCCCAGAATTCAAGACCTATGACCAAAAAAAAAAAGAAAGAAAGAAAGAAAAGAAATAGGAATGTCAACATACAACCCCAAGCTAGCTCTTTTTTTTTTGCCAGTACTGAAGCTTGAACTCAGGGCTTCAGCACTAGTCTTGATTTTTCTTTTGTGCTCAAGGCTAGCACTCTATCACTTGAGCCACAGCTCCACTTCCAGCTTTTTTATGGAGATAACAGTCTCATGGACTTTCCTGAACAGGCTTGCTTTGAACAGTGATCTCACATCTCAGCCTTCTAAGTAGCTACAATTCCCAAGCATGAGCCACCAGCATCCACCTCAAGTGAGCTCCTTTTAAAGTAAAAACAAGGCTGGGAAGGTGGCTCAGTGGTAGAGCACTTGTCTTGCATGCATGAGGCCCTGGGTTCGATTCCTCAGCACCACATAAGCAAAAAGAAAAAAGCCGGAAGTGGCGCTGTGGCTCAAGTGGTAGAGCACTAGCCTTGAGCTGAAGAGCTGAGGGACAGCGCCCAGGCCCAGAGTTCAGGCCCCACGACTGGACCCCAAAAAATAAAAAATAAATTAAAAAAATAAATAAAGTAAAAACAGTAGCAGAAAAAGGGTTCCAACTTTCATCAATACTATTCATAAGGTCTACTCTGAAAGAGAGATAAAGAAGTAAAAGAAACTGATCAACCATTTGTTTGAAAAATAAAGCCTTATATATTCCTGTAGTCTAAAGAAATGACACTTTCCTAATCCTGAGGGCTCTTAAGCACAGCACACTTGGGCTAGACTACCATATTGAGTATTAAGACTATTCTGACTTCTTTTTTCAACCAATTCATGTTGTTCTTTAATAGACCAATCATTCCATAGAACTAACAGCATATAAAGAGAACAGAAAAAAGTTTTACTTCTGAGTGTATCAAGTTTAACACAAAAACATTTAAGCTGACATATTTTAGTATTTCTAACTGCCAAAACGTTTTAAAAAGTAAAACAAGAGTAGCTTCTCCTTTGCTGTCCTTCCATATGCAGTTACAGTTCTAACCTCCTTCACCTTGACTCATTCCTTAATGAGGGAATTAGAACTTATCTAGGTATTTTAACAGGGAAGAATAAAAAGAGCTCACTCAAGTTCCTTTTGTTCTGAGGGGAAAAGCTGTCTGAGAGAAAGAGGCATTCTCTGCTTCTAAATGGGGAGGCTTACTCCAATCTAGCTTTTTTTTTTTTTTTTAATTTTGTGCCAGTCTGGGACTTTTAACTCGGCCTGGACAGTCTCTTAGTGTTTTTACTCAAGGCCAGCGTGCTATCACTTGAGCCATAGCTCCAATTCCACCTTTTTGGTGGTTAACTGGAGGTCAGAGTCTCACAGCCTTTCCTGTCTGGGCTGGCTTCGAACAGGCTTCCTGGCCACCTGTGCCCAGCAAGTCCAGCATTTCTTATGAGAATAGATAACATTGACTAATTCTGACAACTGACAGGCTTAACTGGCTCTAAGTTTTCTATCATTTCATCTTATTTTTCAGAATTCAGGTGGAAATGAAGGGTGTTACTTATTGAATTCCAGTATTTCATTCATTTCTATAGCACACTTAACTTTTCAGTACCTGTAAATGGGTAATTTCTCCTTCTCGTAGCTTCAGCTGAGACTGTAGACTTTCAATAATACTCGATCCTGCTCCCATCCTCACAGCATCATAAAGGTTGCTTCCACTTGCTGATGTAGCCATTGGTCCAAATGAATGATCATGAGACTCATCCTATGTTAAAGAAAGCTCAGTTAGCCAGTTATCATAGATTGTGTTCCATTTTCAGGATCAAATAAAATGTCTTCATGGTGGCCAATGTGCCAATTGCATATTCCCCACATTATAATTCAGTTCATAAACCACATGCATGGAAAAAATAAAACACTACCTGAGACAGAAAAGATGTTTGTAGCCCTGCCATATCAACTCCACTTATTGAACTTGAGCGTGACATGGTGGGAGTGCTGGAAACTGAAAATAGTTTTGGTTCCTTAGGGAGCAAAAAACAAAGTCTGTCAGATGGAAAACAAGAACTTTCCAGCTTTAATGGAAACAAAGACTGATTTCACTTTCCTTACAAAATGTATGGTGTCTAATGAAAGTCAGAAATCTTCCAAGTATAAAGAACAGCAATTAAAAGCATACTAGAACTTGTTTATATTACAATTGTTTATATTATAATTGAGCAGATTTTTTTTTTTTTTGGTCCGGTTGTGGGGCCCTGAACTCTGGGCCTGGGCGCTGTCCCTCAGCTCTTCGGCTCAAGGCTAGCGCTCTACCACTTGAGCCACAGTGCCACTTCCGGTTTTTTTCTTTTTTGCTTATGTGGTGCTGAGGAATCGAACCCAGGGCCTCAGGCATGCAAGGCAAGCGTTCTACCACTGAGCCACCTTCCCAGCCCAATTGAGCAGATTTTTAATGGAATGAGAAGGTTTTTGTTGAAACAAGTGTAGAAATTACTTCATATTATATATCACCAATTAAGCTTTTTTCTTTGAAATAAAATTGACCATAAAATTTACAAACCATAATTTTTTGCTTATCTATTTTAGTGTATTAAAAGTTCCAAATAAACTAAAAAGGCAATCCCATTTATACACATTTATTTTTAATGTGTTATGCTAATTCCTAGTATATTTTAATCATTTAAAGTAGAAATTCATTTGTATCTTTTATTAACCAGCAACAAAGTGAAAAATCCAGATCTACTGTAAAGGTGCCTATGGGCCAATTACTTCATTAGTTCAGTGAGAAATCACATAAATTACTCAAAAAAAGACTTAAGACTTTCTATATTGCAAAACTGAGAAACCTCAGACTTCTTTGTATATACTCAAACAATCAATGTTCATTACAACAGCTCCAAAATGGCTACATCAAAACAAAACAAAGAAAATTTGATACCTTCTCTTTCAATGCTTCCTGAGTGAAAATAGCTTTCTTCCTTTCTTGTTCAACTTTCAGTTTTTCCATTTCTAACTGACTATTCAACAGCGTCTAGTAGAGAGAGACAGTTAGATCATCTGTCACACTAGTCCATAGCATTACAATAAATCTACTGCAAAGTTTGAAGAATAAAATATAAATGCCAAAGACCAAGTTCTAAAAGTCACGGCATCACCCATTTCATTTGTCCTCCTTGGCTCGCTACCATCCCCATCCATTCTCTACAATATGCCCTGAGGGAGCGAACACTAAGAGAAATACCTTTTCTCTCCTTGTCTCTTCAAGTGTTCTTACATATTCATCTTTTAGGTTTTCTAATTCAACCTGGTACCTAGTAAACCAGAGGGAATTAAACAAAACAAAAAAGATGATAGCACAGACTATTAAAACTCACTACTTTTTAAACTCCAGTTACATAGTTAGTAGTCATTTCTACTACCAGAGTTCAAAATATCAGTGATTTTCCAACTAAATCTCCCATATTACTTGTGTTACATTCAGAAGTTATACAAGTACATCTATTTTTGTGCATTTTATTGATGACCTAGGATTTTAAAGAGACTTTAAAAAGTAATTTTAAATACCACCATCCATAATGCTCCAATTTTACAGGAGTTTAATAAAATGTTCATAAATTTCATTCTTTATAAATCATTTTTATTTGATAACTTTGTGTGTGTGTGCGTGTGCACACGCATGTGCATGCGCATAGGGCTTCTTTCTCTCTGTTTTTTCTACTCAGTTTGGTACACTACCATTTTATGACCCCAGTTTCAGCTTTTTGCTGCTTAATTGAAGGTGAGAATCTTGAGGATTTGTCTGTCCAGCCTGATTTTAATTGAGATCCTCAGATCTCAGTCTCCTGAGTAATTTATAGGATTATAGACATAAGCCACAGACATCTAGTTTGACTACATTTTTTTTGGGGGGGTCCAGTCATGGGCCTGAACTCTGGGCCTGGGTGCTGTCCCTCAGCTCTTCAGCTCAAGGCTAGCACTCTACCACTTGAGCCATAGTGCCACTTCCGGCTTTTTTTTTTCTGGTTATGTGGTACTGAGGAATCGAACCCAGGGCCTCATGCATACAAGGCAAGCGCTCTACAACTGAGCCACCTTCCCAGCCCCTTGACTACATTTTTAAAAGTAAAATTTCCTCAGAAATCAAAGGTAAGAAAACAGACAAGTTACAACTTTAATATAAATTGTCATATTTTACAGTTTGAGTTTTAAAAAAACCCAAACATTTATTTAGAAAGACTGGAACATTGTTATAAATAACTCTTGTAACATAAAATAATTTCTGTGTGTGGTCTCTAAACCACTAGGTGGTGTTATGGATAAACTCCTTTAAAAGCTACATTAGGGGCTGGGAAGGTGGCTCAGTGACAGAATGCTTGCCTTGCATGCATGAGGCCCTGGGTTCAATTCCTTAGCACCACATAAACAAAAAGCTGGAAGTGGTGCTGTGGCTCAAGTGGTAGGGCACTAGCCTTGAGCTGAAGAGCTGAGGGACAGCGCCCAGGCCCAGAGTTCAGGTCCCAAGACCAGCCAAAAAAAAAAAAAAAAGCTACATTAAAGGTATGAATCTTTTACCTGGAAAAACACAAATACACAAAAAACCACACGATTTTAAGACCTTCCATGAAATGCAATGGATCCCAGCTCCTCCTTATCATCTTGTCACTAATACACTTGACTTTTCACCAAGAAAAGCCAGTGACATATTTGTAAAATGTACTTTTATATGTCATTGAATCCCCCCTCCCCCCCCCCCGAACAAAAAAAAACAAAAAACACACACACAAAAACATGCTCACCGATTATTTTCATCCTCTAGTTTTCTTAGCTTACTTTTCTCTGATTGCAGTTGGGCTTGAAATCGACTGTTTTCTTGTCTTAAGAGAGCATTCTGTGATTCCACTGCAGACATCTGAATTTTGTTGGCAAGGAGTTCTTCTGTAGCTGCACGCTCTTTTTCAACTGCTGCTGCCAACAAGGTCTGGGATTCACCTAATGATAAGACAGGAAGAAAAACCACATATGTAGAGAGACCAAGATACCAAGCTGATTCTGGCTTCAAGTAGTCATGCTTAACAATGACTTTTTATATAAGACTGCCTATGGAGAAAAATGACCCAATCTTTGTATCTGTTTGATCATTCTTTTCCCAAAGTATTTTACTTTGAAATGTAGTCATGCAATAAAAGTGTAATGAATCAACAAATGGTCCTTGAGCCATAGAATAGCTGTAGGCAATAACAAAATAGATTCTCAACCTAAACATCACCTTAAGAAAATTAGCTCAAGATTGTTTGTAGGCTTAAAAGATATAAACCCCTAAAATTTTTAGAAAAAGAATTAGAAAATCAGGATAAGGGGTTGGCAAAGACTACATAGATCTGACAATAAAAATACAAGTCACAGAAAGGAAAAAAAATCAACAGTATGGATTCCTCTAAAACTTCTTAAACTTTTGCTCTATAGTATGTGGATCAAAGGACAAGCTAGAGACTGGGAGAAATGTACATGCACAGGACTAGTACCTACAGTCGTAAAGAACTAAAAATACAAATAATCCAGTTAGAAAATAGAAAAAGACATAGATACCTCATAATGATATTAAGTATATATGGAAAACAATCACACGGAATGATTTTCAACATCATGTGCCATTAGGAAAATGCAAAATGAAGCTACAATGGGATATAACTACATTTCTAAATGAACAAAAGAAATGTAGGGATAGCATAAAATGCTAACAAAGATGTGAAGGGCATGGAGAGCTCTCACACAAAAAGCACTATGGAAATAAGTAGTTGTTTTCAGTAAAAACTAAACATACAACTACCACAAACAGGCTTGCAGCTAAATCGCTGACATTTCCAGAAACATGTATCCCCACACTAAACCTGTATATGAATGGTCGCAGCAGCTTTACCTATCATACCCAAAAGCTGGACTTCATCAAGAGAATACCCAAACAAACTGGGGTGTATATATTCCATGGATTAACTCAGAAATAAAAAGACTGAACTGATGGAATACTGATAAGTTACATGAACCTTCAGAAAATTATACTGAGTGAACAAAGCCAATTAAAAATGTCATATAATGTGAAATTTTTATATTAATGTAATATTTTGAAATGACAATATTTTACAAATAAAGGACAGATTAGTAGTTTCTAGGGAAATAGGACAGGAAAAGTAGGGTTGGAAGGGTTGCAGGTATGTTTGTAAAAGAGCAATGTGAAGGAGCCTTGTGGAATTGGGACTGTTCAGCATGCTGAGGACTACAGTGGATTATGAACCTAAACAAGCAGTGAAATTCCATAGCACATGTACACATGACCATATAAGATCACGTTAAGTGAAATGAACCTCAAGATAGGGACACAAGTGTTTTTTTTCTTGCTTGCTATTGTTTTTAATGTATTTAAAATGTACTATGTGATTTTTTTTGTTTCTCTTGTATGTTCTTCCCCCACATATAACCCCTGGTTTCACTGTATTTGATTCGGGTGCCCTGCATCTTGTATATACATTTTTTCTAATTTGGGGAGTGGAAGATAAATAACAAAATGCTGAAATAAGGATACAGGCTGACCCATTGTAACAATGAGATGTACAAGACACCATGTTGAAAACAAACTTTACAACTCGGGGGGTGGAGAGGGAAGGGCTGGGGAGGTGGGGAGGGAAAAGATGGTAGGGGAAAAACAAAGGAGGTAACAATGCTCGATAGGATATGTACTCATTACCTTACTCATGTAACTATAACCCCTCTGTACAGTATTTTTACAATAAAAACCATTAAAATTGCATAGCACACACACATACACAAGAAAAAAACTAGAAAATTCTAAAATAAATAGATAACCAATGTCAATATGTGGTTATGATATTAAATTTCAAAATGTTAACATTTGGGCAAATTGGCCGAAGTATGCAAGGGACCTATCCGTATTATTTCTTGTAACTGTATTTGAATCTTTAATCCTCTCAAAACAAAATTTCAATGAAGTCAAAAGAAGCAGCAGCTAAGGTTCTAAGACTTAACCACAGCAACAATTTTCATACTCTTGCACAACCACAATAGACCTAGTAAAACTTCTTTTACAGTACTATTTTATTCAACACTATTATCTATGCTCCTTTTAAGGGCGTTTTATTCTGTTTTCTTTGTGCCTTGCCTATGTTCTTTCTAGCACACAAGCCCAAGTATGTGGAGATTCCACTCTTCAACCCACAAAAGCACTAGCTTCTAGCTTTAATTCACTGCTAACTAAATATTCACTTTCAGAGGTTAGAAGTATAGCTCAGTGCTTACGTAACAGGTATGAATTTGAGTCCCATCACCACAAAAAAAGTGTCAATTTCAGATGTTATACTTCATACCACATTGGTCTCAAAAAACTGTATAAATAATACATCTAAAATTTATACCTATAAATTTAAAAACATATAAAGATCAAGTTCAGTATTTATTTTGTAAGTAAATGAATCATGTTCTGGGCCAAACCTTACAAGGAATTCTGGAAACAAACAAACAAACAAAAAGTATACAAAGGAGCCCTTAACATTGAAGCAGTCTGGAAGAGCCCAATATCGTATTTCCTGAGCTTCCCTCTCACAAATTCAACTGCCTTAAAAGCATCTAATGTTCATGACATGCTATTTGAATGCCACAAGTCTAATTCACTTCTCCTGATTCACAAAGAATAGCTCAGAAAAAGTCTGAAGTAGGTAACTTGTCCCACACTGACTGGATGGTTCAAAACCAAACAAAGCATCAAGTCCCCCTCTCTCAACCCCACTCAGGCCTGCTCTAATTACAATGCCACACAACCTCTCAAATTACAGGTAGTTTTAGGTAAAGGCACATGATGAATTTTTCAGATTCTGAAATATCAAGTATATTCATATACTGCCTCTCAGTGATTAAGGGGAAATAACTTGGAAAAATACTTTTCTTTTTATTAAGAGCAAAGGCAACCTGGAACATGTCTGTAAAGAAGCAGAATATGGAATCTTAGGACTGAACAGTATATCTCTTCTATGATCTAATCTTGATCCTCCTCAGATCTACATATGCTATGAAATTCTACCACTGACACCTCCTTCACTAGTGAAGACAAATTAAAACAGGTCACATGTAACAACAGACAAGGAAAAACTAGAGTATAGTTGCCTGCAAAAATTAAAGAACAGGTAGTATTTTAGCCAGGATCTGATACATGGTATAAAGGAAAAAAAAAATGGCCTGAAAAGGTCACAATTAAGACATTAAAAAATACACACGAAAAAGGGGAAGAGGTAAAAATCTACCTGTGAGACATTAAATATAATCATGAAACCAAGTGAATTCTAGTTCCTACCATTATCCCTATTCCACAAACAAGATGAAAGGGCTTCTGCAACAAGCATAAAATACTAAAGCAGTTACCAAGCCTATCAGAAAGATTCTTCTCCACTTTCTCCCATGATGATGTCTGGGACCCTAAGGTAGCTTGCAAATTTTCTATTTGCCGAAGCAATGGCCTTGTTGTTGAAGAAACACTTTGACTCAGTTCTTGGTTTCGATTCTCTGCTTCCTGGAGTCTCTGAATGAAGGAATTATGAAGTTATTACCTCTGATATCAAGAAAAATGCTAAAAGCATTAGCAAACATTAACTTTATTAGGAATTTCTAGGGAAAAAAAATTTCTGTAAGAGATATTTCCTTTATTATATTTTACATATTATATTTATATTATTTTTTATTCAACCCTTTAGTTTAGACACCTGTCAGCACTCAGGACATTAAAGCAGGAAGACAGCAAGTTCAAGGCCAGCCTCATTATATCATAAAACCTTGCTCCAAAACAAACAAACAAACAAAAAGAAAAAAATATTGCAGTGTCTTTCTAAAATACTTCTAAGATAGTCATTGGTTATCTAAGCTAAAAAAAAGTTCAAATTACTCAGTAGTTAGCTCTTCGTCCAAATATGTAAGTATTTATAAAAACAGAAAGATTAACGTAAGTTGTATTTCCTCTTCCTTTTCTTATGCATGGTCTCTGACTAAAAAAAATATAGCATAAGCAAAGAAACCAAGTACTGAGTATCTGCCTCACAGTATCCAAACCTGGATAACCTATTACAAATCAAAAACAACACTAAAAGTAGCTGTGAAAATCAATCAGAAGCAGGAAAAGGGCTCAGTTTTGATTCCCAACACCAACTACTCCCCCACCAAAAAAAAAAAAAAAAGCAAATACAACAAATATACAGTAAACCTATTGTAAAAAAAAAAATCACTCTTCCTTTCAAACAAAATTGAGAACGTTCTTGAACATCTTTATGTGGTTCACATAAAGCCACAAAAATACAGCAACTGGTGACTATGTCAGCAATCCTTTCCATTTCCATGAAACTATCCCTGTGAGTCTTTTTTTTTCCTAAGAAAATGTGTACTTTTAGCTCGTGTTTAGGCAGCTGTTGGCAATACCTGCTGAAGCTCACTGATCTCGTGGCGTAAATAATCCTCTCTCCTCGCAGCTGCTTGCTCTGCACGTTGCAGTGCCAGTCTCAGGTCCCCCACCTGTAGGAAGAGAAAAAGCACACCATCATAATGGTGCATATATGTCAAGGGTGCACCATCGGTAACTTTCTGCTAACTACACAGCTGTGTTGCCATATATACTAATTTATATTATCCAATGAGCTTTTATTAACACACATCCTATTTAAGCAATCCCAAAACTGAAGTATAGTCAATATTTGCTTAGAATGCTAGCACTCTACCACTCTACAGCTCCACTTTTGGTTTTTTTTAATTGGTTAATGGGAGATAAGGAACTCATGGGCCTTTCTGCCTGGGGTGGCTCAGAGTCTTTAGAGCTCAGCTTCCTGAGTAGTTGGTATTATAAACATGAGCCACCAGCATCCAGCCTCATCTACTTCTAATGAGAATGTAAAATGATACAATTACTACTAAAAATGTGGCAGATCTGCAAAAAGTCAAACTTGACATTACCACATGACCTAAGGATATACATATCTAGAAGAACATAAAATGCATGTTCACATAAAAATGTGTACATGAGGGCTGGCAAGGTGGCTCAGTGGTAGAGCGCTTACCTTGCATGCATGAGGCCCTGGGTTCGATTCCTCAGTGCCACATAAGCAAAAAAGAAAAAAAGCCAGAGTGGCACTGTGCTCAAGTGGTAGAGCATGAGCCTTGAGCTGAAGAGCTGAGGGACAGTGCCCAGGCCCAGAGTTCAGGCCTCACAACCGGACCACCCCCTCCAAAAAAAAAAAGCAAAAATTGTGTACATGAATATTTATAGCAGTGTTACCATGCTATTACCAGGGCTTGAACTCAGGACCTCACTCACACTTGGTATTTTCATTCATGGCTGGTAATCTACTACACAAGCCACACTTCTAGTCTAGATTTTTACTGGTTAACTGAAGACAATCTCTCTCAGACTTTTCTGCCTGTGGCTTCAAACTGCAATCCTCAGACCTCAACCTCCCGAGTACATAGAGGTATGAGCCATGGGTACCTGGCTCATAGCAGCTTAATGCAAATAGCATAAACAACTCAAATGTCTAATAACTGACAAAACAAATTTTGTTTTCCTCCCTTCACCTGAGGTTCATAAACTGCTACAATGCTATGTATGAGTAAAATTTATTCTCTTGAAATTACATACAATAATTATGTGTATAGGATGCCCAGTTTCCAGGGTTTGTAATTTTTTAGTAGGGATACAATAGAACACAGAACCTTGAGCATAGAAAGCAGGAAAGTCTACTACTGAGCTATAAGCATCCATAACATTCTTAAGTATGAAATACACAAAAATAACTGCTCAATACTTCCACAATGCACACATCATTTTAACAGCTATTTTTAAAATGTACATAAAACTTAATTTTACACAATCCAGCTCTTTATTCTACAGTACTAGGGTTTAAACTCAAGGTCCTGTGCTTGCTAGACCAGCACTCCACCATCCAGGAAGATAATAACAAAAATCTGACACTTCTATCACTACATAAGGATCAATGCCAACTAGTTAAACAACTATTTAATGTAGAGGAATATAAACATATACAAGATAGCTTTAATCATCCAGCTTTTACCTGAATTGCCAATGTTTCTTGTTGCTGACGGGCTTCCTCTTGAACCTTATCTAGGGCTGCAGAAAGTTCTTCTTTAGCTTTCATTTCACGACTCAGAGCAGCTTCCTGTGCCTCACTATCCTTTGCAGCATTGGCTTTGTGAAGATCAGTAAGTTCTCTTAAAAATTCAGATTGATAACTTTTATTTAAAGCAATATACAGTGAACTACATACACAAGTGTACCACTTAAAAAAAAACACTATCATAAAGATTCTGCTGAACTCACTTTAAGTAATAACCCCCTCACTACTGACAAGTTCATAAACGTTGCTAAGGATAACATAGTACAAAAGGGCTCCTTCGACACCCTACTCTGATCACTGATTCTAAACTGGCTGCACACATTATCATTTTCTTACTTGTATGCACTATCCAGGGCAGCCTGAATACTGCGGTTCTTTTCTTCAAGTTCATCCATGTCTATTTGAAGTCGGCCAAGATCTTTCTCTTGGCGTTCTACCACAGAATTTAGTTTCTTAATATTTTCTCTATGTTGTTTCTCAACTTCTTCTTTGCCATCAAGGACCTATTTTTTAAAAACAGACAAAAGTATTTTTCAACCTATAACACCATGGTAGATGACTGTATTTCAGGAATCTCAACAAGTATTGTAATACAGAAAAAAAAATCTTACCATTGCCGGGTGCCAGTGGCTCATGCCTGTAATCCTAGCTACTCAGGAGGCTGAGATCTGAGGATCAAAAGCCAGCCTGGGCAGGAATGTCCCTGAGACTCTTATCACCAATTAACCACCAGAAAACCGGAAGTAGCACTGTGGCTCAAGTGGCAGAATGCTCGTCTTGAGGTAAAAAGCTCAGGGACAGCGCCCAGGCCCAGAGTTCAAAGCATCACGATATATTAAAAAAAAAAAGTAAAAATAGGCCAGGCAGGGCTGGGATGGTGGCTCAGTGATAGAGTGCTTGCCTTGCATGCATGAGGCCCTGGGTTCAATTCCTCAGCACCAAATAAGCAGAAAAAGCCGGAAGTGGTGCTGTGCCTCAATTAGTAGAGTGCTAGCCTTGAGCTGAAGAGCTGAGGAACAGTGCCCAGGTCCAGAGTTCAGGCCCCCCAACAGACAAAAACAAAAAAAAACAATAGACCAGGCACCAGTAGCTCATGCCTGTAATTCTAACTACTCAAGAGGCAGAGATCTGAGGATCTCTGAGATCAGAGATCAAAGCCAGCCCAGGCAACAAAGTCCACAAAACTCTTTATCACCAATAAACTATTCAAAAAGGCCAGAAGTAGTACAGCGCTACCTTGAGCAAAAGGAGCTCAGGGGGCTGGGAAGGTGGCTCAGTGGTAGAGCACGTGCCTTGCACGCATGAGGCCCTGGGTTCGATTCCTTAGCACCACATAAGCAAAAAGAAAAAAGCCAGAAGTGGCGCTGTGGCTCAAGTGGTAGAGTGCTAGCCTTGAGCTGAAGAGCTGAGGGACAGCGCCCAGGCCCAGAGTTCAGGCCCCAGGACTGGACCCAAAAACAAAACAAAACAAAAAGGAGCTCAGGGACAGCACCTAAGCCCAAAGGTCAAGCCCAAGACCAGGAAAAAAAAAAAAGTAAAAATAAAATATATAATAAGTATATATATATAAGTATAATCTATGCATATATAAAGAGAATACAATTTCTGCTCACCTGTTTTAAATGCTGCAACTCCTCTTCTTGCTCTTTAGCTTTTTTGTTCAGCTTTGCAATAGTATTTTCACTGTCTTTGTCTTTAATTCTTAATTTCTTAATGATATTAGAATTATGTAGCTGCTGCTTTGAAAGCTTTTCTCCTAGTAATGATTTTTAAAAAAGGATAAATCAAAATAATAATTCTTTCTTAAGAATCTGAATAGAATGGTTTATCTAACTAATAACATGAGAATTATTTTATATCATAATTTTTTCAAGCCCTAAAGTTAACAGCCATTTAAGCAGAAATTACCAATAAATGCCAAAGAAAGAGGAAAGTGCCAGTCTTAAAAAGGGTCAATTTCCACCTGTAAGTATGTATCACAAAGGGGAATATGTGCTTTTACAACAAAATCTAGCAGCCACCAACATACCTGGGAACCAACGGTGGTACCACCTGACATTCTGTTTCTACTGATGTGATACAGTGATGGATGTACAATATGAATTACAACACTTCTTACCAGAAATTTGATGAGTAATAAAGAAAAGTGATAAACTGGATATAGCCCATTCTGTAAAAGTATTTTTGGAATTCTACCAAGTATTCAGTGTCATGAAAAGAGAGAACTAACCACAATCGAGAATCTAATAGCTGCCAGATACCCATGGCTCACATGTGAAACCCTAACTGCTCAGGAGGCTGCGACTGAGGATCATGGTTCCAAGACAACGCTGGGTAGGAAAAGTCCATGATACTGTTATCTCCAATTAAAAAACACAAGTGGAGCTATGGCTCAAATGGCAGATGGCTAGCCTTGAGCAGAAAAGCTCAGGGACAGAGTCCAGACCTCGACTTTAAGCCCTAGGACTGGCAAACGCACACACATGTAATAACCAAACACCACAGATAACCTTTAGCTGGACCCTAGAGTAGTACAAATGGCCAACTATAAAAGGTATTTTAAGCCAGGCATGCTGGCACAAGCCTGTAACTCCAGTATGCAGGAGGCGGAGGAAGGAGGATCTTAAGTTTGAGGACAACCTGGCCTCACAAGTTCAACCTAAGCCTGAGTAACAGTGAGACCTTGTCTCAAAAACAGAACAAAACAACATTTTACAGACAACTGAGACAAATGATGGGATATATGATGGATCATACTTCTAAACTAATGCTGATTTTCTTAGGTACATTTATGGTCTAACACTTGTGATAGAAAATGCATTTGTGCTGGATGCTGGTGGCTCACGCCTGTAATCCTAGCTACTCAGGAGGCAGAGATCTGAAGATCACAGTTCAATGCCAGCCTGAGTAGGAAAATCCATGAGTCTTTTATCTCCAATTAACCCCCAATAAAACCAGAAGTGGAGCTGTGGCTCAAAGTAGTAGAACACTAGCCTTGAGCAAAAGAGCTCAGGGACAGTGCCCAGACCCTGAGTTCACCCCTCCCCCCAACCAGGAAAAAAAAAAAAGCATCTGTCATGTGCCAAGTAGCTCTCCTATTCTTATAGTATTTTATAATCATAAACAGAATACGTACCTTCTTCCATTAATCCTTGAATCTGTTCATCTTTCTCTTTTAAAAGGTCTGCAGTTTCACTACTATTTAATCTAGTAGCAAGTTCTTCTTTCATATTTTTTATTTCCTAATTTAAAATTAAAAAATAAAATATAATCAGTGACTAAAATGAAGAAAGTATGTTACACCATTTTCCTCCAGACTGAAAAAGCCATACTCACATACTCATAAATAAATCTATAAATATTGCTCAGTTAACTTACTGCTTTGGTTATTAAGACTAAGAGCTTTAAATATTGCACATAAAACACACATTCAGATATATCAGCAGGTCTTAATATGGAAATGGAAATGAAAATAAGTTAATTTTTGCCACCTTTCTTTAGAATGTATATGTTCCATAGGTTAAGCATTACATTTAGAACAACAGTACATAGAGACAGATAGGTTTGTTGATTAGAAAGTAGTTTCACATTATTGTTAAAGCCAGAAATGAGTGATTAAATCAAGCTTTAATTTATTCTCCTTTCTGTAGCAATCCACATGGGAAAATTATAAATTACTATTCATTTTGGCGAAGAAATAGGAAAACAACGTAATTGAGAAAGGCCAAAAGCAGAGACAAAGCTATCAGTAACAGTCAGGACTTGAGCTATAATTACTAAACTTAGTTATTAGCAATTTCTAAAATAGGTAATTATCCCAAATTAGAAACATTAAAACAACAGATTGTAACCAGGAATGACTTTGCTCCCATGATGACATTTTGTAAAATCTAGCAGCTGAGGTGGGAGAGGATACTACTGGAATGTAATGGGTAGAGGCCAGGGATGTTGTTAAACATTCTACAACATACAAAAAGAATAAACCCAGGGCTGGGAAGGTAGCTTAGTGGTAGAGCGCTTGCCTTGCATGCCTGAGGCCCTGGGTTCAATTCCTCATGCATCACATAAGCAAAAAGAAAAAAGCCGGAAGTGGCGCTCAGTGGGAGTTCAGACCCCACGACCGGACCAAAAAAAAAAAAGAACAAACCCACCATAGACTTATCTATCCCAAAATGCCATTCCATAGAGAGAAAGAAATTCTACATTAGAGCTAGTCAACACTATTCTTCTTAAAAGGAAATCATTCCTAAAAATTCGTATTTTAAAATTGCTTTGGAATAAATTAGTATATATGTGTGAAGTGGTATGAAAAAAATAAAGTAACAATAATTTTTTAAATGCATACTATACCATTTAAATTAAGTGTTATCTACTTTGGTGGAGTTATCATTTCTGTTGGCTTGGGTTTTGTTGTGTGTTGATCCTATGGCTTGAACTCAGGGCCCAGGCGCTGTTCCTGAGCTTTCCTACTCAAGGCTAGCACTCTACCACTTGAGCTGCAGCTCCACTTCTGGCTATTTGGGTGGTTAACTGGAGACAAGAGTCTCAGGGACTTTGCTGCTGGGGCTGGTTTTTCCAACCACAATCCTCAGGCTACAACCTCCTAAGTAGCTAGGATTAGGTGTGAGCCACCAGAACCAGGTAGACATCATTTATAAAACTTATCCTAGTGCTCTTTGTTTACATCTTGCAATGATTCATATGTAATTATACAAATTAACATCTGTTTAGATTATAAGTATGAATTATCAATTTAAATATATCAAAATCTAAAACTTAATAACACTTTTTAAAATCTTAACTTTTTTATTATAGAAATCTGATGAAGGCATTCAGCAAACTATTTTCTCTGTGGATTTGTTTTTTGTTTTTTTTTTTTGCCGGTCGTGAACTCTGAACTCTGGGCCTGGGCACTATTCCTCAGCTCTTCAGCTCAAGGCTAGCGCTCTACTACTTGAGCCACAGTGCCACTTCTGGCTTTTTCTGCTTATGTGGTGCTGAGGAATCGAATCCAGGGCCTCATGCATGCAAAGCAAGCACTCTACCGCTGAGCCACCTTCCCATGCCCTTTGTGGAATTTATGTTGAATAATAATTACCTTTTTAGCAGCATCTCTCTCTTTGCAGGCGAGCTGTACTTTCTTTTCTGCTTCTGCAATCCGCTGAGTAAACTCATCTTTCAAGGAAGAAATGCTGCTGCTTTCTTCTTTGACTCTGAACATTTCACTAAATTGAAATTATTTGGGAATAAAGATATACTGTTTATTTATTCCAAGGGTACCAAGCTTAAGTTCAATTCTCAAAATAACATTTTCTTCAGTATAAACCATAATGAAATAGATCAGTTTTAGGTCTGTTAACTTTTTTGTTTCGGTGGTACTAGGGCTTTGAACTTTGCCTTCAGCTCTGATTTTGGCTTGTTATTTTTGAGACAGGATTTTACTTCCTGCCCAGAAAAGTATCAGGGTACAATCCACTTATGTTAGGCTTCCTGGTAGCTACAAAACCCCAGACTCTGACACCACTGGGGTCTTGAGTACTATCTTCTGTCCAGGCTGGCCTCAAACTGTGATCTCAACAATTTCAGCTTCCCAAATAGCCAGTAGTTAGGATTACATGCACTGGTACCCAGACGACTTTTTTTTGTTGGTGGTGGTGGTGGTGGTGGTATCAGGGTTTCAACTCATGATTTTGCATATGCTAAGCAGGCACTTTGTCACTTTAGTCATATCTGCAACCCTTTTTGCCTCGGTTACTTCTGAGAAGGCTCTTGCATTTTACCAGGATTTATGCTTCCTTCCATAGCTGGAATGACAGATGTATATCACCTTGCCCACCATTTTTCATTTTCATGAACTTTTTGTCCTGGCTGGTTTAGAACCATGATCCTCTTGATCTCAGCCATCTGAACAGCTAGGTTTAAAGGTATGAGTCACTGTATCCAGCTTTTATATAGGTGAGACTAGCCTTGCATTCATGATTTTTCTGCCTCTCTTGCTGAGGGGTTACAGGTATGAACCACCACATAAAGCCAGCCTATTAACTTGTAGATAAAAATTTATCTTTTAAATTTTTTATGTATGTATTTACTTGAGTAATTCATTCATTCAGTGTTAGAGATTGATCCCAGGGTTGGCAACATCCTATCCGAAGAAATGTTCTACTATTGAGCCACATACCCAGCCATATACCACATTTTTAAATATCAAATAAAACTCACTAGAAAGTAAAAGTATCAACAACACTTGATGTACAAAACTAAGAAAAAGGTAAATATTTCAATTCTAAATCTTGTGTCACACTTCCCTAATCTATCCTTAATACAAACAAAACTAGTATGTTTTTAACTATCAGTTTTCTTGAGACAACATTTTATACCTCTAATATTAAAAAATTATTAGCAGCCGGGCACCAGTGGCTCACGCCTGTAATCCTAGCTACTCAGGAGGCTGAGATCTGAGGATCGTAGTTCAAAGCCAGTCCGGGCAGGAAAGTTCGTGAGACTCTTATCTCCAATAAACCGCTAGAAAACCGGAAGTGGTGCTGTGGCTCAAGTGGCAGAGCACTTGCCTTGAGCTGAAGAGCACAGGGACAGCGCCCAAGCCCCACAACCGACCAAAAAAAAAAAAAGATTATTAGCAACAACTGGAAAGAATTTACTGTTTTTACAAAATACGTTTCAATGTCAAAAGTAGGAGTAAGGAAACGACTAAAGTGATACAGCCCTTACCTAGCAAGTTCAAACTCCAGTACTGTTAAAAAAAGAAAGAAAGAAAAAAAAGTATATTCAATGCCAAAGTAATATGGTAAAGATAATTTGAGGATAGAAATAAGCTTTAAGTTTATACCTGAAATGGTATTTGATTTTGTTATTATAAAGAAATTAAATTTCGAACATTTCAATTTCAAAAGCTTTCAGCTCTTCAGCTCAAGCACTCCACCACTTGAGCCACAGCATCACTCCCGGCTTTTTCTGTTTATGTGGTGCTGAGGAATAGAACCTAGGACCTCATGCATGCAAGGCAAGCACTCTACCACTGAGCCACCTTCCCAGTCCAGTAGTGTGTTCTTAACTTAGGACTTCATACTTGCTAGGCAGGCTATCTCTCAAGCCACGTCCCAGCCTTTTGTGCTTCAGTTATTTTTGATATAGGATTTTGCTGTTTGCCTGGCCTAGACTACAGTCTTCCTATTTATGTTTACCTCCCCACCCATCCTGTAACAAGGATGACAGCTATATACTACCATACCTCGCATTTTCTGGTGAGTCGAGGTCTCACAAAGTTTGTGCTAAGGCTGGCCTTGAACCACAATTCTCCCAATCTGAGACTAGTTAATAACTAGGTTTAAAGGTGTGGGCTCAAAACCATTTTTTTTTCTTTCTTTTTACTGGTACTGGGATTTGAATTCAGGGCCTCACCCTTACTCAGCTAGCACTCTACTGCTTGAGCCACACATCTAGCCTGGCTTTTTACTGGTTATTTTGGAGATGTAGTATAGCAAACTTTTCTGCCCAGGTTTTGAACCAGGATTCTCCTGGTCCTAGACTCCTGAATAGCAAGAATTACAAGCATGATCCATGAGCACCTCAAAAATATTCTTGAAAACCACAAAGTGTACATAGACTTCCACATTACGCATAACCTTATTCACATTTGTAGAATACTTACTCTTTCAGGTTATCATAAGCTTCTTCTAAAAGTGCTTTTTCTTTACTAAGAGATAATAACTGAGCCTCCCTTTTTTCCAGTTTCTCATTCAGAAATTCAATGGTCTGGATGAAGAAAACACAAGAAGTCAAAATGTTTTAAGTTTCAAAAAAGACAATTTGTACATGCAGGTAATGATTTGTAAAGGAACCCAATCATGGGAATAAATAAAACATGATTTCATGGAACAATGAAAACAATATGGGAACACAGTGCTCACAGGGCAGCAACCACAGGATGATGGGAGTACACACTGCTATACTGCTTGCTCTGGAAGACACAGGGGCAGATCAAGTTGAACATCTACATAACCCGTGATATAGAAAATGCTAGTTCTAGGTACACCTTGGAGGGAAAACTTGTTGATAAATTCAACAGGTAACATGTGTAAGAACACATTAGCTTTGCTATTTTCAATAGCAAAATCTGGGATGGTCTGTAAATCTGCCAAAAGAGGAGGAAATAGATGCAGTCAAAACAAGGCAAAAAGGGCCTTCAGCCTCTGATTATGTTCTTAGCTGGGTGGTAGATATAAATGCATGTATCTATAGTCTATATTATTCCTTAAACCAAAAATGTAACTTTTATATACCACATTTAAAAATAAATAATTTTAAAAAATAAAAAATAATTTTAGAAAACCTACAGGAAGGCATTTTTTAAATTTCCCCAGAATATATCAGTGTAAGTACAAAAAGTAATTCTAACCATATTTTATTACTTAAATCCTACTGAAGCAGTGATATACTTTGAGAGATCACTTAAGTACTGACATTAATTAAAGGTGGTTTTTAAGAAAGTGCCACTATGTATTTTTTAGCATGGTGCTATTACCAATTGTAGTTGCATGGCCTTTTTTAAAAAGCTAAAAGTTCAATAATAAAGACATAGCCGGGCGCTGGTGGCTCACGCCTGTAATCCTAGCTACTCAGGAGGCTGAGATCTGAGGATCTCGGTTCAAAGCCAGCCCGGGCAAGAAAAGCCATGAAATTCTTATCGCCAATAACCACCAGAAAACTGGAAGTGGTGCTGTGGCTCAAGTGGTAGAGCACTAGCCTTGAGCTGAAGAGCTGAGGGACAGCGTTCAGGCCCAGAGTTTAAGCCCCATGACTAACAAAAAAAAAAGAATAAAGATGTAAAATGGAAACATTTATGGTTAGTTATATTGCAAATACATCTGCCATCATTAGCTTTGAGAAACTTCAGATATTTGAAATTATTTAATAATTAACTGGTACACTGCTACCATCAAATACTGCTACAATGAAGTGACAAAAGACCTTTCCCTCTTTTTTTTTCTCCCAGTACTGGGGTTTGAAGTCAGGAGTCTGCACTTGCAAGTTAGGTACTCGGCTGCTTGAGCCACATATTCAGCCCCAAAAGATTTTTTTTTATTTTTTTTTTTTGCTGGTCATGGGGCTTGAACTCTGGGGCCTGGACGCTGTCCCTCACCTCTTCAGTTCAAGGCTAGTGCCCTACCTCTTGACTCACAGCACCACTTTCAGCTTTTTCTGCTTATGTGGTTTTGAGGAATCAAACCCAGGGCCTCATGATGCATGCAAGGCAAGCACTCTACCACTAAGCCACCTTCCCAGCCCCCAGATCTAGCTTTTTAATTCAGCACAAGTCACTATGCATCAATGAAAACATTTTTCAAACAAATGATTTTATCTCTAAATCAAACACCCAAAAAGTCCATTTCTACTCTGTACAGTTACCTTGCAAACATCTTCCTTCTCAGAAAGTACTTCTGGCTGGCTTTCTGCAACTTCACGCTGCTCAGATAGCTCATCTAAGGCAGTGTTACATCCTTCAGTTGTAGGCACAGAAGAAACCAGAGTATCTGGCTGTTCAACTGGCGTATCTGGCTGTTCACAGTTAACAGGTGTGGTGCTGCGTCCACTTTCCTCCATTTCTGCTTCTTCAGTGGGTATAACTGTTTCATCATTTACTACTTCTTCAGCTTTTCCCTCAATAGAGTCAATTATTTTAGTCTTTGGAGTGGAAGAATTAACTAGAATAGGCACTAAAGCATATCCCTTGCCTGACAGCTCATCATCTGAATTGATTTCGCTGACACTCCGGCTATCTAATGACTGTACACTAAATGAGTCTATTCTTTCAAAAGCATCAGATGAGCAGCAACTCTCGTTGAGCTTTTGGAAATCATCTAAACGATTATACTCAGGACAAGCAGATGCAGAGAGAAGCTGAAAAGACGTCTGCATCAGGTGAAGACTTGATTTGGCATCTGTAGTCTCCTGTCTTGAACTTGCTGAGCTCTCGCTTATTACACTTTCATGATCTAAAACTTCAATATCACTGGTGGTAGAAGTACCCGAGGAGAAGGTACTAGCAGGAGGAGAGGGTGTGTTGCTCTGTCTGTCTTCATGTTTCTGCTCCTTAGCTTCCAAAGCCATGTCCTTTGTTTCTGCTGGGAGAGACTGCGTAGACATGCTAGACACACTTTCTGAAGCTGTTTTTGCCTTAGTCACATTCTCAGACACCTTCAAGCATATAGCAGGCACCTTCATTTCAGACTCTTTATCAACAGTTTCTTCTTGCTTGCCTTCAGTTTGAGGTGATGAGTCCACTGCCACAGTTTTCCCTGGTACACACACAGGGTCTCTCACTTCTGACTCAGCTGTCTCTGTAACTTCTGACGGTCCAGAGATTAAGGATTCTTGTAAAGTGCTTTTCACTTCTTCTTCCGGTCGTTGTGATTTAGCTGGAGGCTTTGATACCACCGGACTGTTCTGAATAGTCTGGACATCCGTTGGAGAGAGAAAGGCACTGAAGAAATTTTCAGATTCATCTACTACAGTCCTTCTCACCGGCTTTGTGATGGCTTTAGGAGAGGCCGTCGGTGGACTCTGTGGTTCAGTGTTTGATTTCAATCCCCAGGTGGAAGTATCCCATCCTCCACTGACCTGGGGACTTAAGCCTTTGACAAAAAAATAAAAATTATATATATATATATATATATATATATATGCACATAAATATTTAACCATCACTATGAATCAATATAAATATAATTTAGGGAAAGTAAGAAAATGGAGAAAATACAGCCTGTAATTTACACATGTTAAATACCTTGCTGACTGTAATGTTAGTACCAGGTTAATTCTGGTTGAAGCCCTGCCTGAGAGGAACTAAGAGCATAGATAAAAGGCTAGACTTGGTCTGGCCTAGCAGAAGCAAGTATGTTATTTCCTCCTACAACAAATTATGAATGTAATGATGTCTTTTTTTTTTTTTTTTTGGGGGGGGGGTCTGGTCCTGGGGCCTGAACTCTGGGCCTGGGCACTGTCCCTCAGCTCTTCAGCTCAAGGCTAGTGCTCTACCACTTGAGCCATAGCGCCACTTCTGGCTTTTTTCTTATATGGTGCTGAGGAATCGAACCCAGGGCCTCGAGCATGCAAGGCAAGTGCTCTACCACTGAGCCACCTTCCCAGCCCTGGTATGTGTCTTATAACCCATGTTAAGGTCAAGATACATATGACTCATCTCACAAAAACTGGCAGCTCCCTCACTAACAGGTCACGTGCCACCACATAAAAATGACTTGTTCAGTCAGTTTCCTGCTAATTATATTCTTGTAACACAAAATAATAAAACATAAAACAAACAGAGGGGAATGCTCAAACCCTGTATCACAAGATACTAGAAACAAGTGTTCTTTTCCAAAGATCAAGTTAAATTGATGGGAACAGTAAGATCTAGTGAGCAAATGCATTTGCATCTACTTAATGATAAGCCTAATTTTCAAGTCCCACTCTCCAAAACCTACTTGAGGAGAAAATTTTGTTCTTTTATATTTGTTTCCATGTTCTAAATTATGCCATCAGCTATATATGGTCATTGTAAATTTCAGAAATGTGCATTTTTAGAACTGCTCTTTTGGTATAAAAGTAGATGACACAGGCTCACACCTGTAATCCTAGCTACTCAGGAGGCTGAGATCTGAGGATCATAGTTCAAAGCCAGCCTGGGCAGGAAAATGGTACTGTGGCTCAAGTGGTGGAGTGCTAGCCCTGAGCAAGAAAACTCAGAGCCAGGGCCAGGCCCTGAGTTCAAGCCCTGGGATCAGCAAAAATAAGTAAATAAGCAAATAAAACGTTTTAAAAGTAATTGACACTGGGAGTTCTTAAAAGTACAGAGAAAAAAAAACTATCTTCTAGGGGGGAAAAGTTATCACAACAGTCATAGCAATAGCAACTGCTAATAACCTGATGATAAAAAATAGGTAATGTTCAGTAAAATGTTAAACTAATTTTTTTAAAAAAACATCTTTTTCTAAATTAAAAAATGACTGGGCAGAATGGTCACAAATCCTGCACAATTAGAAGTGATGTAAAGAACACAAATAACTAAGGACTAGCTATCAATTTTTCAGCCCTAAAGTAGCCTGATTTCATATGAGTTCAGTTTGACCTTCATTGGTATCACATGTGAAAAGTCGCAAACAAAAAGGCCAAAGTTAAAATGCAAATGAACTAGCAAACAGAATCTACTGATTAGTTCATCATCCTAATGCAAAACCATCCCATGAGTTATCTGGCTTCCATTTAACCTACTCCAGTCTGAAGACTATGGTCCTCTTTGCCATCTAGGACACAAGTGATAGGTAAACATGAGTAGTATGGATAACCTGGTTTTAAAAATAACCTATATAATACATTCAAGCCCAAGACTTCTTAGAAACCAATGATCTAAAACTTAATGGTTCAAAATGTAAGGTCCAAGAGAAAAAGCCAAATGGAGCTACTCAAGCAAGATCGCACAACTTAGTACTTTGACAAGTACTAAGATCACGACATACAAACATGAACCAGCACATCACAAAATGAGAAAGCCTTAATTTGCAACGATGAACACTAAAAACAGAAACCAGAGTCAAGAGCTTTAGTCTTTCCACCCAGAGGTGTATATCCCCCTAAATCTGCCATTGTTTGTACACATCAAAATACTAGACAAGTCCTCACACTTAAAAACACAAGAGCAACGTTAGGTCCTGAAGGATTTCCGTGGAGTGAGACGAGTCTCTGCAGAAATGTGGCGGAACTTAAACTCCTTGGACCACACATTCTACTGGCAATACCTCCGGTATATTCTGCGGTGGTACCTCAAACAAGTGTCAACTTGGCCACCCCTCACTTTCCAATTTGGCAAATAAAACAAGGAGTCGTTCTGATGCTATCCAAACAAACTTGGGCCCTAGGAGGCACAGAGCGCTCCTCCGGTGTGAGCTGTTTTTCTCCCTCTCCTCCCTGTTCCTTCACATTCCTCATAAGGTGCAGTGACACGAGGCTCCCAGAGGCCCAGCTGGGTCCTCCGGAGAAGGGCTGGGGGCACAAGTGGCGAGCCGAGTGCCTGGTCGGCTGAGATGGGTCCGGGCGGGCTCCAGCGCCGCGGGCGGGGGAAGGCGGGTCCCCGGGAAGGGGCAGGGGCAGGGGCAGGGGCAGGGCGGGCTGGCACGCGGGCCGCGGCAGGCCCCGGCCCGGGCACCCCCGCAGCAGGACTGCCCAGGGGACGCTCGGGGCAGCGGGACCCCGACCTCCCAGCCCGCCGGCCCCGGCGCTCGCCTCACCCGGCTCCCCGTAGGGAATGGTGTCGGCCCAGGTTCCCGGCTCCTCGTCCTGAATGTCCAGGACCCGGTCGATGGACTTCTGGGCCTGGGACAGCGCCTGCTTGGCGAAGCTGGAGAGCTGCGAGGCGTTGAACCAGCTCATTGCCGCTCCTCGACCGCCCCGGGCGGCGGCGGCGGCGGCGGCCCACGGCGGGGAGGCCCGGAGCGGGCCGCGCGGCCTGAGGCTCGGAGGAAGGCCCGGCGGATGCGGCCTCGCCCCGCTTTTCCACGCCGCGGGCCCGGTCAGCGGGCTGCCATGACCCCGGCGGCCTCCCCCGAGCCCCAGACGGACCCCTCGGCTCGGCCCTCAGCGGGGTCGGAGCGCGCGCGTGCGCATGCGCCGGCTTCGTCCACGTACACAACCACCAGATCCGGGAGCCCAGAGTTCCGTCCGCACGGAAGAACAAGGGACGGAACGCGGACGTCACATCCGGGCGGCCGCGGTGCCCTTGGTGACGGAGCGAAGCGGTTCGGTTCCCACCGGGAAGATTCGAGTTCAGAGCCGTTCTCAGCCTGAGGGGGCCACGGCGGCGGAGCCGTGCGCGGCTGCGGCTGCGTGTCGGCCGCTCGGAGCCCGCGCTGCGCCCGCCATGACTCCCGACTAAGGCAGTCGTGGGCCCGGCGTCCGAGTGTCTTAACCAGCTTGCGGAGGCGAGGACGCCGCGCCTCACACCTGGGACTGCTGCCAGGGCCGGCCCGCCAACACCGACCGGCGCGTCCGTCGGCCCCGCGTCCGTCAGGCCCCGCCGCCCGGCCCCCGCCTCGCCCAGTCCCAAGAGGTGGGCCTGGCGCACGCGCGGCCCGGGCGCCGGCCCGACGCGGACGCGGGCCCCGGGCCGGAGGAGTAACAGGTGAATTACCGTCTCTGCCCAGCAAGGCCTTCCGCGCCGTGCAGCGCGCACGCACAGCGACTGGGTGCGGACCAGCCACGCACGAGACGGAAGAGGCCCACAGCAGACAGAACCTGCTGGCGCCCTGACCCTGCATGCCCAGCCTGGGAACCGCCCCGCAGTGGGCCAGACGCTAGGTCAGTCCCAAGCATTGTCCCCTTCTGCACCTCCCCCTCCCCCTACAGTCCCCCCCACAGAAATTAAACAATATATAACCTTTTTAGAGAAAGCATACATATATATAATTTTATAATAAGACATGAGGGCTGGGAAGGTGGCTCAGTGGTAGAGCACTTGCCTTGCATGCCTGAGGCCCTGGGTTCAATTCCTCAGCACCACATAAGCTAAAAGAAAAAAAGCGGAAGTGGCGCTGTGGCTCAAGTGGTAGAGCGCTAGTCTTGAGCTGAAGAGCTGAGGGACAGTGCCCAAGCCCAGAGTTCAGGCCCCACGACCGGACCCAAAAAATAAAAAATAAAAAAATAAAATAAAACATGACTTGTTAACACCCAAGTAGCAAGATTAATAAATGGGATTGAGGGTATACCTTGGGAGGTAAAAAGTTCTTGTCTAGCATTCAGGAGGCTATCAACAGGAAAAAGGAAAGAAGGAAAACACACCAAGGAACGCTGCAAATAACCTAACCACAAAACTTTTGTATAGAAAATTACCACCAGCCAGGCGCTGGTGGCTCACACCTGTCATCCTAGCTACTCAGGAGGCTGAGCTCTGAGGATCACGGTTCAAAGCCAGCCCGGGCAGGAAAGTCCATAAGATTCTTATTACCCATGAATCACCAGAAAAGGCATTGTGGCTCAAGTTGGTAGAGCACCAACTTGCCTTGAGCTGGAGTTGAGACAGTGCTCAGGTCCAAAGTTCAAGCCCCCCCACCCACCCCCCCGCCAAAAAAAAAGAAAAATTACCACCAAACAAAATTTTTTTGAAGCACTGGAGTTTGTTCAGGACCTCCTAGCTTGTAGCCTAGTGCTCTTTCACTTGAACCACAGCTGCTACTCTTTATTTTGGATAGAGCCTACTAAATTTTCCTGCTCAGGCTGGCCTCAAACCACAATCCTCCAAATCTCAGCCTCCTCCATAAAAATGTTGAAAGGGAAAATATTAACTCATAGTTAATTTAAAATTAACTCATAGTTAAGTTTAAAAAAAAAAGAGGGCGGACATATACATGTACCTACATTAAGAAACTACCCGGGTATTTTTTTTTTTACTATCTCTGCTTAATTTTGGTTTTAGTCATCTCAAAGAAACGGTCATGTTAAGAGACCTAACATAATTACATTAATTACATTCCATTAGGAAATAAACCTGTGGAAAACAACTATAGCAAAAGTACTATATTTGGGTTCAATAAAAAGTTGGTGATAGTAACTCTACTCATCACTTAAAAATACTTCTACTTTACCATGGAACTATCCTTAACATACTTCAAAAATCTGTTCAATAAGAAAAAGTAGACAATGTATAATTTTATTAATAAATAGTGCAAAAGCATCAACAATAACTGTTTAAATATTAAATTTTTAAACAGCCATGCCTTGGCTTAAATTTGTGCATATTGGCCTCTATGGCACTGCAAAGAAACACATGAAAATATTTCCTATTTTCAGGAACAGATACTCAGCTATAATACTGTTTACAAATCATTACAGATAAGATAAACTCTGCAATAATTAATTTACACTTTGGGCAACCACAATTAAGTGTATATTAAATCAAGAAATAGCCTATGGTAAGATATACTCTAGATGTGAGGGTGTAGTATTTAATGTATTTGAAAACCTAATTTCTTATTTCTATTACAGGACACAGATATGTTTTACATGAAGCTGCTCATATGAGGAATGCGTTCTTTGACCATAAGAAAACCCACATAAAATAAGAGTATCTACTCCCTTCTCTAAAAGAAACAATACATTTGCTCATAATCTCTGCAGGCATCATTTCTGGTATCAATAATGACAATGTTTACAAGCACCAGCCCCAACATTCTGTCCTCAAATGACATTATAAAGTTAAAAAAAAGTCACTCACTATATATGTATATATATATATATGTGTGTGTGTGTGTGCGCGTGTGTGTATATATATACACACACACATATATATATATATATATATATATATATATATATATGAAATTCCAGCAAAACTAATGTTAAAAATGACATATTTTGAGGGGAACTTCCCTTCACCCCACCTTCCCCACCCTTTAATTCTTTAGCTTCCATGAAGTAATATTATTTCTATGAGTTTTCTATTATGTGCAGATTTATGTTTCTTAAGAAGTAAAATGAAGTTTGAACAGAACAGTCTGTGGTGTGGTGACATCAGCAACCGCCAGTTCTTGTCCATCAACAAGTCCTAATTCTAAAATAGAAAAGAGTATAATTAACCAAGCAAATATACTCAATGAAATGTATAATACATATACACAAATTATGAAGTTTTATGGTCCAAGTATGCAATTTCTTAGAGGTTGTTTTTTTCACAACAGCAATTTTATTATGATATCTACACATAAGTAATTATATCTGATCAATGTATTAAAAGCAAACCTAAAATAAACATTTGCTATTTTACCAAAAAGAACATTTTATATGTATATTTACTTAAAATACCTTTCAACGTCTTAGAAAGATTTGGCCTTGTTCGTTCTTCAATAGAAGTCACTGACTAGAAAACAAAATGATGTTAAGGTAAAAGCTACATTAAAATCAATTACACTATTCATGGTTTCTTGAAAAAATTAAAAATGAACACTGATCACCTGTAAGTAAAGTGTTCTATTTTTCCCCTCTAATGTGGCTGTGATAGCTGGAGATTTCATCTGCCTAAATATAATCAAAAGAAAAAAAGCAATCAAATATTGTCCAAATTATTTTGGGTTTTTTTTTTTTCCCACAATATAACAAAAATCCAAAATACTTACAGAGAAGCACTATTTGTTAGATAATCCAAAACCTCTTGTAGTTTGGCTGATGGAGAAAACTGAATATTTTGAGGAAGCTGACTACAAGCTGGACAGTTTTCCTGCATATATAAAACACAACAAATTGTAGAGATACACGAACCAATACTAGTCTCTTTATAAAAAAGAAGTAGAAATCACATTGTTTCATAATCATGCCTATCTCCTATAAAAAAATTTTCATGCTTCAAATCTATTTTCATAACAGATCATTTCTTCTAAATCATTTTGCTATAGAGTATTTTAGTCTATCCAACAAAAGATATCTAGTAAGTAGGCAGACTAGGTAAATATAGTTAGAAAATAAAATGCTTATAATGTGGGTAATTCTATTTGAATTCTAATACTTGATATTTTAAAAGAATGCATAACCAAAACCTTTTCATTAATTTAATACTACTAACCTTTCTCTCTGCTTCAAATGTGTATGTATACAGACCGTCTACATCATTGAATACCAAGTAATTATTAAGGGGAATGTATGCACTAAAATGAAAAGAAAGTTCACAGTTATGTAACTGAGCCTGGTCAAATCATGGATTTACTTATTAAAAATGTAAACTATTACCTTGTGGCTATTTTAAAAACCTCAGTGGCACACACAGCTAAAGAGGGGAGAAAATAAAGGTGCTTCATTTAACTCAATGAAAATCAGTGCCTCTTGATCAATCACCCCCTTCCACCAGTCTCCCCCCATCCCATCTTTTCCTTCCTCGTGGACTCATTTCACATTTCCACCCTTTATCACATACATACACTGAAGGCTCTAGATGTATCTGTCCCATGTTCTCGTCTATCTCCCACCCCCTTACATTCTCATTTCAGCTTCCTGATATTCATTTTCTTAAACAGTCTGTTAAATGTTTTGAAAGTTCTACTCTATGGAGATTCACTCCTGTATATACCATATGTTATTCAACTAAATCATGTATAAGTTTCTGTGTGTGTTTACATGGGAGGTTGTATTTGGGGCAATTTTAAGAAATGAAAAATTAACCAATTTTCTATTGAGGTCTCCCAAGCAATACATGTTTTCCATACTCTTTGTCAGATTAAAGAATCACTTATACTGAGTTGAAAGATTAGTTAAAAAAAGCGATGGTCATTTTCCTTACCTGCAATGACTGCATTCGTGGAAGCTACTGCAGGAATTATTCGTTTTACTACTCCTAAAAAAAGTTATCATCAATTAAAATATCATTTCTCTAAAAAAAATTTACCTTAATCACTATGATTATTAAATACCATTTCTTGAAATTCAATTATTCAGGCTCTCAAGCCAAAAGATAAATTTAGCATATCCAAACATGATGAAACATGCCTATAATCAAGCACTTGAGAGCCCTGGCGGGAGGATCACAATTCAAGGCCAGTCTTGACTATACAGCAAAACCATACCTCTTAAAACCAAGCCAACCAAACCAAACCCAAAAACTATGTTCTTTCACATTGTAGCATGCTTAGAATTTTAAGCTATGTTAGCAAAGAAAAATAAATTCTCAAGTACATTTTACATAAAGGCAAAACAGTACCATGACAATAACAAGTGCTTATTACATTCCAGATATTGTGATAATTACATTATTTAATTTTTATAACATCCATATGCTATTATGCTACTTGAATTTTAAAGGTAAGTACAAAAAGGCTGATAGAAATTAAATATCACACGCATAGTATACCTAGTAAATGGTGGGGTAAGTATATGAACAAAATATGCCCCACAGTACACAGTCTTAATTACTACATTATGTTACACTCAGAAAAGTTTGAGTAAGCCAGGCACCAATGGCTCACGCCTGTAATCCTAGCTACTCAGGAGGCTGAGATCTAAGGATCCCAGTGCAAAGCCAGCCCAGGCAGGAAAGGCCGTGAGACTCTTATCTCCAATAAACCACCAGAAAACCAGAACTGGCACTGTGGCTCAAGTGGTAGAGCGTTTGCTTTGAGCTGAAGAGCTGAGGGACAGTGCCCAGGCCCAGAGTTCAAGCCCCACGACAAACAAAAAAAAGAAAAAAGTTTGAGTAAAATATAATTAAGCTACATAACTTTTCCTCATATAATAATCCTAGCTATTCAATTCACAAACTCTCACAACAAACAAGAACTGTCCTTGATAAAGCATCTTTAATTCTAGGCTGCCTTACAAAACACTACATATGGATCTCCACTTTAACACCGAATATTTGACTTTAGCATTCACCTAAAAGGAATGAGCAAACCCCAACCTGAAACCTTAAATACAAAATTAAAATTCCATTTTTTTAGCTGTATCTGAAATGGTCATTTTAGAAATAAGTAACTTTATCTTGAAGTATAAGGAAGCATTACAGGATGGAATGTATTCCTCCAAACTCCAGGCAAAGGATAAGACTCTAAGACAACAGGATAGATAGACAGCAAAGAAAGTTAAGCTTTTTTTTAAAGTTCATTTTTGGGGCTGGGAAGGTAGTTCAGCAGTAGAGTGCTTGCCTTGCATGCATGAGGCCCTGTGTTCAATTCCTCAGCACCACATAAGCAGAAAAAGCCAGAAGTGGCGCTATGGATTGAGTAGTAGAGCGCTAGCCTTGAGCTGAAGAGCTGAGGGACAGTGCCCAGGCCCAGAGTTCAGGCCCCACAACCCACAAAAAAATAAATAAATTTCTTTTTGGTGAGACGATTCTAATGTTAGAGGAATACAAAGAACGAATCCATGATGGCTAAACTAGAAGCTCACCACTAAACCATATGCAGCCTGGTGCACTGAAAGAAGGAACAGGTAGCCACAAACTGAGAGAAACCCAGGAAAAGACATTACCCAATAAGAGCACTGCAAAAGGAACCTACCCCTTTCTCATCTTCTGCAGCAAGAGCTTCAATGGACAGAACAACAACAAAAAAAAAAAAAACAGAACAACAACAAAAAAAAAAAAACCCCACGTTTCTGTTACACAGAAAAGCAGTCCAAGCATTACTTGGACTAGTTCACTTCCAATTTTATTTCTGTACACTCTGTCGAAACACTCAACCATGATGCTAAAAAGTATTTACTTAGCTCAAGTAAAAGGTGTGAAAGAATGAAGGACACTTCATATTGAAATGAATTTGTAGCTCTTCTAATGATTTAAAATGTATACTGTGCGTTAGATACTTTTCTAAGTGTTATGGACAGTACCTGTGGAGAAAAGTATGAACTCTTACAGAGCTTTCCATTTGATAGGGGAGCTAACAAATGAACACATCAGAAAATCTCAGATACGGAAGGATTGTATTAAGAAAATGAAAAAAAAACAACAACAAAAATGCAGCTTGCTAACTAGCATGAAAACAGACCTAGAAATAAACCCATACACTTGTAGCTATCAGATAGTCAATAAAGGAGCAAAAACTGTAAGTTGGAAAAAAAATATTCTCTTCAATGGTATTGGAAAAACTGGACATCCATATGTAGAAAACTAAAATTGGATCCCTGTTTGTCACCATGTATCAATATTAACTCAAAATGGATCAAAGATCTGAGTATCAGACCTGAAACTCTGAAACTACTGCAAGATGGAATAGGAGAAATATTAGCACTTATATAGGTAGGAACTTTCTGAACAGTCTCAGGGGCATAGAAGATAGGAGAATTAGCACAGCAAAGAACATAATTACAAAGTTAGAAAGACAACCAACAGACTGGGAAAAGATCTTTACCAGCCAAACATCCAGCAAAGCCCTTATATCCAAGGAGCTCAAAAAATGAATACCCCCTAAATGAATAAACCAATCAATAAATTGGCAAAGGAACTAAATAGATACTTCTCAGAAGAAGAATAGAAAAATAACAAGCCATAGAACTTGCCTATGATCCAGCCATAGCACTCTTGGATATCTACCCAGTACATTATAAGTCAGGAAGGTTATGGTAAAGACACTTGCATATCCGTGTTCATTGTTGCACTATTCACAATAGCCAAGTTATGGAAACAGACAAGATGCCCTACAAAAGATAAGTTGATTTTTTTTAATGTGGTAATGTACACATGGAATTTAATTCATCCATCAGAAAAATCAGGTGATAGAGCACCAGCCAATGAATGAATGAAAGGCTGCATCAGATAGTCCTGGACTAGGACCAAAAAGAAAAAATAATTTATCATTTGCAGGGAAATGGGTGGACCTAAAACAAATCACGTTAAGTGAAGTAAAGCCAAGCTCAAAGAGAAAAGGCACGTTTGCTCTCATATGTGGAAGCTAGATCTAAAATACAACCAATGAATTCCAAGAAATGGAAACATGGTTTTCTTTTATATTGTTTTGTTTAGTTTCTTTATATTTTTTCTTTCTTTCCCTTTCTTTCTTTTCCTTTCTTTCTCTCTCTCTCTCTCTCTTTCTCTCTTTCTTTCTTTCCTTCTTTCTTTCTTTCTTTTCCCAGTTGTGGGGCTTGAACTCTGGGCCTGGGTGCTGTCCCTGGGCTCTTCAGCACAAGGCTAGCACCCTATCAGTTGAGCCACAGTGCCACTTCTTTTTTTGTTTTTTCTTTTGTTTTGATTTTGTCTTTTAGGTGGGCATGGGCAAAGAGGAACAGAAGAAAGAAACAGAAGGGTGAGCAAATGCAGTTATTATATTAAATACACACTATGTTAAAAAAAAAAAATGAACTTGTGGGTGGGGAACAGAGGGAAAAACGAGAAAGCAAGGAAATCCGGGATACTGTCCAAAAAGAAATGTTGTTACTACCTAACTTATGTTACTGTAACTCCTCTACATATCACCTTTATAATAACAAAAAAAAATTTTTTTAATGAACTATGTAACTTGGATAGGCGGGGGGGGGGGGGGGGGGGGGGGGGGCGGGGGAATGGGAGAAAGTAAAGGAAAATGAATGAATGAAATGTAAAAAGTGAATGGAAATGCCCAAGAAGGACTGTATTCATAATCTGACTTACAAAATTGTAATCCCTTTATACAACTCCTTAAAAATAAAAAAATTAAAAAAAAGAAAATGTTAAGATATGTGGTTAGAGGAACAATGGTAGTACAATCCATTAACTAGGATTGCTCAGGAAGGCCTCCTTCTGGAGAAAGAACCATGACAAGGTGCCACTAGGCAATGACTAGGAAGAGAAACTTTCTGTAAAAAACATAACAAGGGAGAAATTGCACAGAAATTGCACCAGATGGAAAAAAGGTCTAGATTTTACTGCACAGTATTATCAAAGAATTAGAAGTATAGCCTCAATGTAAACAGCAAGCAATAACAACAACAAATAACCCTGTCTCCTTTTAAGTCTGTATCAGATCTGAAAGAAGACAAAGTTCAGAATGCTATACTATTGTCTAGGGAATATTAGGGCATTGATAAAAATGTGAAGGGAATATGATCACTGTGTTTAATATTGTCAAATCCATCACTGAAAAGGAAATTAGATTACATATGGTAATGGGACAAAAATCAAATCAAACCAGGGCTAGACATTTTTACTTGATATATACAAAAATTGCCTAACAGGTCTTGTGCAAAAGTGAGAGACTGCTGCCAAGAGGCAATGAATTTCTCTTCAGAGATAACACAAAAGGTTTCAATGGGATAGTTTAGGGCCTCTACCAATCCTAAGTAAAAGTGAATGATTTTATGAAATTTCCCTAAGCTGAGGAGGATGGGTTCTGCAGAACTTGGTTCCCACACCTTCAGGTAATCTGTAAACTATTGTTTCTATAGTACCTTTACTGAACCTCCAGTAGATGGCATTGTCCAAAATCATTTATCAACAATTCCCCCAGTTGCCAGGCACTGGTGGCTCAAGGCCTGTAATCCTCACTATTCAGGAGGCTGAGAACTGAGGATCTCAGTTCGAAGCCAACCCTGACAGGAAAGTATGTGAGACTCTTATCTCAAATTAACCTTCAAAAAACCGGAAGTGGCACTGTGGCTCAAAGTGGTAAAGCACTAGCCATAAGCAAAAAAGCTCAGGGACAGTGTCCAGGCCCTGAGTTCAAGCCCCATGACTAACAGAAAAAAAAAAATTCTCAGCCGGGTGCCGGTGGCTCACACCTGTAATCCTAGCTACTCAGGAGGCTGAGATCTGAGGATCTCGGTTCAAAGCCAGCCAGGGCAGGAAAGTCCGTGAGACTCTTATCTCCAATAAACCACTAGAAAACCTGAAGTGGTGCTGTGGCTCAAGCAGTAGAACGCTTGCCTTGAGCATAAGAGCACAGGGACAGTGCACAGGAGCTGAGTTCAAGCCCCACAACCAGCAAAAAAAAAAAATTCTCCCCAAAACTTAAAACACTGGGATGTTCCCAAATTCCTGACAATTTACTAACTCACCTTGAGTGAGTCTATAGGTAACACCTCTAATATTATATTGTGATGCTCTCTCTAGAGATTTTTGGAAAATCCACTGAATATGCTCAGGATCATCGCCATCTAATGGAACCCCATCTGTTGGGAGGAAAATAAAAGAGAGAGGAAGATGTGACTTTTGTTTTTAATACAATAACCCCAATGAATAATACAGAAAAATACATATTTTATGCAATGGTGTATGATTAAATTTATTAAATTAGGCGTATTACCTCCAAAAGGCTGCTCTTTAGGCCACTGCAACACCCTTGCATATTCAATGCAGTGTTCTGGCAGCCTGGGCATGGATGCAATGGTGCACATGGGGAAATTAACCTGAAACCACAGTTTGTCTTTTTTAGTGAGTTTCAAACAATCTTAAATGCAACTTCCAGTTTAATTCAGTTTGTAACAGTTTCCAATAACTGAGCTCAGCCTTCCTTTACAATAGCCCTCCTTAGCCATAAAGGAAACATGGTAAACAATTAGCAACACCACTGAAACTAACAAGGTCATCTGAGTCATTTCAGAGTGGCTTGCCTGTAAAGATATGTTTGCCTTACATTTTTAAAGTACATAAGTTTAAGCTTTGCTAGATCACAAGAATAAAAGTGCTAAATCAAGTCTCTAAGTTCCATTCTCTGCATGGGGAACAAGAACTATTTCTCTTCTACTTTTCTTCCTATTTTATCCTATTTTACACTAAATTCAATCCTTGCTAAACCTTAAAAAAGTGCTGAACAGATTCGCAATGTGAATAACTTGTTGCCTGGTATTTAAATGCGAAGGTATTAAAAAATGAAAACAGGGGCGGGGAAGGTGGCTCAGTGGTAGAGAGCTTGCCTTGCATGCATGAGGCCCTGGGTTCAATTCCTCAGCACCACATAAGCAAAAAGAAAAAAGCCGCAAGTGGCGCTGTGGCTTAAGTGGTAGAGTGCTAGCCTTGAGCTGAAGAGCTGAGGGACAGCGCCCAGGTCCAGAGTTCAGGCCCCACGACTGGACCCCCAAAGAAAAAAAAGAAAAAAGAAAAAAAAAAGTATTCAGAATTAAGTCAATTTTAAGTATAATTCATACAAAATTATATTTACAAGTCAAAAATTTAACTTTCCTTTAAAGAAGGCATAAACATTAAAGAACTCCAACTTTGGGAAGAGGATCTCATCCCCCACTGTTTTTATTTCTCTGAAATATGTCCTGTCTAGTCCTCCCTCCCTCCCTCACTTCTTCACTCCCTCCCTTCCTTCCTTTTCTGTTGCAAAACCCCAACAGATGCTTGAAACTACATATGATAACCAACTTTATATATACTATATTCTTTCCTATTCATATTTTATACTAAGATAGCTTTATATACAATTTAGCCACAGTGAGATATTAACCAAAATGATAGAAAAGAACAACTGTAACAATATACAGTAATAAAAAATTATGACTGGTTTCTCTCAAAATATTATAGTTATATATACTTTGACAACTTCAAAAAACATTTCTCCTTCCTTATTCAATCAAGAATTTTTACCTTTTCACTTAAAGTTAACAATTTGAAGTTAAGTGTCTCTTTGGTATATTCAAACTGCCAGTATCACTACTCTTGTGTGGTAGGAGACTATTAAGGAGGCAGCTCTACTACTGAGCTACACCACCAGCCCTTAGAATTATTAATATAGACAGGTAGGAGTGGCTCCTGCCTATAATCTTAGCCCCTCAGAAAGATGAAATCTGAGGTTCACAGTTTGAAACCAGCCCAAGCAGACAAATCCAAGAGACTCTTTTTTTTTTTTTTTTTGGTCGGTCGTGGGGCTTGAACCCTGGGCCTGAGCGCTGTCCCTGCGCTCTTCAGCTCAAGGTTAGCGCTCTACCACTTGAACTACAGCGCCACTTCCTCCAAGAGACTCATCTCCAATTAACCAGCAAAAAGCCGAAGCAGAGGTGTAGCTCAAGAGACAGAGCATGAACCTTGGGTGAAAAAACTAAGCAAGAGCAAGATCCTGAGGTCAGGCCCCAGTATCGACACAAACACAAAAAAGGAATAATTTAAAATATTTTACACATTGATTAAACTAAATAATTCAGCTGTAGTTCCAACACAAAATACTATAAAAGAAATACAGGTGCTTTTTGATTACCTGTGGTGGATAAAGTTCCAGTGTACACTCAATGCAAGCAGTCATCCCAGGCAAAATCACCCGAGCATTTCCTTTAAAACCTTCTGTCCCCCCATCTATCAAAGGGACAATGGAGCTTGGATCTAACACACCATCTTCATAATTTAGCAGAGATATCTAGGAAAAGGTTTTGAGTATTTAAAAGAATAAGAGCTAAAAAAAAAAAAACTTCTAACAAACCCCTATGAATCAGCTGGACTACTGAGTACTAATATACAAAATCAAAAACTTAAAAGATAACAACTAGAAATAAACAGATGCATCAAAATAACTTAAAATTAAGTGAACTCTGATTTTTCAAAACTATGCTACAACACTCTAAACTATGGTGTGTTTAGAGCTTCAGCAAGGACGTGAGCGAAGCATGACACTGAAGTCTTTACCAGCATGCCGTTTATCCATCGTCTGGCTATGATAGAGTCCAATCCACACACGATAATATGGAATTCTACAAGAAAAAAAAAAATCCAAGTTTAAGTTTTAGTTTTAGGGTTTTGGGTCTTTTTTTAAAGGTCAGAGTTTTATTACAGAGCCCCAATTTGCCTCAAATCCTCAATCTTCCTGTCTTAGTCTTCTGAGTTGTGGGATTGAAAGAAATATACAAACAGTTCTTAACATATGTTCCTAATTTTAATGTTTAGTTTTTCAAAATGTACCTCTAGCAGGCAAATCTTAGAAACTCTTATGTCCAATTAACAAGCCAAAAAAACAGAAACAAAAACATAGCTCAAGTGGTAGAGGATTAACCTTACTGACTAGTTCAACCCCTAGTACCTGCATAAACAAATTAATAAATGAATAAATAAATGCACTTCCAAATCAGGCACACTAGCTCAAACCTTTCATCTTAACTATTCAGAATGTAGAGATCAGGAAGGTTGCAGTTCAAGGCCAGTAAGGGCAAAAAAAAAAAAAACAACAACACAAGACCTCATCTCAACCAATAAAAACAATGCGCATGATGGTGTAGGTCTGTCATCCCAACTATGAGAAAAATATAAATAGAAGGAGTGTCATCAGGCTAGCCTGGACAAACAAGGCCAGATTCTATCAGAAAGATAACTGAAGAAGAAAAAGAGATGGGTCCATGGTTCAAATGGTAAGAGCTCCTACCTAGAAATTCCAAGGCTCTGAGTTCAAATCCCAGTACTGCTAGGACAGAAATTGCACTTCCATAATTATGTATGAATGCAGACTCACTGACTTCAATAAATATACCAACATGGTATGACATGCTGATAGTGAAAGAAGCTGTTATGTAAAGGGATAGAGAACTCCAGAGGTCCCTACTTGCCATTCATCTTTTACGTAGACCTAAAGCTATTCTAAAAAACAAAAGTTAACTAATTCCAATAAAAGCAGTTGTACAAAAATCTCACTTTTTCCTAGAAACATTTTCTAACAGTTCCAACAAATATTTTCTCCTCCTCTCTTCCTGCTTTCTCTCCTTCCATCTCCTCCTTTCTTCTCCTAATCTTTGAGTGATTTTTATTCAAATGATCAGGAAAATGTAGCTAGTGACATCAAATAACGATTAAAACATTCATTTAACAAGCTTGCTAAACAGCCAACACCAAGGAAGGAAATTAACTAAAGAAATAACCAAATTAAAAAAACTGAAGATTTGGGGGAATTTAATTTCAATGAACAACTTACGTCGATAGAAAGTGTCATTAAAATCTTGAATCTTGTTGAAATGTCTAAATACAAGTAAAGGAACTTAAGCTGAAAAGTTTTTTATTTACCAAATAAATTAACTATGCCACAAGGAACAAACTATAAGCACCTATTTAAAACTAGAAATGAATACACAATGTTCACAAGCAGTGGAATTCAAGAAATCTGACAAGATGAGCATAACTCTACTACTTTTTGACAAAAACTTTCTCCCATTCCTCCTTTTAACTATATGGTTTTCTCATCTCTGAACATCTGCATCTTCCTGTATATGTTCTTGTTCAGAAGTTTACTTTATACTTTAGCTTTTATGTAAACACTCATATTCCAGTAAAACAAAAATATGCCCTCAAATATCAGCACCAAGACATGCACTGTTTGTTTAGCAAAGGAAACGAACATTACAAGTCTTACTTCTCTTTGTGATTTTAAGTGTTAATGAAAACCTAATTTTTAAAAAAATACAGAAAACTTCAATAACTTTCAGTTGCTATTATTGTTGGGTTGGGTGGGGTTTTTCTTCAGGATTGAGAAGATGCCATGCATTTTCTTTTTTTTCTTCTCTGGGCCTGAGTGCTGTCCCTCAGCTCTTCAGCTCAAGGCGAGCGCTCTACCACTTGAGCTACAGCGCCACTTCCGGTTTTCTGGTGGTTTATTGGAGCTAGGAGTCTCACGGTCACTCCTGCCCGGGCTGGCTTTGAACCGAGATCCTCAGATCTCAGCCTCCTGAGTAGCTAGGATTACAGGCGTGAGCCACCAGCATGCGGTATGCCATGCATTTTCTTAATCTCTTTCATTTACCTCAGTTTTCAAGTCTCTCTTTTAACCCTGTCAGACCCTATCAGTTCCTGGGCTTGGAGCCTTCAAATGGAACCCCATCTGAAATCCACCGTGGAAATGAGTCCATCAGAGCACAATTTAACAGTTACAAAATTCTAATCTTTCTAATGAGCAATTTTGCTTACTACAAATGTACTCCCTGTTAACCACTTCTTTTATAAGGAAAATGATTTTAAAGAAATAAGTAATTTTTCTGTCAAAAGGATACGGAACTACATTACAATTAGGAACTCTGTCATTTAGAAATTCTGCAGCAACTTCAGCCTTAGGTCTTCCAACGTCTTTAGGCCTACAGAAAAATTGTATTTAAATTGTCACTCATAATATACACCTAAGTGACCAATATAGTTTACTCCTAAACATAATCATGAACTGAGTTAATTTACAACATGTTAAAAAATTATACCTAAGTATTTTATACCAGTAATAATTTTAGATTCGTCTTCATTCATATTATTAAATGCCACCCCTTGCTAATGGTCCAAATTAACGTACCTAATTATGATTTTTTAGAGTGAAAATACAGAGTGCTTTTTTCCAGGTAAAAGCACAATGGCATGATTCCTAGTCATGTCCATCATGACATTTCCCAGTATAAAATTATCTCAGACCTGGGGCTGGGAAGGTGGCTCAGTGGTAGAGTGCTTGCCTTGTATGCATGAGGCCCTGGGTTAGATTCCTCAGCACCACATAAGCAGAAAAAACCGTAAGGACAGCACCCAGGCCCAGAGTCCAGGCCCACAACTGACCAAAAAAAAAAAAAAAAAAATTATCCCAGACCCAAAGCCTTCTGAAGTATCTAGCCTGAAACCCAAAATCTTAACATGTTAATTACTATGAAGGTCTTAGTTGAAATACACATGCAGTTCCTTCTAGGAATGCAAGAACCTTTTGTTGTCACTTTTTTCTGTGCATTGAATGATGTAGTAAAATTTAGATTGCTAAACCATGTTGTTGTTTATGTTGTTGGATTTATTTATTTTATTTGGTGCCTGAACTCTGGGCCTGGGCGCTGTCCCTCAGCTCTTCAGCTTAAGGTTAGCACTCTACCACCTGAGCCACAGCGCCACTTCTGGCTTTTTTTTCTTTTTGCTTATGTAGTGCTGAGGAATTGAGCCCAGGGCCTCATGCATGCAAGGCAAGCACTCTACCACTGAGCCACCTTCCCAGCCCCTTGAACCATGCTTTTAAAGAAGGAAATTTCACCCAGATGTATCATCTTTTTCAAGAAGCTAACAATATAAATCCTCAAAATGTCAATCCTTAATAATTAGATATAAATAAGAGAAACAAAAATCCCACAAATTCTCTTTTCCAGTCATATGTTATTTTTAATACCTCCTTATTTTTCCCCACAGAAATAAATCATTCTCTCATGTAAATACAACAAGTGCCTAATTATTAGTTTCTCATAACATATTTTCTTTTTTTTTTTTTTGGGTCCGGTCGTGGGGCCTGAACTCTGGGCCTGGGCGCTGTCCCTCAGCTCTTCAGCTCAAGGCTAGCGCTCTACCACTTGAGCCACAGCGCCACTTCCGGCTTTTTTCTTTTTGCTTATGTGGTGCTGAGGAATCGAACTCAGGGCCTCAGGCATGCAAGGCAAGCGCTCTACCACTGAGCCACCTTCCCAGCCCTCATAACATATTTTCTATACACATACATTTAAGTTACTAAACTCTGGTAGAAATTCTATTCTACCTAGTACAAATAACTTTGTAAGTAAAAATAACTAATGCTTACTAAAAATTCTCTTTTTTAAACTGGAAACTGTTCAAAAAAGAACAATTTAGATGGGCTAATATTTCCTTTTCTTCAAGACAAAAGTGTTCCTTTTTATCTAACTCTGATAAGCAAGTTTATTCTCACTTTGGCTTTACTTGCATATATATGACTGCTATAAACTGGAGACCTTGTCTGGAGTATTGCATTCAACTGTTCCAAACACAGGAGCTCTTTATATATAGTAAGGAGGAAATAGGAGGCTTCCTAGAGTCTTCTAAACCATATATATGTGCTTTCATTGCTGATCTCAAACCACACTCCCACATGGAGTGTTTCCATGGAGACACTGGGGGAGATTTGACTGGTGCACTTAAGACAGTGACTTATTTCATACATATCTTGCCAAAAGTATTTACCTATGAAAACAAGTAACTACCTTGAGATTTCGTAAATATGGTAATATGCCCTAAGGAGTTTAGAAACATCGTAGCACATAATGAACAATAAATGTTAAATATTATTATGTTCTACTATTTTAGCCACTAATTAAAATTAGAAGGCATAGCACACTATCAATAATCAATCATCTCAGTGGTCTTTTTCAGAGTATTAAAACTAAAGATAGGTCAAACTGGAAATGACCCACACACAAAAGAAACATTAACTAGGTTTATCTAAATGCCAGAATTTTCTTTCAAAATTTAACCTAAAATTGACTAGCAGTTCTCAATAAAAAAAAAAAAGTGCAAGTATCAGAGCTTAGAGGAAACTAGGATATTAAAACTTACCTAAATAAAAACTGTCTATTTAAATTGGAAACATCTATAGTGTCCATGTCTATAACATGAATCTGTCTAAAACCAGACAATGCCTGTGGAAATAAAAATAATATAGGTGAGCAAAAGCTTCCTTATGCAATTTTTTTTAAGATTTGTTTTCAATGTAGTCCTAAGTCTACAAATTCTCAGTAATAAATATCATACAACTGTAGTTCATAAGTAAAAAAAAAAAAAGTCTTGCAAGGTACAGGAAACTCAGAATTCTTGTAAAAGTCAAAAATGTGTAAGTTGGTTTTAAATAGTCTATAACCAACAGAGAATAACTCAGTTTGTGCACGTTACCACATGCTGTTCCCTTGGACCAGAATGTTTTTCCTCAGACAGGCACACTGCTTACCCTCTTACTCAAATAGCTCCTTCTCCCTTCCTACCAGGCCACTGGTCCATGCCCTCCTTTTTTACAGCATACACAACCATCTCACAGACTGCATTGTTTTTTATCTTCACCTAGAATGTAAGCCCCGCAAACCTAAATATCTGTCTATCCTGTTCCACTCTGAATCTTTACCATCTAATGGTATTTGGCTTATTTGAGAGCACAATAAATGTTTTGTTTTGTTTTTTAATCAGTGATACTAATATCATGTTGTTTTAGAATAAGCCTTTAGAGGGCTTACAGGTACTAAAAATGAAAAAAAAAAATCTCTGCATCTCTTATGTGCCTATATTTAATAGGCAAAGGTTACTATAATTCAGTAAATAACAACAGAACCACTCCTCAAAGATTTCTGATGACTAATCCCCAGATCTAATCTTTAATTACTTCACATTTAAAATTAGGATTGCCTGACGTGGTGGTTTACACCTGTAATTCCAGCTCGTAGAAGGATGAGGGAGGATTACAAGTTTAAAGCCTGCCTTGGCTATACAGCAATACCCTATCACAAAAGAACAAATAAAACGAAATTAGTACACATCACATTAGCAAATAATATGCCTTTCAAAATGGACCTTAACCTTTAGGGGATTTGTATGTATGTCTTTAAAAACAACAACAACAAAAACAATAAACACTGCCTAAGCTCTATATACTCTTTCCTTATACTCTTATATACTCTTTCCTTAGCATAAGGAAAAAGCATATATTATATACTCCTTATATATACTATAGTATATTGTATATATACTCTATACTCTTTCCCTCTATATCGAGTGATACAATGCCCTACCTATCAGCTGGATTAACTAGAAAAACAAAATAGTAAGTTATTAGCCATTACACATTAAAATATAAACCACTTTTTATTTACTCGAGGGAAATAAAGTTAGCACTGTGCAAGAAATACAAAAATTAAAGAGCAGTTAAGAAGGCTAAGGATTTACTCAGTAGCAGATTGCACAAGGCCTGGGTTTGATCCCTATTACATCCCCCTTTCTCTCCCCTCTCCCAAAGAAGAGTAGAAAAGAAAACAGAAGAAATTTACCAATGATATCATGATTAAGAACATTAGAGTTTAAAATGTTCAAAAGTTGTAACATTATTTTAATCATCATCTAGAATTTGACTTGATAAGCTTACAAAAGCACAAGAGAGAAAGCTAATAATCATAATAGAGATGTATCCTAGTATGACAGAAAAGTAAAATTATTTACTTATCATAGAGAATATTATATATACATATATATATTTATTACCAGGTTTTTCAGGAGCTCACATCCTAAGCCGCCAGCTCCAATGACTAGAACTTTACATGTATCTAACAAAAACTGGAGAGACTGTAAAGAATGGAAAGGAATATTAAAAATCTAAATAATCACTATAAATATTACTAATAAAGCAACAAACTATAAAACAGTTTCTAATGTACTCGTGAAAAATACACTAGGATAAAGAATGCACTTTGCATGTGATCAATTACATCAAATTTATAAAGAAGAACCAGAATTTCTAAAGTCCTACTGATATCAGTTACAATTTTAGTGTTTGTAAACTGACTTTTGTGAGAAATTAAAGCTATTTCTCACAAAAAGAGCTAGTCCTAGTTTCTTTTCTTTCTTTCAAGTGTTATTTTATCATTTAACTTGTAATTTGACAATCTTAAAATAGTATCTTCTATTTTACTTCTCCCATTCTTTGATTGTTTTTCTTTGATGTTTGAGAAGATAAGGAAAGCATCTAATTCAGTTAACCTACAAGTTTCCTAAAAGAGAAAAGTTTAAAAATCTTATAAACAGAGAACCATGCAGTAAAGTGTTTAAAGGTCTAAAATAATAAGAACAGTAACAGATGCTTTTGAATAGAGTAAGTAGAGCCTGTAAAACATGAGATGAGAGGAAAATAAAATAGAAGAAACTCTAAAAAAACTATCCACACATACAATTTAGAATAATCATTTAACAATTTTAAATTATCATACGAAAAATACAATGAATATTCAAAGAAAGAATATGATCAATTCTAACATTTATGGAGGAAGGTTATTCACAGGAGATATTGGGGCAAGTTTAGGAATAGCACAATATTTCTGTTTCAGTACAGTATTTCTTAGCCAGGCACTGGTGTTTCACACCCAGAAGCCTATTACTCAGGAGGCCTGAGTATCATAGTTCTAAGCCAATCCATGCAGAAAAACCCATGACTTTTATCTCCATTTAACCAGCAAAAAGCCAGAAGTGAAGGTGTGGCTCAAGTGTTAAGAGCCTGGGGAGAAAAAAAAAAGGAGGAAAAAAAAAAGAAGCGAAAGCATGATGCCCTAAATTAAAGCTACAGTACTGGTGCGCACGCACACATACATACATACATACATACACACACACACACACACAAAGCAATAAAGCTAATAATACCTCTTTGTAAACACAATAGAAGAAAAAAGTTATACTTTTTCCTAACTGGCAATAAAAACCAGGTTGTACCCAATAGAGCATTTTTCTTCAGACAGTCCAAAATTCTATTATATATCATGCATATTTTTAACATGCAATTAGTTAATAATCAATGCTAAGATGCTCATTCCAATTGAATGTCAAAATTTAAGCAAGCACTTCTATACTCCTATCGAAGTAATTTTCTCATAAGAAAGATGCAAAGGGGGATGTTTAGGAAATGACTTTCAACTTGAATTTTAAGTGTAATAGAATTTAAAGTTATAAAGTTATTTCCCTTGTGAAACATATCAAATATATTACACAAAAATGTCAAAATAACTAATAATAGTCATTCAAATAGTCAAATTGTAAATACTCAATAATTCACAATAACAATTTCACAATGCAATCTTATTAGTATTTGCATTATAAGAGCAAATTAAAAAGAAAGCATCTTATTCTTTTTGAGATAAGAAACTATTAGAGCAGGTATTTAAAAATAAATGTTGCTCACTTCAGTGCTCGGTTCGAAATCAGGGTGTGTGAAGGGTCCAGATCGCTCGAGGAACTTCTTTACATGGTTCCAGCGACCTTCCCAGTCTCCAGTGTCCCCACACCCACCATCAACAGCCATTCTGCACAGAACACAGTAAATCCAGCTGCAAAGATCAGTATGAAAAAGCCACAGCTACAACCATTAGGTCTCCCCACAAGAAAAGGTGACCACGCCAGAGGCGATCAGATACAAAGGGAAAATGACTACGGTTGTTTCATGCTTTCTAATTGTTTGTCTATTAAAGGGCTCCTTAAAATTATATTTGTTTCTATTGGTATTTCATCCATTTGAAGTAATAAATCAGTATGCTAAAGATCAAACTGTACTATTGATTTATCCGTGAGAAATACTTTTGATATTCAAAAAAAAAGACTGCTAACTTCCAGTTTCTTTCAGTGTATTTGGGAAAGGAAATATATCAGATTACATGGAAAGTGAAAAAACCACACATTCAGAATTGTGATGCTTCAAATCTAATACTGTTTATGTTTTGAAAAGGTGATTTCAAGACCATCTTTAAAGAGTAACTTTCATACATGTTTCTCCCAATTTCCAAAAATTGAATCTTGGCATTGTGAGGTGGGTTTTGCTGTCAGTAAACACTCACACAAAATGTTTTAAGGCAGGATAGGGGTGGTTGATGCCCATAATCCCCGCTCTTCAGGAGACTGAGATTCAGAGACTGTGGTTTTTGTCTTTATCACTATTGCCTAGTGATAAAAACTAAGTTTTGGTGTCAAATTGGATTTGATTCCACAACCAAACTGGCTCAGTAGCTTGAGCAGATTAATTACTTGACTGCTATAAACCTCCTCTACGGGTTATAGTTATTTCTTAGGGGCATGAGAATAAAGAAATAATTACAGATGACTGGGAACAGTACTTAACACTTCCTAAGCATTCAAACTTGAACTGTCACTTTATGCGAAAGTGACAGGGAGCTAAACAGTGGAAGGAATGTGAGATTAAGCTTGTCATTCCAGTCCCCCTGTAGTTGAAATTCAATTGAAGGAAAAACCTAGAGACCACAGCACTACTGGGAATTGATACAGAAATTAGGAACTCACCACACACACACACACACACACACACACACACACACACACACGCACGCACACACACACACATCAAAAGTATTTTTTTCCCTTCCATTTAAGGAAAAGGGCACATTATGTAAGGGTTGGTCAGGTGGGAGAAATTTTCAATCGATGGCACCACTATCAAAATATCAAACTATGCCCTTAATAAAATGCAGATTGTTTGGGCATGGGAAAGAGGGGGGAGGTTAGCAATTGGGAGTCAACCAGTTAAAAGACCCAATTATTTTTGCAAACACGATGCAAGTGCTTAGTACGATACCTGGTGTGGACCGAGCAACACGATAAAAATGAAAGTTTGCAATCGGTCCTATCATCTCTTGTGCTTAGGAAAGGCCCCAAACAGTCTGAGGTCCGTTTCCCGGGTTTGCACTGGACTCTCGGGTCACAAGGTCACTCACTGGATCTCACCATTGGGGATGGAAGGGCTGGGGGCGCAGGGTAGGCCCTGGCAGGGCCCGGGGCGGTGCACCCCAGCCCCAAAGCCCACCCGGGGCTGAGGCCGGGGGCGGCTGGCCCGCGCCGGGGCTGGGGGTCGGGGGTCGGGGTCAGGGGTCGGGGGTCGGGGGTCGGGGTGAGGCCGCGCGGCCTGCGCTGCGGGAGCCCCCCCACTCCCAGCACCCCCCCCCCCGGGCCCGCTGCGGCTGGTGCCCTAGGCCTGGGGTTAGGGGGAGGCGGGGGTCTCCAGAGAAGACCCCCGGCCTCCCGGCGGCACTAACTTCTCAGCCAGCAGCTCCTCTATTCTCCTTCTTTTCTTCTCCCTAAAAGAAAGAGAGAATAAAAGAAGGGTCAGCATCACGCTACACGCTAGGCGCCGCGAGGGTGTGGGGAGCGAGGGGACGGGGCGGAGGGGGGGGGGACCCCGGGTGGCGGCGGCGACCGCCCACCGCCACGCTCTCTCACAAACCAGCCCAAGCCGGCGCGCGGGCCGGCCCCGGTACTTACGGCTCCTCGCCATCCGCCATATTGTTCTCCGCCTCTTCCCAGGTGCCTTCGCGGAGGGCGGGGAGGGGCGTAGCCTCGGGCGGGAGGTGGGCAGTGGGCGGGCGGGGCCTTGGAAAAGGGCGGGACCTAGGAGGGGCGGGGCTCTGGCTTCGCTACGATGATAGGGCGGGGCCTTGGGACACAGGCGGGGGAGGGGCCAGGGGCGGGGCCTATGAGGGTGTGGCTCTTGTTTCGCCACGTGAGTGGGCGATGCCTTGGGGAGGGGCGGGACCCAGGAAGGGCGTGGCTCTGGGTTCGCCGTGGGGGGCGGGGCCTGGTAGGAGGGGTGGGCTCTCGGAGGGATCCGAGTGGGACGGGAGGCAGCCGAGGGAGAGGGGCGGAGTCCGTGGCTTTTAAAACATTTCATTGTGAATACAGGGAAATGTTATGCCGCCTACAATGTTGTTATGCCTCAAGAGAATGTTAGTAAAGGTTTTATACAATTGCGTGATTAATAAATAATCTCGTGAAATGTTGGTGTGTTCTACAAAATTAAAAACATAATTTAAAAACCCTAAGAAGAACCAACACAAAAAACACCAGAGCTTTTCAATGGGACCAAACGTTGAGCAGAATTTCTGCTTTCTACTTTTTGTCAGGGTTTCAAAAGTCTGCCTTTAACTTTAAAACTTTATAACTTTAAAAGAGGTAATAGAGGAGAAATTATTTTGGCAAAGTATGCATTAGTAAGTCTGGATAACCAGATAGACAAACATTATGATGATAGTCATATGTCTTACAAATAGCTCATATAGCTTGCTTTCCTTGTGTGTGTGTGTGTGTGTGTGTGTGTGTGTGTGTGCGCGCGCGCGCGCGCGCGCTCGCTTCAGTCCTGAGACTTGAACTCAGGGCCTAGACACTGTCCCTGAGCTTCTTTTACTTAAGGTTAACGCTCTACCGTTTGAGTTAAAGATCTACTTCCAGCTTTTTTTGGTAGTTTAGTTGGAGATAAGAGTCTCCTGCCCAGGCTACCTTCAAACCAGTCTCCTGAGCAGCTAGGATTACAGCATGATCCCCCAGTCCCCAGCTAACACATAGCTTTCTTCAAGTGAAACAAGAATGAGATACTTGGAGTTAGAAAGAACTCAGTTTAAAATTCTTATTCCTTGGGTACTTCTGTGTCCTTACTTGTAGGGTAGGGATGAGTCAGTACAGGGATCTACCTTTCTTCCTGAAGCACTGAAGCAGAGGCAGGAATTAGATAGGTATTGTTAAAGTATATTAAATCACTGTTAATATTAATTATAGGTTTGGGGTTTTTTTTGTCAGTCATAGGCTTGAACTTAGGGCCTGGGTGCTGTCCCCGAACTCTTTTGCTCAAGGCTAGTGCTTACCATTTTGAGCCACAGCTCCACTCCCAGTCTTTGAGTGGTTAATTGGAGATTAGAGTTTCACAGGGACTTTTCTGTCCAGGCTGGCTTCAAACCACAATCCTTATATCTCAATGTCCTAAATAATAGGATTACAGGCAAGAGCCACCAGCACCTGGCTGTACATACCTCTTTTAATGTTCTTTCAAGATGCTGGGATGGGACAATTTGACTCCCTAACTAACAGAACTTGTGCTGCAGTTACTTGGTTTGAAGAACTATCCACCAAGCAGCCTGCAGGACTGCCCTAAAGACACGGCAAGCTATTAGGAACACTCTGTGGATACCCAGAGGAAGCTACGTGGTAACCATAGCTGCTTGTTCCCAAAGCACAACTGGCTCCTAAAAGAATCACCTCAACCGTGACTGTCAAACAGCTTGTACCAGACTCTAGTCTCTAGATCCTGCACTCATTTCCACCCAGGCTTCAGGGGGAGTACTTTTGTTGGTGATCCAACAGAAAACTCCAATCCGTCCTTCATTTGCATAAAGGACTGGGATCATGTCACAAGTGTTTGCCAGGATGGGTGCAAACACCTATTATTTGTGTGGTAGGACTGTGATGATTGGTGCAGACACCTTTAACACACTCCCAGTCTGGCTTTATTTATAAAGCAGGCTATTTGCTCATGCTGTGAATCATCCAGAAGACACACTCCTGTGCTGCCCCCTGGTGGTGAGACATTAGGCCGACTAAAAAGCTTCTCTGAATCGTTTTCTTCTTCCTATTTCTTATCTTTATCATTATTAGAATAATCAGAGCTAGCTAGTAACTGAAAGAAATAACAGCAACCACAGCCTGGGTGGCAACCAGGTGACAATGACACTGGCAAGAAAAAGGCATCCAAAGAATTCCAGAGAGCCATAAAGAGCAGATGCAATTGAGACCACAATGCTCTGAAGAGCAGATACAAGAAAACTGAGGGTCCTGGCCACTGAAAGAGTTCCAGGGAGTTACCAAAAGGCCAAGGGTTCCAGACACCTTAGGCTTGAAAGCTATGTAACACTTGTTACTGTCAGGCTGAAGATCTCAACACCCAAGGCCTTCATGCTGCCAGAGCCCAGGATTACAAAAGCTGCCAAGTGCCAGGGCCAAAGACAGTTAAAGACCAGAGCAGTAAACCTCCAAGATGAGTACTTAGAGCCTCAGGTCTCTCCTTTCTAAAGCATAGTGGAATAGTCCTCTAGCTCTCAGAGCTTGGAGCTTAAAGACTCTAAGTCTGCCAGTCCAGCCCCTAGATGGTGGGTACTGAAGGGCCCAGGACTGCCAGCAATGAAAGAATTTATTACTTACCCCCAATTCTTACATAGGTAAACAGAAAGACTCCAGACAGCTGACTCATTACAAGGATTCTATTGTTTCCCTTAGGAGACAGAGAATTCAATGAAATCCACAGTGACTCTCAAATATAGTCCCTTACCACCAGCACTTGGAAATTATTTACAAATGCAAATTGTCAGGCCTCAATCCAACCCTGTGAAAAGCATAGGATGACTGAAGATTTGACATTCAAGACCTATCACAATGCTATAAAAGCAACCTCCTTGTAACTGTTCTTACTGCTAGGTGATATTTAGTCTCCTCTTTGTACTCTTCTCCATTGAACCTTAAGGAAGTCTTGGCTTTTATGATTACTCAATTAGGTTAATCAGTAGCTTTCATTGAGCTGATATTTGTTAGTACCAGGCAGTGAGTGCCATAAGAATAGAGTGTATTGTCCCTACCAGGACACATCAGCCCCTTACTGGTCAGTCACATGTCTCTCCATGAACTAAGAAACTTCTTGGTCTTGCTCCGACAACTCTGAGAGAAACCACTGAGTGATTCCCTTGCTGGCCAAAATGGGCTTCTGCTGGCTGTTTCCAAGATATACCCTTTGATTAATGGTAGTGAGCATTATACACATACCTCAGATGGAAACAAAACAAAAAAAAAAGAGGCATTACCTTAGGGAAATCATCTACTCTCCTTTATCCCTTGCATAGAGGAAGAAAATGAGCCCTAGGAAAAGGATAGAGCTAAGCTGATAAAGAATTTAGAAAGGCTTGGGGCCTGCATCTGCATGCCTTGGGACTGACACTCTGACTCACAATGGTGGTATTTAGAGAGATGACACCAGGCAATCATTGGCTCAGGCTGACTGATGAGAAATAGCCACTTGCTCTTAACAGTGATGAAAGCAGCTGTCCAACCAGGAAAATCTTAAACAGATTTGTTTCCTTAAAAAAAAAAATAAAACATAAAACATTCAACCACCCACTGTGGTTGACAAGCAGAAAAATATTCAAGATGGTCCTATCTAGAAACACAAGTTCTTATATAAAAGGCTGGCAGGATCTCTAGAATGATTGTATATTTTGACTTCCCCGTTCCTCGAGAATAGTGATAAACTGCTCTTACTAATAACTTCCAGCCAGTGACTGGAATAAAGAGTCTATGTATGTTCACTTTTATTTATGTTGGACTGAGGACACGATGCAAGTGGTAAAGTACCTGCCTTGCAAACATGAGGCCTTGGGCTGGGAAGGTGGCTCAGTGGTAGAGCGCTTGCCTTGCATGCATGAGGCCCTGGGTTCAATTCCCTAGCACCACATAAGCAAAGAGAAAAAAAGCCGGAAGTGGTGCTGTGGCTCAAGTGGTAGAGCGCTAGCCTTGAGCTGAAGAGCTGAAGGACAGCACCCAGGCCCAGAGTTCAGGCCCCATGACTGGACCCAAAAAAAAAAAAAACATGAGGCCTTGAGTTCAAGCCCCAGTCCTGCCAAAAAAACAAGTAAAACAATAAATAACTGTATGACAAAAGTAGAAATGTATACAGAAAACAAAAACCTCCCAGAAGGCAGCCAGGGAGAGAAGAAACACGGTTAAACATTTTCAGAAAAAAAGAAGGCACCATTGCAACACAGTCAGCTTTAAGAATCTTTATTTATTTGCCATTGTTTTTCTTCTCTCTTGGGAGTAAGTTAAAGTACATTCAACAAATATTTACTAGACATTCATCGCCTGTGAAGGATGAGCAAAAATGAGCAATCATATTGTTATGAATACGCACTTGACAGCTTTTGGTCATGCAGTTCTGAGCAGCTGGAGAGTGAAAAATTCTTACTCACAACTGCTCCGGCTCACAGATTAGTCCAACAGGTGTGAGGCCTTCCTGAGGCTCCTACCCTAACCTTGACCAAGATCATTTACTCCCCTTATCCACCTATCAAGCGCCAGGAATTCCTCCACACCCTGGGACTTCCTGTAACTGAGAGCAAGGCCTGGCACATGTCACTTAACACTCCTCCCACAGACTCATGTGTAGGTAATGAAGCTAGCAATGTGGGATCTCTGAAAGCAAAATAGGGCCTCATTCACCCCACCCCAGCCCCACCCTCGCCCCAGTGCTATCATGGAGCTTTGGGAGGACTCATAATATCTGTTGTCATTGTATTGAATATGCTTGAAATATTTCTCCTGTCCTACCTGTTCAGATACAGCCACAAGAATAAAAGGACAACAGAAAAGTCAGTGGTTGTTTATTATGACAGTAGAGAAAGCCAGGGACTGGTGGCTCATGCCTATAATCCTAGCTACTCAGGAGGTTGAGATCAGAGGATCTAACTCCAGTTGGGGTTAGAAAGTCCATGAGACTCTTACCTCCAGTTAATCACCAAAAAACTGGAAATGGCACTGTGGCTTTAAAGTAGTAGAGTGCTAGTCTTGAACAAAAGAGTTCAGGGACAGCTGTCAGGCCCTGAGTTCAAGCCCTATGACCAACACTACCACCACCACCAAAAACAACTAACAGAGGAAACATCAGGTGAAAGTGACATAAACATCCAGATGAATCATAGACTGGATAGGTTTTGTTTTGTTTTGTTTGCTTGGTGTTTTTGGTGGGGTATGGTTTTGTTTTTTGGTAGTACTAAAGGCTTGTGTTTTATCTGTTTTTTGTTGTTGTTGTTGTTGTTGGTTTGTTTAATTGTTTTGGTTTTTGTTTTTTGCCAGTCCTAGGATTTGAACTAAGGGCTTGGGCACTGTCCCCGAGCTTCTTTTGCTCAAGGCTAGCACTCTACCACTTGAGCCACAGTGCCATTTCCAGCTTTTCCTGTGTATGAGGTTCAGAGGAATTGAATCCAGGGCTTCATGTTTGTGAGACAAACACGCTGCTGCTAAGCTACATTCCCAGCCCCAGGCCGTGTATTTTAAAGCAGGCAGTCTTCCTACTGTTTGAATCATGCTTCAAGCTTCTTTTTGTCTTGGTTATTTTTGAGGTAGGGTCTTAATTTAGCTGTAATCCTCCTATTCTTATGCTTCCTGTGTCACTGGTGGAAGGGACAGGGACATGCAACTGCACCCAGCTATTGTGCTTCCCCTGTAACTAATAAAATAAGTACAAGCAGATAGTCAGGTAAATGAGTGAGATGGACATTTGTGACCTTCTTTATCTGAGGTTCAGAACGAACCTTGATCCTCTAACCCAGCCTCCCAAGTAGCTAGAATTACAGGCTTGAGCACTCAGCAACTGTGCTGTTATTAATAAGTTAAATCTAGGTGACACTTAACACTTCCCAAACATTCCCTCATTTATCCACACCTCTGTGACAGATTTTCTGTTTTTCCCCAGTTTAGATAGGAAGTAATTGAGGCTATGGGAAGATTAAGTAATTTCCCCCAAACCATCTGCCAGAAAAAGAGAACCTAGAACTCTGATTTTGCTTTGTCTGGCTTTAAACTCTCCCAATTTTTCCCAAGGCCAAGAAAATGTCACAACTCATGAACTTTGGTGGCACTTTTTTTTTTTTTTAATTCAGAGACTTGTATTTGCTAAGCAAGCATTCTATCAAATAAGCTAGAAGCATCAATTTGTATTTTTTCACACTTAAAATTCTATAAAAAAAAAAAAAAAAAAAAACAGCACCAAGGATATATTTTAAACAGTGCTGATTCAATTCAATTACTAAACTTCCCTAACTATCCGCACCAGTAGAAGATTTCTTATAGTCACTGAAATTCCCTTCATTGCTTTTAGGATCAATAAGGAAATTTAAATTATGTCTTCTAGACGGTGTATTAAGTGTATTTTATTGCTTCCCAACTAATGGAAATCTGAAGATCTGAGTGAAGTGAACTGACTTTGTTAAGCCAGAAAGATTTGCAGGGTTAGACTGTTACCTTGGATCCTATCATCTGTACATTCAGCCTTCCACACCCTATTCATGGGTGGAACCAACCACAGACAGAAAATAGTTTTGAGGGTTTTTTTTTTTTATATTGTCTAAAAGGAACATGTACAGGAGGTCTCTGGTCATTACAGCACACTAATTTGTTTTAGTGTAACAAGCATTAATATGTGGTTATATTGAATAGAAATACTATGTTCTATGAGTTATTGTAAGTTACCTAAAAGTGATCTCAGGAGTAAGAGAGTGGGTATAAGTATCATACCACTTTAAGGGGCTTAAACATACATATTCTGGGATGGGGGAAGATCCTGAGATGAATTCTCTCATTGATGCCAAGTGATAATTTTTTCATCAGGGTTTATCTTAGCAATTAGCAGTTTCATTGAAAAAAAATATATAACTCTTTGGGGCTGGAGAATTTACTGCTGCTATATCTCTTACCAGTTATTTGGGGGTAGCATACAAAGTATCACCTATTTTATTAACACACAGTGTTCCCTGGGCAAAAAATTGTTACTAAGCATTGAATAAAACTAAACAGAGGGAGAGGGGGTTCTCCTTTCTCTTTCTGTGCCAAGGGGCGAGCCTTGACCACCCCCTAGAGGAATGAACTGGGCCACACACACACACACACCACGCCACCTGAGGGTCTGAAGGCGCGGGATTGCCTACTTGATCGCTGGAGGAAAATGTCACAGCAGTTTGATCACGTTGCCGCAGGAGAACCGAGATGGACAGCAACAACATCACCGACAACAGCCCAGCCCTTCCGCTCTAGGCCATCTCCTTTCCCATTCTGGCAGTCTGATTTCATGCCTAACAGTGACTCAAGGGGAAACAGAAATGATGAAGTTGCAGAGAGGTCTGTAATCGTTAAAATTTCAAGACCAGCTCATCCTCCCCTGCCACACTACGGTCATCTTCTATTCCACTTAGATTGGCAGCGCGGTCTGTCTGTCTGTTTCTCTTTCTCTCTCCATTTAGATTGGCAGCACAGTGGCGCTCTCTTGCTCTCCCCTCTCTTCTATTTCTCTGTCTCCCTCCCTCCCTGCTCCGAAACCCCCTCCTCCCTCCTCTTCCCACTCCCCTCCCCTCCCCCTCCTCCTCCTCCCCCTCCTCATCCCTCTCTCCCTCATCCCCTCCCCCTCCCCTCCTCCTTCCCCCTCCCTCCTCCTCCCCCTCTTCCCCCTCCTCCCTTCTCCTCCCCCTCTTCCCCCTCCTCCCTTCTCCTCCCCCTCTGCCCCCTCCTCCCTTCTCCTCCCCCTCTGCCCCCTCCTCCCTTCTCCTCCCCCTCTGCCCCCTCCTCCCCCCCTTCCCCTCCTCCTCCTCAGCAGAGTATAAACACAGTCTTAAGTTTAAAAGGGGAGGATTTGTAGCTGAACTTCCAGAGAAGGTATCGCCACTTTCCTTTGCTCGCGAGGGGATTTCCGCTGATTGCTCTCTGTCATTCCGTCCCTGATCTTTCTGGCTCGGGTCTCTCGCTGGATTGCACGGGGAAGGGGCGGGGGGCGGGGCTCTTCTCTCCCGTAACCAATCAAGAAGTAGAGAACAGCAAATACGCCCGCCCCACTCGTAATTTTCTTTGCGCGCTGCTCCTCAACCGCAGAGCCGACCGGCGGGGAGCCGCTGTCACCTCTTTCTCCCGGCTCGGTTGTCGTTGGCCGCCGCCCCCGGATTCCGGAGGTGAAGGCTGGGCTGGGGAACATGGACGTGAACGTGGCGCCGCTCCGTGCCTGGGACGACTTCTTCCCCGGCTCTGACCGCTTTGCCCGCCCAGACTTCAGGGACATCTCCAAATGGAACAACCGCGTCGTGAGCAATCTGCTCTATTACCAGACCAACTACCTGGTGGTGGCTGCCATGATGATTTCCGTCGTGGGGTAAGTGTGTGTGGGGGGATCCCCACCAGATGCCGGTGTGTGTGGGGGACACAGACCCGGGATTGGCACGGAGGGGACCCCGGGGCCGAGATCGCGGGGTGCAGAGCCGCCCCCGTCCCATCTTAGCGTTCGCGGGGCAGCGCCGCCGCGGCCAAGCCAGTGGAAACTTGTCCTGGGGCGAGGCCGCCACGGGGGGGGGGGGGGGCGGGGCGCGGGGGGCGGGGCTCCCTTTCCTCCTGTGCCAAGGGGAGACCCTGGAGGGGGCCCCCACCCCTGCGAGGAATGGAATGGGGGACGCGATGGGAAGCTCTGGCGAGGAAGATGACTCCCCCACTCCCACACCCCCGTCCCCCCCACTCCCACACCTCCTTCCTCCCACCCCCGTCCCCCCACTCCCACACCCCCGTCCCCCCACTCCCACACCCCGTACCCCCACTCCCACACTCCCGTCCCCCCACTCCCACACCCCCGTCCCCCCACTCCCACACCCCCGTCCCCCCATTCCCACACCCCCCCCCCCGGACTCCCACACCCCCCGTCCCAGGATCAGCCTCTTGCTGGGGAGATAATTTGTTGCACCTTCAGTCTTCTTGCCCTGGAGCTGCCTAGGGAAACCTGGACAGAGTAGGTGTGGGCCGGGGCGGTGCCCTAGAAGGACGCCCGGGTGGTTTCTCTGCCTAATGTCTGCCCACTGTACTGGGAGGCCGAGCTGAGGTGCCAGGGGTGGCTGTCTCCAGGTGGCCCTCTGGCATTTCTGTCACTTTCTCTAGCTTCACTTTCTAGCCTGAGATCTTAGGGTATCTGAGAGCCTTTTCCTTTCCTGATCCTCATGAAAGTGTCCTGTGTTAATTAAGATTGTGCATAGGTTCTCTGTCTTCTACACACACACACACACAGACGCACATGCTTACACCTTTCCTTGTATTCAGTCTTTGGAAATATATTTCCCACTTTTGCTGGATGGGTGGTAATATAATCATCTTGATAATTATTTCCTTCACGTCTTAAAAAAAAAAAAAAAAAAGCAAAACCACCCTTAGACTTTGTAAAGGACTCACTTCCCCTACAACACATCTCAATTTTAGAGTGAATACAGAAAGCGCGAGCTGGCTTGGGCAGAAAAGGGGAAATACAAACTTGGAGGCTGTGGGAAAGGGTGAAGAGGGTGGTGTCTTATGTTGGCCCAATGTTTGTTCACTTATTTCCTGAGCTACCCTCTCTGAACCAGGTCTGCTGCCAAGCTCAGGGCACACCAGGATGAATCAGACTTGAATTCTAGCCCAGAGACACATGGCATTTGCTGAGAAGCTAAAGGAGCAAATAGCACAGAGAAGGGGGGGGGGGGGGTGGCGGGGAGGGTTGTTCACAATTTCCGGGTGTGGTTGTGTCTCCTCCCATGCAGAAGTGGAAGCCCCTGTGTGGGACTGACTCTACATGGTCAGAGCCATCTTTGCTGTGTTTTGCTTGCAGGAATTTAAAACTCAGAGAATGGTTCAATATGCCCAGGGCCTGGGCACTGCTAGATTCTATCTACAACGGCAGCCAAGGAACAATTTAGTCAGGCACAGTAGGACAGGCCTCAGGCTGGAGCCTCCTAGCTTGGCGCTTCTTCCTAGAACATGATAAAATGACTTTAAAACAAAATAAGTAGTGCATAGCACACACATTGTTTTACTTTTTCTTGTCTTTCCCTTTGTGAAGAAGCAAGAGAGTATCTTTATCTGGTAATCTAGTTGGAGGAGAGGGGTGCTTCTTAACTCCAAAATCTTAAATACTGGTTAGACAGGACTGATCAAATACACAGAAAAAGTCATTTTTCCAAAGAGAGGTTGTTGCCTAGACCTGACACAAGTTCAGTCTGTCCTGCTGCCTTGCGGGGCTCCATTGTTCACCCCGAGGACAGGAGGCAGCCCCTTGACTAAATATAAACTTAGTTTTCTCATTATGACATCCTAGGCCCCAAACTCAGGAAACCTAGCCCCTCTCCTTCTCCTTCCAAATAAGAGATGTTGGAGGGTTTCTTGTTGTTAGGATTATTTTTAAAATCTTAAAAGAAAAAAAACAAAAAACCAGCAGTAAATTATTTTCAAAATTATGTATGTAAAATGGGACTCTTTTGCATACTGTAGTAAAAACAAATTGGTGTATAAACTTTTAAGTGTTTGGATGTATGAATAAACACACAGTCTAGGCTTTTCCCCTCAAAAATTAATTTTCTCACTTTACAAATAATAACAACAAGAAGATAATCATTTACTGAAGCATGTGGGTGCCAAGGACCTTATGAAATATTTTCCCTGCCTTATGTCATAACCTCTATAAAAATAATTTCATTGTTGTTATTGTGATTATTATTAAACCTGAGACTTTGAGGGTAAAATGACTTCATGAGAGACACAGACCTAGGTTTGTACTCCTAATTACTGTGACACCTTCCTACTCCTGACGTGGTAGTCTCTTAAAGCTGAAAGAAACCACATACCATTAGGGCCAGGGAGCTCAGCTGATTCTGGAACATTTCTCTTCTGAAGAGAATGAATCTATCTTGGTGCTGCTGTTCACAGAGGGTTGAAACCCTGGCTGGAAGCTGTTTATCTGGCTTCTGAGCCAGCCAGTGATAGTTTCCCATGACAGTAGGTGAAAATGTGGTCCAGAGGTTCTGAGGTAAAGGACTGGGTTTGGCAGGTGCTCTTCCTCCACTCTCCCCTCCCCCACCAGCCCTGTGGATTAGTTGGTGAGCAGGCCCCTCAGGGCTACGAGGGAGTTTTAGGCTGGCCATTCTAGTGACTGATGTTGCATTGTTGCATGAAATCTGATTTGAATGAGGAAAGAGAGGACCAGCTCTTCAAGACTGCAGGAAAGAAGGGAGAAGATTACTGCTGGATATAATCTAGACTCCCTGGATAGGATTGTCTGTCTCAACATAGAGATTAAGAGGGATTAAATTAGGGTGAAATCAATGTCTGGGATCCTGATCAGAAAGGGTTAGAAGTAATTCACAGATGTAAATTTGGTCTCCATCTAAACAGCATAGTTTACCAAGTATAAGACTTCCATGCCTGAGGTGTACTGTGTGGTTCAGATTAGTTCTGGTTAAATCTGTTGGATCACAGCCAATCTCGACTGTTTTCCTGTCATCTAAGCCAGATTAAGTGTGAAGGAATCCCAGTTTCCAGGCACTAGCTAAGTGACCTGTGAAAATCACTTTCTCTGTCCTCTTTAAAATGAAACCAATAACCCTGCCTACCTCACAGGCCTTCTGTGAAGGACAGACTGAGTTCACACAAGCCAGGCTTTTATAACACTATCAGCCTCCTGGTTTTTGCTACACAAAATATTTCTTCTCCTTCTTCTTCTCCTTTTTGTTGTTGTTGTTCTTGCAGTTCGTATTATCAAACACCTAGCTGGCAGACGGAGATCATCTTTATACCGGCACCTCCCAGACACCCAAAATCCAATTCCTGTTTTTGTTCCCACTTCTGCTGGACTCAGCTTTGGTGTCATCTCTTTGAGGAAACACTGTGCCTTTGTCCTAGCTCCCCACACCTGTCCTGTTTACCCCAAAGGCTTTTAAATTGTTCTCTCCTCTTCACCCTAAACTGCAGATCTTTGAGGGTAAAGCCTATAGATTTTGATTGTGATTGTTTTCATTTTTATTTTTTGGTTTGTCATTACAGTTATTTTTCTTCTTTATTTCTGTGTCTATAGATAGTTGGTGAGTGCAAAGAATTTAACTGGTCATAAAGTCTCAGTGTGATCACAGGGCAGGCTTTTTTTTTTTTAACCCACTATACATTATTTATTTATTTATTTTTGGTGCCAGTAACTAGGGCTTGAACTTAAGGCCTGGGTGCTGACCTGAGCTTTGGTACTCAAAGCTAGTGTGCTTTATCACTTTGAGCTACAGCACCATTTCCAGCTTTTTAGTGATTATTTGGAGGTAAGAGTCTCTTGGATTTTCCTGCCTCCGCTGGCTTTATCCTCAGATCTCAGCCTCCTGAGTAGCTAAGATTACAGGCATGAGCCATCGGCTCCCGGCCTTGGTGAAGTTTAAGATCTCTCAACCACAGTACTAGTGACATTTGAGGTGTACCATTCTTTGCCCTGGGAATGTTGTGTGCAGATACCAGTAGTACACATGCCCTCTGGTTAGGATAATCAAGTCTCTCCATGAGCTGAGAGCTACAGCTATTCAACCGAGAAAACCATGGTTCCTCCTTGTTTCTAGCAACTAAAGACAAGGTTCTCTGACCCACTTATAAAGAGAGTTCTTGGAAATTATGTAGCAGGGCAGTTCCTGGTTCCTAAGCTTCATAATATCAAGTTCTATTTCTTACAGAACTTCTGTTTCCTTCTTTTAAGTGTCAGGTATTACTCCAGAAGATACTGAATGACTTAAAAGGAACAGCATGAGCCAAGCTCTGGTGGCTCACTCCTGTAATCCTAGCTACTCAGGAGGCTGAGATGAGCAAATCAGGATCCAAAACCAGTCCAGGCAGAAGAGTCGATGAGACTCTTATTTCCAATTAAGCAGCAAAAAGCCAAAAGTGAAACTGTGACTTAAAATGGTGGAGTGCCAGCCTTGAGCAAAAAAGCCAAGCTAGGGCATGAGTTCAAGCCCCAGTATTAGTACATAAACACACACACACACACACACACACACACACACACTCATGTGCATGCACACATGCAAGCACATATGCACACAGAGAGAATCTTCAGTGATTCACATTAAAAATCGAGAACTGGTCTAGTTGGTTCAGAGGAAACATTAACAAATTTTATTTACTTATTATTTTATTTTATTTTTTTTGTTTGGTTGTGGGGCTTGAACTCTGGGCCAGGGTGCTGTCCCTGAGCTTTTCAGTTCAAGGCAAGTGCTCTACCACTTGAGCCATAGCACCACTTCCGGTTTTCTGGTGGTTAATTGGAGATAAAAGTCTCATGGACTTTCCTACCCAGGCTGGGTTTGAACTGTGGTCCTCAGATCTCAGCCTTCT